GGGGGGGGGGGGGAGGCTGCATACATCCTACCCCCTTACCCCGCAATGGGCGGGGGCCGGGGAGCCTTTGAGTTGAGGCATTGGGTAATGTTATTGTTGTTCCTCGTTGTACTAGTAGGACCCATGAAATGAGACATAGGGAATAATCTTTACCCACAGAACTTGCAAAATATTTTTTGTTCAACCAGGTGAAAGATTGATTTTTTAAGGGTCACATATGACTAAGAATATCTATTCACCTTTTTTGGTCTTTTAATATGCTGCACCGTGATCTCATTCACAACAATGATGGGTTTGGTGCTTGAGTTTTCTAATGACTTGGAGTTCCACGCTTCTGAACATGTGAATATGCTCCAGGGGCCCATGAAAATTCTCCTATCCACATGTACTAGACAAATCTAAGGGAGGTGACTGTCAAGGATGTAATCAAGACCTATTTGAAATGTAAGGTCTTAAGCAGTTAAGCAACTCTTAGTGGTTGCATGAAATTGAGTGTCCATTATTGTCCTATCCGTGAAAGGTCGTAAGAGATTCTTTGAGTGTTTGTGGAGGTGATGATTTAGGACTAAGACTTAGGTTCTGTTCTCTCTGCTTTATGTGTCTACATGTTTTTTTTAAAGACTCGGTCTGATCCTATAATGTTCCTGGATTGGTATGGTCTGAATCTTCGCGATCTTTTAAATTTTGTTTTATGAAATATAACATCAGAATTGGGCTCATTTCTAGTGTAGCTTGATCTAAATGTCTTTGGTCCCACTAATCTGATTAGAGGAAAAATAGGTAAGAAGTTGAAAAATCAGGTGAGAAAAGAACACCTAATCGTTGTATACCTTAATTTACAAATGAGCATGGGGCAAAGTTTTATCTTAGGTACCCATCTTGCAACATATAGATTTGGTTCATTTTATCTTTTACATTTTGTTCTCTTTAAAACTAACCTTCTCCACCTTTGTAACACTCTCTTTCTTTCTTTCTTTCTTTCTTTCTTATAGGAAACGAAAATATGTAGTTCTTGTGTCAACTGGAAGTTTCAACCCTCCTACTTATATGCATTTGCGTTGTTTCGGTAACTGTTTTCTTGACCTCAATAACCTTTCTCTCAATTGGGAAGATGCTTTTCTTGTCTTATTCTTTTCCATTTTCACCCTTTAGATTTCACTAGATTTTCTATATTCTACAATCATGTTTCATTCTTGATGTATCTCACTTGTTGCAATTTTTGTGTGGAGAATCCGGAATCATGGGGAAATGCATTCGTTTTTTCATCATGTATGCTATGGGAAGATGATGTGTGATTTATTATCCTCTACTCTCATTAAAAAAGTAGCTTCTATGTGATTAGTGATTACAGTTTCAGTTTTTTTCTCTCCAAATGCATACTAATGTTACTTTTTTGTGTGTGTCTTTGTGTGCTCAGAACTGGCAAGAGACACATTAAATTCACAAGGATTCTGTGTCATTGGAGGTTACATGTCACCCGTGAATGATGCATATAAGAAAAAGGTAAATAAGCATGCAACCAGGTGTACATTGCATTCGTGGATTTTATTTCTTATAAACAATTTTCAATTGCAACCTTTTGATCTGGTTCTAGAAAGTAAGGTGTAAAGTATATAGCTATAAGAAAGAAAACAAAACGTATGAGCTATTTTTTCAAAGCCTTAGTGATGCTTTAAAACTAATGTGGTTTTCAGAAAAGGAAATGCTTGTCAATAGATTTTTATTTTTATTATTGATGTATACTCACTCCGACACATAAAAATAATCAGGTTTCTGAAGTTCTGTCCCCAAAAAACTCAATTTGAACAAAAGAAGCTAATTTTTCTCAATTGTGTTAAATTTAGTTGAATCAATAAATAGATGTAAAATTATGGCTATATTTGATAATTTCAGTAGATGCATCTTACTAAAATTTACTCTGTAAAAGGTATACATTTGTGAAGTGAAACATGTTAAATGTTAATACAAGGTAGGGTGGTATTTTAATTATTATTTAAGCATGCATAATATAAATGTGAACATATATGGAACTTTAGCTTATCTAAATTTCAAAGATCTACTTTCATTACATTCAAATTAATGGTCTTATGGTAACTAATGCAATATGCGTAGTGTTTCCCGATGGGTTGTTTTGTTGTCCATCACTAGCCTCTGCTTAGATGTATCTTGGATTTATTTTGTTTTCATTATATACTCCTTGTCTTTATGACTGCTAGACATTATCAAATTAAGCAATATGACTGGAAATTCTTTCCATCGTTTCAATAGGGTCTTATATCTTCCAAGCATCGAATTGCAATGTGCCATTTGGCTTGTAAGAGCTCCGACTTTATAATGGTGGATCAGTGGGAGGTGTGTGAAAACCTCTCTCTCTCTCTATCTGACCAAAATTCATTTTATGTAGAATCCTATGTCTTTGTTCTTTATAGTGCTCATAAATTTTTGCTAAGTCGTGGGGCTATAATAAGACAAGAATGATCTTGCAGGCAAGTCAGAATACATACCAGCACACATTGACTGTTTTGTCTAGAATCAAGACCTCATTATCAAATAGTGGACTAGAATCAGGTAAGATCCTGCCACTAGAACATGTATCTGAGCTAAGAATAAAACGGAAAGCCTAATGCAAGACTAATGAGAACATGTTAGTTTATTCTATGATACAAGTTACTCTCCCCATTCTAAACTTCACATCTTTGATTGGTTTATTTTTCTCTCTACCATCTGTGTTAATCTAGAATTTATTCATGTTGATCATGCTACTTTTCTCACATTTATGGTTGATATCTTTCAGTTGCCAGTATGGTTGTTGCTGTTGTTGTTATTAATTCTAGCGTTCATATTAATAGTCATCATCATTTCCTTTCATCATTAATTTTCATATTATTGTTGTCTTTTTCTTCATTTTTGTTTTTTTCATTATCCTTGTTGATGTTGTTATTGTTATTGTTATTATGAGAAAAGTGTACCGTTTACCCTTGAACTCTTTGGAAATTGCATGATTTACTCCCGAACATTAAAAAGTGCACCATTTACCCTCGAACTCTTTGAAAATTGCACGATTTACCCCGAACATTAAAAAGTGCACCAAATACCCTTGAACAATTTATGATCATTTTCATCAGCATCATTATCACTACATCATTGCTTATCCACCTAATTGTTATATATGCAGATTTGCTCAAGGTTATGCTTGTGTGTGGCTCGGATTTGTTAAAATCTTTTAGCAGTCCAGGAGTTTGGATACCTGAGCATGTAATTCTCATCAAGCATGGTTTATCTTGACACAACAACATTATCATACAAACCCCACATGCTCCTTAAGGGTGTGTTTGGTTGGAGAGGAGGGAAAATGCTCCTCACCCTTCATTTGGCTCAAAACATTTGAAACATGGGAGAATCAAAAACTCCCTCCCCTCTATATTTGCCGACAGTGCAAGAAAAAACAGAACATAACATCTTCAATTTATTTTTCAGGTTAGGACAATATGTAGAGACTTTGGGTTGGTTTGTGTTCGAAGAGATTGTCAGGATGTTGATAAGATTATCGCTGATGATGACATTTTAAGTGAATATAAGGTATGCTTTCTCTTATGAGTTTTTGAAGTTGTAGGAGCCAGGTGTTATGTTCAGTTTAATGCTCTCGACCTCTTACATGTAAAGTAAATAAAAAAACATATGGAACGTCAATCGTTTTTTCATCTTATAGTAAAAAGCATGTCAAGTTAAAATTAGAAGGAATATTTTTGAGGGAATATTTCTTAACTCTTAGTATTCAGCTATTCCATTTCGAGAAAATAAGATTGCTGGCTTTATTTTTGTTTTTATCAAAGATTGTTTTTATGTCCATTGCCCATGACATGGACTTTCTTCCCATAACTTTAATAAAGCTTATACTCTGTAATGCTGCCAACGCCCGTTTTTCTCATGATTTTAAAGTCTGTTTTGGATGCAGGCATTTATGTCTTGATAAAATTTGATGTTTTATAAAAATCAAAAGATTAACATTGTTTGTGCGTCATTTAAGATTTCAATGACTTTTTATTCGTCTGTCATTTTTAAGAACGTTTTATTTATCAAGGTGTAGACTAGCCCTCTAAAACCTTTTTCTAGGTAATCTTTCAAAAAGTTTTGGATGGAGTGTTTTGGACCAAAACACCCCATCCAAACATACCCTTCATTCAAAAACAGGGAAAGGAAAAAGAGAGGTATGATCACAGTCACACTGCAAAATATACCCTGTTCCTAATAGTAACATGTAACCAATGATCTAGTTAGTGCTAGTACTCCATATCTCCCACTCTTTATTCGTCAAACTAAGATTATAACTCAATTATTTTCCTTCCACGTAACTGTCTAGCCGGTTCTGTGGAGACGCTAAGGATGAAGTCAATCGTTTTTATGTAACCGATTGTCTAGCAAGTGCTAGATAGGTGTTAGATTGGGGTCTAGTGCCTAGTTTGTCAAATGGGTGGGAATACGTAACGCAAAAATATTATCGAGTAAGGGAAAATTACGTCTAGTGTGTAGATGAGTTAAGCGAGAAATTTTAGTCAAGTATGTAACCAACTTTGTGAGCAGAGGTCTCTTGGAAATAGCCTCTTTACTTCCAAGCAGGGGTAGGATCTCCGTACATGTACCCCATTTAGACCCTATTTTTTGTGTGGAATTTTAGTATTATGTAACCGACTTGGTAACTTGCTAATTTTCAGACCAACATCAAAGTTGTAAATGAGGTAGTGCCGAACGGGATAAGTTCGACAGGATTAAGGTACGCTTTCTTGGTTCGTCGCAGAAAATTAAACTTGCTTAAAATGATGCACAATAGCTTGTCTTTTTCTTTTTTATTTTTAATTCTGTAATAATTTTTTTTAAACATGTTAGGGAATGCATCTTGAAGAGGCTGTCAATAAAATATTTGACTACAGATGAAGTGATTGAGTATATAAAGCAGCATGGTCTCTACATGGTCCAAAATTGAGTTTATTCCTATATGCAAAAAAACTTACCCAAATAAGTTCAGTTAATATGTGTTCACTTTTTGCCACATTCTTGGTTTTGAATAATTCTACGTAAATATGTACGATGTTGTAATTTGTAACACTACGTCTTATATTTTAACTAACTATTTTTAGTGCAAATTATGATGAAGTTTTATTAATTTTGACCACAAATGTTCGAATAAGAACTCCCTAAGTATATTTTTGGAATGGACTCAATGAAGTATATTATGGGACATCCTATATGCATTGTTTATTCACTTTTATTGTATAATACTCTATATACTTTAAAATAAGTAAAACTTTCAAAAATCGCACGACTTTTAAAATAAGCCAAAAGTTCTTTTCTTCGTAACACTTTTAGATCCTTAGTCACAAAGACATTGTAAACGCACTGTAATCCAGTGCAACAATATGTCTATGTGACATATGATATATAGTTAGTCATAAAATATATATGAATTTAACTATAAGTAAGATTGCGAACGGCCAATATTATCAAAATGGTAATACTTTGGTTTGATAGTTGCATCTCTATCCTCCTCTGTTTGGAACCTCACCACATATTGACCCACTTTAAAGAAGGATATTTCATTAGCCTTGTACTGTTTCCGCAATTTTAGGGTAATGGATAGTACAAAATGTATTACAAATACAATTTTTGAGCGAAATATTCACGCCACATTTACAATAAGGACCATGCCAAAGTTCCCAACTCTCGCTTCACCTTTTCACTCCAACTTTCTCATAGACAATAAACAGTAACAGATGTGTGTCAGTGTATGTCGGTGAGAAGGTGCGATAAAAGACGAGGTGAGAGGTGAAATGACCCTAACATGGTCCTTTACAAAAACCCATTACATTACAATGAAATAAACCTTTACCTTCCTATCTTTGATGGATCCAAGACTGGTTTTTATTTGTATGATTCACACTAGTCTACCTGCAGCCTGCATTTGTATTCATTCCTCATGGAACACTGAAAGGTGTTGAGGTGCGAAACAATTCTTCGGTGCCTTGTTGTGTAAACCGATGGGATAGCAAGTCGGTGGTGAGATCATCCCTGTTCATTAGAGCCCCTAACGCACCGAGAAATCCTTCGTGCCTCAAAAACAAGGCCTTCGCCTCACCCTTTGACCTGTGTATGAAGCAACACTATTATTAGTCATAGTTATCATCGTCGTCATCATTATCATCATCATCATCATCATCATTAGCACCTTAGTTCCATCTTGTTGGGGTATGCGGCATTAAATTTATAAGGCTTACGGGATTATGTTCATACCTTAGCATGTCATAGGGAGGCCTGCTTGCTCGAGCCTTACACATGAACATTAATTTTTTTTAGGAAAACTTCATTTCAATACACCCAAAAAATTTGAGATTGTAAAAGAATAATCCATCACCAGCAATCCAGAAATTCATTGTGTGTTTTTACATAACTAGAAAGAGAATTTCACCCTAACTTTTGGGGCATATATGTGATCAATATGCAATCTTAGATGATTATTGTTAAAATATTGATTTTGTGGAAGCGTTGGGGATAATTGTGTAATCTTTGACTATTGTTGTAGAATCACAAATTTTTGGGAGTATTGGCATGAGTTTTTTTTAAGTGGATGATGGTGAGATCTCAACGAGTGACTAGATCAACCAGAAGTTCAAGCTTGTGGTTGAAAGCCGAGAGGATGTTAACAGAGATACTACCAACACTGAAGTAGGGTCGGTAGAGAAATACCAAAACTCAACGCCCTCGGAAATTGTGTCCATTGTGTAAGTATGTCCCCGAATAAAAAACCCTCCGAAAAATATCCGCTTGAGTCCAAAACGTAATGCGTTCAAGTAAGCAATCTGCACAAAGTAGGGTTAACCAGAAACAAATATGAGATCCAAACAAGCCCAAAATTGTTTTCATTTGCCTTTTTCTTTCAGATTTGAGATTTGATGCTTGCACAAGGGCATTTCTGACCTGTGCAATATTATTGGAGATCATCCGTAACAATGATCGGGAAATATCTTCAGGTCTGTAATCATTCAGCTCTTTGTTTTGTGAGATTGCCTTCCCAAAGCTAGAAGCAATGGCAGTTGATGCCAGTCCAATCTAAACATAATTTATGTTTATTTAAAAAAATCTGTTGGTTCATACAGGTATATATATAAATCTGTTGACTATCAATATCGTGTTCCAGGGCAATAGGAATACAAAACTAAGAGTCATCATCTTACTCAAAACCAACAAATTTCCTAAGTAAGACATGCAAAATATTTAACGATAATTAAAAGGGAGTTATTATTAGTCCCCAAGTGCCATTCAATTTAGATCCTTGAACAAAAAAAAAATCCAACCTTTGAATAATCCGTTCCATAAATGTCTCCAACAAGCATGTCTACGACCTTGTTATTTCCTTTGTGACTCAATTCAAGTAACTCATCAAAACTGCACAAAAGGCAGTAAAATTTCACAAAAAGTAGGGTGTTTACGTAGAGCTTACCCGTACTTAGAACAACAAAAGCTCAAATCGGCACAAATGAAAGGAAAATGACAGCACACCTCTTGCACTTGGTCAAAAGCTTCCCCAAGCCCCAAAAGGTGCCACCTCCAACACTTGTCCCACTAACTCGCTCAAACTTGTTGTCCCGTTCCACCTAAGGAAAGAAGTTAACTATAAATAAAAAAATGTACATGAATGAGAATACTCTAAGGTCGAAATTTGAAATGAATTGCAATCTTCAGCCTAAGAAGGCAATACAAAATGTACCTTTATCATGCTAACACCAGATCCAATATTTACGAGCAAATAAGGGTATAAATCTTTTTGATCTATCTGCACATACTCTTTCTGACCGTTGATGTGTGTAAAAGCTTCATGCTGGACTGCCTGGTAAAAAGAAAAACGATTTAACTTACTATCATGGTAGTACAACAACAAAAAAAACCCAGTAGAATCCTACAAAAACTAGGGTATGGGTAGGGTGTGTGAACGCAGACCCTACCCCTACTCAGAAGTAGAGATATTGTTTCCAAGACATCCCCAACTCAAACACAGATGTTGAAAAATAATGAATAGAAAACCTAGATTTTGGAACTAAAATGCCATATGCTTTTTTGTAGGTAGAAAATGAAATATCACACGCAGAGAAGAGCGGTACATTAAGGAAAGAAAAAAAGGGGGGGGGGGTACACTACCCATTCTTTTAACACCCTGCACCATTTCAAACAGAAAAAATTGCCCCACCTTAAGCAGAAAATTTGCTCCAGCAACAAGGCAATCCATCTCATCAACCTTGTCGAGAGTGATTCCAAGTTTTTCTTTGAATAAATTAGCAAACTTGAATGCACCGCCACCTGTGGCCTTCACAAGGACAACTAATTATTAGTGGGTAATGGTTCTTCAATAACAACACAACAACAACAGACCTAGTAGAAGATCACACAATGTAGGGTCCGGGGAGGGTGAGTTTAAGCCTCACAATTTATACACGACCTCAACCAATGAAAACAAATAGGGTTCTCAAAATTAAAATATGAAGATGCCCACAGATCTTTACCTTAATCGTGACGTTCTGGTGTGGGGTATGAGCCTCCAAACATCTACCACCTGTAATTGCCTTAATCTTTAAATACTAAACTCACTTGACCCGAAAAGAACATCTATGACTATACATAATCAATCTCATTAGGGAAGAGAAAGAGAGGGAATACAACAAAAACAACAACCCATAAATCCCTCAAAGCCAGATCTGAAGTATGTGTATGCATACCATACCCCTACCCAAAAGGGTAGAGACATGCTTTACATGTTTGAAATAAAAAACATATCCCCCAAAAAGCGTGTACCACTGATATGAATTTTCTTTGATGCGAGGAATTTTATACAGTCATCGATCTTGATGGTTTCAAACTTCACAAACTGGAGACTGCCCTGTAGAAAATGGTAATTCACATCGCCATTTGAGACTTTCTTTTCCTTTGTTAACCTCATTCCATCATCATCTAAAGAGAAGCTACTGTTATTTGAGAAGCACACCAACTTAATGAGAGAACCTGCACAAAAAAGGGTAATTTGGGAGTAAGAGAATAACCCAACTGCACAAGTACCATAAAAGAAACTGACTATTGAAACATCCTAGCAATAATGCTTGATTGAGTGGATAAAGAATCTCAAAATTCCTCACCACCATTTCTTCAATGTTCAAAAAATGTGTTTCCCATCAAAATAAACAGTTCATAAACCATTAAACAAAACAAGACCATCTCTTGTTATTCAGCAAGATTTCAGAAACTCACACGAAAATTGAAAAGCACACCAAGTCAAAGGGGTTTCACTACTTCATCATAAGAACGCAGATCATAAGAGGAACTAAACAAAACCACTTCTTTTGGAAGAAATACAAAAAAGAATTGATGAATGGTGAATTTAAAACTTATATCCCCAAAACTTATTTTCATTTTATTTATTTTTTTAAAAAAGTGCGACCTTTAACCACCTAGAGTACCTCCAATATCAATGGCGAGATGCAAAATCAGATCAGAATTGGAGTCAACGGCGGCGGCGTCCCTGTCCATCTCTTTCTGGGTTGATCCCGGGCGAATTTCCCGGTTCCGCTTCTTCCTCCGGTTTATTATGTTATGTTATATGGGCACGAAAGATTGGTGAGAATGGAGGTCGCTGGTGCCCAGTTTGGTCAAAAATGTGTGATTTGCCATTGCCATTTTCCTAACTATTTTCATTTTCTTTCCCAATTCTCTCTTGTCGCCTCGTACTCAGATAGAGATAATCACTGCACCTAATCTGCTCGGTAAAATCAAATTTAAACCCGGGTGAAAAAAATAAAAAAAAAACATTTTGGCAAAAAAACAAATTGCGCATCCGGGGAATCGAACCCCGGTCAGTACCGTGGGAGGGTACTATGATACCACTACACTAGATGCGCTTGATGTTTACGATTTGACATTTTCAAATAATAACAATTCTTTTGGGAGTATTACTTCGGACCATGCTACACTTAGGGACTGTTTGGCAACTTCTGAATAAGTAAGTGCTGAACCAGTAAGAGGTCTGAATCATTAAGTGCTGAACCAGTAAGAGGTCTGAACCATTAAGAGCTAGTATATTGCTTAACTATTCAGAGGCAAATGTCTGATCAATTCAGAGAACAGCTCTTAACCATTCAGACTCTATATAATACTTAACCATTCAGAGGCAAATCTCTTAACCATTCAGACATCTGAACCATTAAGAGGCTGAAACAAACAGTCTGAACCATTAAGTGCTGAATCATTCAGACATCTGAACCATTAAGAGGCTGAAACAAACAGCCCCTTACACCAACAAATATACCCCATTTGTACACCACATGTTTGCACAAACATTTCGATGGTTTACATCGACACAAGTGTTGGTGCGTTAATAAAAATTCACACGGACACAAATGTTGGTGCGTTTAACAAAAATTAGTTTTACATCAACACAAAATGTTGGTGTAAAACTGCGGAGTACAAATCTTGGGGTACACATAGCATAATCATATTTCTTCATATTCTAACCTTGAAGTTAATTCTCACATGTGAATGAAGACTTTCACCGAGAATTTGATGGGAAAACAAGACATGATCATTTCAACATTTTTTTATACATAGCATTTATTATTGCAGTTTTTTTTTCACCGGTTTTTCCCGATGAAAGTAACACATTAACGAGTGTTATCGTAAAAAAAATCTACTCCATCAAATTTTGTTTTGTGAAAAGGCGTCACTAGTCCCTTCGTCCCATAAAAAAATTAGTTGTTTTATTTAACGAATAAGTTTATTATTCTTTTTTTAAAAAAATATTTTTTGATAGTTACTTCGTATTTCTTAAAGTAATATACTCAAATCAATGTGTGCTTTGTAAAGTTTTTGAGATAATTTCTAAATACTAGAGTACATAAGTTTCATCTTTTTTATTTTGTAACAATACTCAAATGAATTGAGAACAACTTTATGACATGTTTGTGAACTTGAATTCAGATTTCAATTTTAGATTGACTCAAATTACATATTTACATGTTTGAAGATTAAAAAAAAATATCAATTTGAATTTGGACCAAATCTCTATTTTGATTATCAAGAAAATTCAATTACAAATTTATACGCTCCCCTCGTAATCCAAGAATTCAAATCAATTCTTAGTTTTCAAATACTACCTAAAGGCTCGTTTGGTAACAACTTCAACATTTAACTTTAGCATCTTGAAAATATTATCTAACAATAGTGCTTAACTTTAATGTTTCAAGGTTAAATGCACTATTACAAAAATCTTAAACACTGATGCTAATTGAAAATGCAAATACCAAACGAAACTTTTAATCAAATCTCGTTTACTACTATAACTGGAATTTCGTGTTAGAATTTCACCAAGTATTGTTCCAACTTCTGAAGCTCTGTCACATATTCAGAGTAGTTCTAGAACTGAAGAGGAGCAGCTTGTGTTGTCTTTTAAGAAAACATCTTCAATCAAGAATGGGTGTGGAGGAGAGGGGGGTGGGGTGGGGTGGGGGGGGGGGGGGGGGGGGGGGGGGGGGGGGGGGGGGTTCTACTCAAAGTCAAAAGAATTATAGACTTCCTCGAGATCATCAAATTCCTCTTCCATGAAGTCTGGTCTTTGGACGTGTTGGTCTTCGAAGAGAAGATGTCGTCGAAGAGCTGAAGGGGCTCAGAAAACCAGCAAAAATGCTTACTGGCTTTGATAGGAAAGAGATTACCTCGAAAGTTGACGAAGGTACAACTACAGACCTCTGACTTCGGGGTCCTCTCTTGTCGTAAGGGGAACCTTCAATTCCAGAAAGCTCCTATCCTAGTTTGCCCGTTAGCAAAAACTTTCAAGTCCCCGATAACTGCAAATCTGAGGAGACAAAGGTGATATTTTAGAAGTACAAAAAAAGTTAATATTAATAAAAAAGGCTCCCATTCTAACAAATGAACAAATGCAGGAAAAGGTACACGAGAATTACCTTCTGCGCATGCTGGCTGAGAAGAACACCTTGGTTCTTTTCCTTCATTTCATCAAGAGCTTGCTTGACAGCTCTTCTGGTTAAACTTCGATCATTTTGACTGATTTGTGAATTCAATAATTTCACCGTGGGAGTAAGTTAAGACAAATATTGAAAATGCAATCACAACGAAAAATAATACCGAGACCATTAAGAAATGAGGTGAATTAACAAATATGCATTTGAAATTGGCTTGTCTTCCATTGATGCCAACAAGCCTGATATCCTCTTTATAGGTAATTTTAATAATTCCCCATTTTTTATTAACTAAATATAGTCAGTATACAATTGATTCCAGGCATCCGAGGTGATGTAAATTGTACATTAGATAGCGAAGGATATTGTTTGTCATAACAATGGATGACAATATCAATGTGGACAGATGGGGGCAAATTTTCCCATTCAAGCAATGCACAACCATCCTGGTCCTTAATGTTCCTCAGAGTCAATCCGTAGACTTTCCAATTGATGCCTTTCAATGCATCTAGTGATGATTTGGAGACAGTGTAGGGTACAAAGTCCCTATAGAAGAGGACCTAAAATATTAAATGCTCTAATCACCATATATTTTTATCAGGAGATCCAAATAAAGCAGCGGAAGGCCATTTAACAACATTATTCGTAAGACTGAGTTTCCTGAATTTAACCTGTGTTTCCATTTCATGTTCCATTAGGCAAGATGGAGTGGCTAGCTCAGATAATTCACTAATAATAACAACAGCTTCCACCTTCAGTCTATTAAGGTTTCCTGAGCAGCTAGCAATTCCTGTGCCAACCTTCAAATTCCCCCTGGAAAATAGGTTTTGTTAATATATTTGACCAAAAAAGGAAAACACAGCTGGGACAGGGTAAGTTTAATGTACTGCACACAAAGACAGAATTATTATGATTCAGTATTTTGGAGTATAATTGAAGTGAAAGGCACTGCAAGTTTCCAACAAACTAAAAATCTTTACCACTTAAATAAATTCTAATGTCATTTTAAAAAAAAGGACCAAGTAGCATGCATACACTAATAACAAACAGAAAATAACACTACATTATTCGGAACATACCCAGTGGAAAAGCAAGGACAAACACTATTCAGTTTATTTCGGCGCCTGTAAACATAATCTTCAAGTCCTGATCTTAGGCTGGTGATGCTTTCTTCCAGAAAAGGTAACGAGCCACACTCTATGGCCATAATACAACATTCAACATGTGATCCTGGCATGTTATTATAATCAACCAACAGTTCAACAGCAACCATCTGTAAAGAAGCATGAATAATCAATAACTAGGAACTAACATAAGCAACTATCAAATACATGGCTATAGAAGAAGCCATTTGTGCTCAACAAGACAAGGATTACAACCATCTAAGAAGTCTGATATTCAATATTTCGGGAAAAGAACAAAATTCTTTGTATATCTAAAAAATCAATGTTTTCTTCTAAAGGAAGGCTGTGAAAAGCAATTCATATGAATACTTTTCATGGACTGCACCACAAATTACACTATATATGATTATAATGAGACTTACAAAGTGTCCATGTAAGATTCTTTGTTGTACATCTCATAGAGTTCAAAGTTCGATTAAAAGACCTTCCCAATAAAATGTGCTATCCATACTCCAAAATTCAAATATTAACTCCTAATATCATGAAATCTTGTATTGCATAAACACCTAAACATAATATATAAAGCAATTGAAAGAACTTACAGGGATTTTTAAAATGAGCATCTGCAAAAAATTGTCACGGAAGCTGAATGTTAATAGTAAGTCAATGCAGCAAGTATTGAACATGAAGGACTAGACTAGACTGAAAATGACTACAAAGGTTTGGAGAGTGCTTGGACATGATACCAACCTTCTTAAAAAATAAGGTTAGATCTTCCAGTAAATGATCAACACTTTCAGATGTTGATATTGATACTTCAGTGCCACTGTAAGGTAAAAACAAAATTTATAATATAGTTGAACTGTAAAAATAATAATGCAGTGTAAGGGGAGCAATATGCCTGAATTGTGCACCATTTTTTTCTGTTGAAGGTAGCTTTGTCAGTCTTTTAGAATAAATAGCATCTTTCATGTTGAGGTTTAAGTGATGCATCTCTCTGTCAGAAATGCCTGCATCGATTCATTTTTTATGTATAAGATAGGGACCACTGCGGCTTCCATAAACCAAAGCACTTGATCTAAATTTCCACTTCACCATGACATCAGAAGTTACAATTTATCACTAAAAAAGACCTAAATTAAATTAAGAGGCGGTCATTATGAGCAGAAGATACGCAGATTGCCTGCAACACACAGCTCTCTAAACACCATATAATAGAGCAAGATACACACATTTATTGACAAAAGCCATTTCATCGTAGATAGTTTCAAACCAGTCAAAATGAGTCAAGACCAAGGTCATAACTCACAAAGTTAATATTAAATTTAATTCTAGTGCCAAATGCCTTTTGACAGTTCCATACCCACTCTATCACTTAGATTTGCATACATACCGATAACTTATTGCTTATAATTCAATGACAGGTCAATACTTAAACAATATGATAGTATGGGTTGTTGGTACATTACCTCTCATACCAAATCAAATTATTCAGACATAGGTATGAAACTTACTGGTAGTTGAAATAGACATCAACCCATCTGTGTGTGAGAGAGAGAGGGAGGGGTTAGCAAAACAAAAGTGGCATTTGTCATATAGAAGTCTAAAAGTGATACCAGTAGAAATTTTTAAAATAGAATAAATGAAAGCCATGGAATTTCCTTACTAACCCCATTTACCAGCCAGGTCATTTTGGTACTTCAGATGTTGGTATTCCTCCAGACTACTTCCAACACCAGTATCTGAAACTGTTTCACCAGTAAAGCCAGAAATTGAATCGACTTTTTTTCCCTTAGGAATTTACAGTAAGGTAATATTATACCCACAACATCTTTCCGAAGTTCAATTCCATTCATAGAGAGTTTTTGAACACTGAAACTTCAATCGCAACTCATTCAAACCTAACAGCCTGAAGTAATGGATCTATATATGCATATTAAAATTCAATATGAGAATAACAGTTTCCTGCATTTCTGTTATTCAAATCAATTGTTTATTTCCTTCCGTTTACGCATCAGAGATAGTACCAATTTAACCATACAAACACACTTCAAAGCGAGCGAGCGAGAGAGAAAGAGATGACCTGAGATTCCGACGAGAGGCGGATTGAGGTGCGGAGAAGAGGACAGTTTGACTGATAATCTGCACGGATCATTCTTCAGACGGCACCTCTGAACGGCGCAGAAAATCAACTGCAGAAAATCAGAAATTGATACTTAAAAAAACGAAAAACAAAAACAAAAACAAAAACAAAATCAGCCATCATCAGGTGTTCGATGAAATGTGTGGAACTCGGAGATTTCTGTGGATGAAGAAATCACATGTTTGCAGAGCATTTGCACGGAGGAGATCTCCATGGCAACTGGTAGAGAAGAAACCAGGGGAAAAAAGGCGGGAACGGCCCTCCAGTCTTGGAATGCTGCAAAGTGCAAAGCAATACCAGCTCTTCTAACCAAAACAGTACTCGAATTTTTGAAGTAATTTTAAATAAATAAGTTTTATTTTCAATTTCTATACTAATGTTTAAATTAAATAGATTGAGTTGCACAAAGTACTGAACAATGCTAGGGGTACACCTTTGGTGTACTCCAAATGATTTTTTTTAAATTTCTTGCCAGTTTATGTGGACAAAGAGGGAGTGAGTGACATATGGGGTACACCATTTGGTGTACCCCTAACATTTTTCCAAAGTATTATATTTGTATGATTGGCTGGCGAGCGTGTCTAGTTAGAAAATGCAAAGAGTGCAAAAGAAGTAAGAACTGAACTCGATTCCTAGCAAATGAGTTTGGAAGCAACTATGCTAAAATAAGATCTCTTGTCAATCTGCGATCAAAATTCAATTTACCTCATTTCAGTGATTGTCCAACTGAGTCTGAAGTAGGGTTGTAAAACGAACAAATAATTTGATTTGATTCGTGATTCGTATTCGAAATCAATGATTCGTATTCAAAAAAATGAATACAAATAAGAATATAAATATTATTAGAATTCAAAAGAAAACAAACACGAATGTATATGCATTTGATTCGATAAATTGATTAACATGTTCAAATATAAATATAAAAATGTATACCCAATATACTCGGGAGCAAAGATAAGATCTATGATTCAACATTTCATTTATCCCGAAATTGTTACGTACATCAGTGCATGGAACATTTTCATTCTTTAATCGTGAAAATGCTAAGGTGCTTCCAATATGGATCATCGACTGCTTGAAGAATAATAAATAATGAGAATACAAAAACGAAAGCGGAGTAATTATAAAAGCCAATTTAAGCATAGAGGTCCTCGACCTTTTACCTGTTCAATAATAATACAATGTGCTCAAGCCTAGAGAAAGGCTTTGAAATAACATAGGGAGAGTATATAATAAATCCAACACAAATTCATAAGACAAATAATCTTCTCTTCTTTGGGGAGGGGGGCTAGATAAACAAACTGCTGCGTCCACGGTCGGTCAATCACGGGAACCTCGCTTCAGTTGCTCTAGGCCTACAAATAAAGCATATTACAAAGATTATACTTTTACTGGTTTTAGAATCACAAAGTCTGTTTTGGCTTCTATTTTTGGCCAATATGAGTTATAGACGATACGGTTTCCAAGAAGCGATTTTGGAAATCACATCTATGGTTCTATCAAAATTCCGTGTCGTGGCGCCTTATTCTATATTACAATGGCATCTTTTTGAAAACGCAAACCAATGTCACCCCATATATTGGAATCAATACCGACCAATCTTTTGCCAGCATCAAGCTCGGTATGATTGGATGCAACAACAGGTGTGAAAGGACAAATGTTTCATGACCAATATGGAGGAGTGAAATATGTGATTCACAATCTCTCCTTTAATTAAACTCCAAAGTTAATTTTGGGATGGAGGGGAAAATATTAGTGATAAACTAGTTATCATTTTGGCTTAGTGGAAATTATTTTGTATTTTGTGACATTATGATTATAGACGGAACATATTCAGTCATTATTAAATGATCGTGATAAGGTAGGTGGCCCCACCGGATTTTATACACCCTGCACCTGATTGTGTTGGGTAGAAAACTATGGCTCTAGAAATCACAACACACCTTGTTAGCAATGTTGTTGGAAAGCCAATCAAGACCTTCATAGAGCCCCTCGCCGGAAGTTGCACAGGTGCTCTGGATGTACCTGGAACCCGCAAAGGGGTGACACGGAAAAAATCATTAAGACACAGAAAGAATCAAAATGGAAAGTTCGATGAGAACTTAAAAGACATTTACCAGTGGCGTTGCCTCAAAGAGTGGAGGCCAAGCTTGTCTGTGATCTCGGCAGCATTCATGGCATTGGGAAGATCTTGTTTGTTGGCAAACACCAGCAGGACTGCATCTCGAAGCTCATCCTGGAGTAAGAGATCAGATCAGATAAATATTGAAGCCTTAAAGTAAGGATGCAGATGATGGAAACCCATTCGGCAGAAAAAAATTCAAAAAGATTAGAGGCAATTGTGCACTCCATTGGAGTAACACAAACACATACCATACATTGATCCCAGAAATGAATAAATATGGAGCATAGAAATAATAAATTAGTTAAGCAGTGGGTGAAGATGAATATCACCAAAAGAAAGTGAAAGAGGAGGCAGAAAGGTGAAACAGAGATATGTGTCATTAGTTTATTTCTACCAGTCAGTAACCTATTTTGATTTGGTATTCGACCCATATATCTACAAGAGACTATACTGTGTACATGCATAAACACCCTTTATTGGTTATTTTATATACTACAGAGTACTTGGGACAAATGACTATCACATGTTTGAGCTGAAGTATGATCCCACCAAGAACCACATGAGTACAAAAAGGAGCTTCTTAAATACTACGCAATTCTTACAGTTTGAACATAAAGTTCAGAAAAATCTTGTTTTGAGAAGTGGAAATGAGTAGTATCGCACTGACCAACTGACCGACAGCCCAAAAATCACTGTGTAGATCGGGTGAAGGCATGAAGAAACACTTGTTCAATAATAATTTAATAACAATTTGACAAACGAGATGTAGAGTGAATATCATTATGCAAAATATTTTCACATTCCCACAGAATAAGACTCAGAAGAGTGAAAGGATTTCCCATACCTCATTCAGCATCCTATGCAACTCATCCCTTGCTTCCACAACACGGTCCCTATCATTGCTATCAACAACAAAGATGAGGCCTTGTGTATTCTGGAAATAATGCCTCCATAATGGGCGAATCTACCAAATGCACACAAAAACAAAGTGCAGATTATGCATCAATTAAGATTTTGCAAAGGGAAGTAAAAAAAAAGCACATATTTCATGCAACAGAGAAAAGTTCCACAGGGATAGAACAAAAAGAAAGGAACCTATCAAGAGAGAATTTGATCTTGAAACATTCTCTTGAGTCTTAACCGAATGAAATTACTATGAAAAATTGGCACATATTTCACTAAAAGTGGTTAACTCGGAAAAAGATGCAATAAAAAAACCCATCATACCTTGTCCTGGCCCCCAACATCCCAAACTGTGAAGCTGATGTTCTTGTACTCTACAGTTTCCACATTGAAACCTGCACAAAACCAATCATTACTATTAGCGCAACAAAAAGCACCAGTTGGAAATTCATATAAAAGGCTAATATATTTTGATCAATGAAAGCCGCAAAGTGATGGGGAGAGCTACTCCCATAGAGAAGGAGAAGGAAAAAAAGAAAAAGAAACTTTAAAGTTTAGAATTCGCGAATCTTAATAACGTTATACCAAATGTAAAGAGTATATGTCTAGCCTCATGATATGTACATTTGTATTTTCAAACCCAGCAGGCATAGGTCGTGTTTATGCAATGTCATATTGCATACTACTCCATGCATCCCAAAAAACTTCCCACTTTTTTTTAGATTGTCCCGTAATAAATATCATGATTTTTTCCTTTTGATTACAGAATTTTGAGGTCATTATTTCTCTCCTTTGCATAAACTTCAATAACACAATTTCACAATTCATAAGCTTTGTGCAAAAAAAACAAATGAGAAGTTTAATTTGAGACGGAAGGGTAATATAGCCGTAATGGTGCATTGCACTATATAACATGAAAACCAAATAAAAACCCCATCTAGGATAGTAGCAAGCAACATATTTATTCCTTCGAAGGGCTCAATAGACATGTAGACAACTGTACCAAAACCATACTACATAACTCAATTAAGAGAACTTTTAGAAACATTGAGGGGAAAGTGCATACCAATGGTAGGGATGGTAGTGACAATCTCTCCGAGCTTCAGCTTGTACAAGATGGTGGTCTTACCAGCTGCATCGAGACCGACCATCAGAATGCGCATCTCCTTCTTGGCAAAAAGCCGGCTGAAAAGCTTGGTGAAACTGAGACCCATTCCGATCTCTCACTAATCACACCTACGTACCGTCAATCAAAATTACATCAAAACAAATTGATCAGATCTCAAGAAGAGATCAAATTGTGATATAGCCTACTCTCCACCTGCATCGTACAGATCAGAGATTTAAAAAACGCGTCAAAAACAAAGGAATGCATTTAAGTGTATAGAACGGCTTGAAATGATACGATCTCAAATCAAAAAATTCTGAATTCGAGCCCTGCAGATTTACAGAGATTTTAACCATCTCACGCACCAATCCACAGATCAGATGAATACAATCAATTAAACCATTATATTCCGTTAAAAACTGCACCAATCCATCACGATTAACCACTCATTGAAGCATCGATCGTGTTTTACAGATACAAAAAACTTAAGAATTGCGAATCAGAAACGTAAACACGTTATCCCGGCATCGAGAACAGGGAGAGAATTTCAGTTCAGACGTACCAGAGGAGAATTCCGGGGAGCTGGATCTGGAGAAGAGAGAAAGCGCGCGCGCAGGGGAGAGGATGAAGAAATGGAGCCAATGAGAAATCTTTGGAACTTGTGAGGCTAATAATAAATAAAGGCCGACAGGGTGAGAGTGCTAATTGCGCAAAATGTTTCTTAATTGAAATTCTTATAATGGAAAATTCTCAAAATTGTATTTGCGCACCTACCCTACAGAATCTCGTTTGAGAGATGAGCACATACCATACCAAGGCTAACTCACATCCGATCCGACAGTTATTAAAAAAATAAATTAGACTTTAATCGCAAATTGGTGGCAGAGAATAAAGCTTGCATTTAGTACTTGCAGAAACTTTATATTTAGCATAGTTACCTAGCGCAGTTGTCAGAAATTGAACTCGAGTATACCCCTTAGATGCCTAACTTTGTCAATTACGCAACATCCATCGTCACACACAATCTCATTTCACAACCATTACAAAATGGTTTCTTTCTATATACATTAAATTTAGTTAAAATAAATGCAAAAAATTGTTTTTCGTGGTAGTATCTTTGGAAACTTGAATATAAATTTCAAATTCAAATTTCATTCAAATCCCATGTTTGAAAACTTTAACAAATTTGGATTTAGATTTGAGAAAAACAATTAATTCATAACAACGCTCAATTTAAAATTCATATATCTCCTTTTTCATTTGAAGTTGAAGAATTCAAATTTTGAAATTAAAATGAAAGAATCAAAATAAAATATAAGTTTTCAAACAATATCTTTCAAAATTCACCAATTTAATCATTCAGTGAGCCAAAAAATTGTTGCCGAGTAACCACAATTTTGTGATAAGAACTCACAGTTCCATCTTTTTTAAAAATACTCTGGTGTACCTTTAATTATCCGAAAACTAACTTCGGGGGAACATTCCGTCCATCCCTTTGTCAAATTCATTTTCTCCGTTATCTTTTCACCACCTTCTTCCCAAAAAATTTTGTTAGGTACCCTTAATTTTGTAGAAATAACTTTCAGATTTCATCATTGTTAAAAATATACTTCGGGTACCCTAAAATATCCAAAAATTTGCTCTCGAGGAATTTCCCTTTTCCTTTATTATTATTATTATTGAAGTATTACTATTATTATTATTATATTTATTATTATTATTAGATTATTATTATTATTGTGTAACTATTACTATTACTGTTATTATATTATTATTATTGTTATTATTATATTATAATACTAATATTAATATTGAAGTATTATTATTGTTATTAGTATTATTATTCTTAGTTTATTATTATTATTATTACTAGTATTATTCTTATTATTATACTAATAATAATAATAATAATAATAATAATAAAAGGAAAATCCCCCAAAGTAAGTTTTTGGATACTTTAAGGTACCTCAGAGTATATTTTTAAAAATGATAAGACTTAAAAGTTATTTTTACAAAATTGGAGGTACCTAATAGCAATTTTTTAAAGAAGATAAAAGATAATGGAGAAAATGAATTTAACGGAAGAATGTGCAGAATGTCCTTCCAGAGTTAGTTTTCGGATAATTAAAGATACCCCAGAGTATATTTTTTAGAAAGATGGGACATGTAAATTCTTATCACACAACCGAGGGTACCTGTAGTTTTCTCTTAGTGAGCACACTTAAACTTATGATATACACACACATTAGATAAAATTTTATATGTAAAGAATGGACATCAAATTCTCTACAGCGATTTGCTCATTTATTTTTCGGACGAATAATAAAAATAAAAGATAGTGTCTTTCTTAAATAAGAGGTTACATGTTTAATCCCAATAGATGTGATTACTCTCTAAGTTTCAATACGTTGAGAAAAAGTATGAACAGATATTACATTGTAATACAGACAGTTATTAATGATTTTAAAAAAACTGTGAATTTCATTTGAACAATTTTCTTGGAGTTAAGAGACAATTTCTCCAAGAACCAAAGTATGATCAAGCCCAGCCACAGCTTCCAACACTTCAAAATCTTGACAAAAATCCACTAGCATTGGCTCAGCTTCATCTGCAGAACTACACAACCCTAACCTTCCATTTTTACCACAGCCCCAAGCCCAAACCTCATTCTTAGTTGTGACCACAAGAGAATGTGCCCTCCCGGCGGACACCGATTTAGGGGTCTCACCCTCTAGCCCTTCGACCAGTAGGGGAATGTGCCCTAATGCCACCGCAGGACATTGCCTCCCAAGTTGACAACTTTGGTTCCATCCCCACGAAAATACCTTTGGTCCGGACGAAGGGTCCTCGCAAACCGCCAAGGAGTGCCCTAAACCCGAAGCTACGCTCGAGGCACGGAAGCCACCTATGTCCACGGGGTGAAGTCCCAAATCTTGACTTGTCCTTCCTAGCTGCCCATATGCATTGCTTCCCCCACTTAGGAGTGTGCCATCGCCTGAAAATCATAAAAATTCAATCTTTTTTTTGTTCTACGCTTCACAAATATAACGGACATGTTCGGGACTTCGGGAGTGTTTTTTAACAACTTCATAATCCAAGTATCTAGATTCTACATTTCGGCTAAATTTAACACGAAAAGAATAGGCTTTTACCTCGTAGTCCTTGTTTGGGAGGAGAGTAATGAAAAATCAAAATCAAAATCCCATAAGAGTGGGGTCTGAGGAGCATGTGTGTAGCAAACCTTACCCCTACTTGGAAGTAGTGAGAATGTTCCCAAGAGACCCCCGCTCAAAGTAAGCACAATAGCATGAACAATGTAAAGGTACAAGCACAAGGAGTGTTATTTATGACAGCTTACTGCAAACAACCAAAGAGTGGTCAAGCCCGCAAGCGATGTCTTCAACTGTCACCCCGAGTAGCTCCTCAACTAAACCGGGCTTCCATATAATGGGCATATCTTTTTCCTTCTCTATGGCTTCGAAAACCGACTGCTCGGCAGCTTCTTCTGCTGAGATGAAAGTCTTCTCGGGCGATTTGAGTTGAGGAGATTTCTCTTCCTCCAATGGGGAGATTTCCAACTCTTTCCCGATCTTCCCTATCCTCCCATCTGCATAATATCCCCATCCGAACAATTTCCCACTTGCAGACATTGCTAGAGCATGCCCCCAACCAAATGATGCCTGCAAATACCAAAAAAAAGAGTCGTGCTTCACAAATGTACAACTTTTTTCATTTTCGTAAGGTGCAACCGTTGGAAATCATCAAATATAGGTTTGTTTTTCGAGTTTCTTTGTTGGTTTAACTAGATTTAATATGCTCAACTTGTTTGAGACAATTTTTTATGAAAAAAACATTAAATATCATGAGACGGAAAACGTTGAGATGATTTCTGTGCAGATGAAGAAAAAACATTATATCTTCAGCATGGTTGGAAAACAACCTTAACTATATGTTCTCCAGCAAGTGTTTCAACCCTGGAGGGTAAAACAGCCTTTGTGAGTCCTTCCCCGAGACCAAGCTGCCCATTTTTAGAACTCCCCCAGACCCACAGAGACCCGTCCTCTGCAAGGGCAGCAGAGACAACACCAGAAGCAAATGCAGATCGAACCCTCACTTTATCTAGCCCTTCTACCCTCTTCGGTTCATTCCATTTTTCTCTGAATCAAATCAGAAAGAAGAAAATAAAATGGCAAATTTGTTAGCATAACACTCCGTTCTACTCAAAGAAACAGTCTTTGAGTAATTAAAAAAAAGGAGCAACTCATATTGCATGGATTAGATTGTAACACTCTCTTAGGTTCGAGGAATTTGGAAGAGAAAAGAAAAGAAAATGGTAAAGGAAAAAAATATTGAGGTTTGCAATGGAGAAGGAAAAGAAAAGTTGAGGAAAATATAGCCAATTTCCACCTCTCAAGTCTCAAGCATCTCTTGACCTCTTCTTTCGATTTCTTTATAACAATCAAAGAAATGAGTGATTGAAAAATAATTTCTTAACCAATTTCTAACCAAACAAGATTAGCACTTTCCTTTGTTTCTCGATTCCTCGAACCAAAGATAGTGTAAGAAGAGAAGGCTACCTAGGGGAAAGATGGTGACGACCAAGCTGAGCTTCAGTGTTACGGCCCCATGAATAAACATGACCCTCGCGTGTAACAGCGATAGAGTGAAAGTGGCCGGCAGCTATGCTGGTGACATCACAAGGGAGGCACGAAATGGGAGTAGGCTCGTAAACATCAGAGCCTAACCCCACTATGGGCATCGGGAGGCCCAAAGCTCCGTGGCTTCCATCCCCAAAGCTCATCACGGTTCGTCCCCTCTGGCTACATATCCATCGCCTGCTCAGTCCGACAAGAAAACCAGACGTTGAGAATCTCTGTCTCTTGAATGAAAACATCAATTGCATCTCATTGTCGTAGACTTTAGTCCTACAAAATCAAGAGAAGCCTTTCTTCAATACTATTATGTACTACTAGAGTACTAGCAGTTCAATTCAACTTGTAGTAAAGAGTTCATAGAAATGGCCTACGGCAGACATAAAAGAAACAAAATAGGATCCCTATCTTAAAAACTGCATCCTATGATTAAAAAACAATGCTCCAAAAACAACTACTACAAGAACAAACCCAATAAAATCTTAGTGTTCACACAAACCTTACACCTACTTAAAAATAGAGAGGATGTTTCAAATAGACTCCTAGCTCAACCATAGAAGTACCAACAAAGTAAACACGTGAGCACGAAAAGAGTAAGAGCATAGACACAACGAACACATGTATCAACAAATTACACCAAATCATAGAACCAAATATCCCAAACAAGCTTTTACATTTAAAAAAAGACTAAAAGAACAAACTTTTTTATGATTTTGGGTAAACAATACATTAAGAAAAGATCTCCCAAAGAAACACATAAGCTCAATTTATCTTTACAATGCACAAGAAACACAATAAAAAGGAAACTTTTACAATCAATTCTTATTCCTCAGCCGGAGGCGAGCCAGGCCACACACTAAGTCTTTCCTTCTCGTACTTAGCATACACCGCCACAGCCGCCGCCACGAAGTATACCTGAAGCACAACTACCGCCGGAGTATGATACTTTACCACCGCCTGACCAGTCGCCAGCTCCACCATCAACAAAGCAAATAATCCCAGAATTGCAATCCGACCATTGGCCCGTTCGGAATACCGGGTGAACCCGAACTCCACATTCAGCCCCTCCGACGCCGGTTCTTGCAGTGGCACAGGCGGGAGGTAGATCCCGGATCCAGGCTCTGATCCTCTCATCTTCGCTTGTCGAGCCTTCCTTCGCTCTGCCTTCTTACCCACTCCTGTCCGGTAACGGATCCGGAATCTGGAGAGCCGGGAATCGAAGTCGTCAGGTTCGGAGGAGGTTGCCTGGGATTTTGCTTCTTCGGGACCGGATGGGGAATCTCCGGCGGCCGCACGAAGTGCGAACCGCAAATAGGTCTGGGCGTGGGGTTTAAAAGGGGAGAGGGCGATTAGGGATCGGGAAAATGATACCGTCGCCATTTTTATGCCTTCTTGAGGTGACTACAAGAACTTATCTTCGTTCTTGCTCGATCTTTATACTAAATGGGGATAACGGTATTAGGGAGTGGACAAAAAACCAGTCTTTTTGATTTATGAATTAATTTTTAAAACGAAATTGGGGGAGAAAATCAGAAGAAAATCGAGGGTTCTTAATTGAATTCAACCATAAGAAACGAAACCTGATGTTGCATTCTCCAGCCAACCATTGTCTTCTTGAGGGGCACAGCACGCTGCAATTTATAGGAAGGCGCTGATGAACAAATTATGCAAAAAAATTGAAGAAATAAGCAGAAGCATTGTGCCTGATTGAACGGACGTTAACTTTTTTTACCGGTACTAGTTTACCTCCAACGTTCTTCCTTATTTTTTTACCAATTGGTTCCATTGCCCCTTTTGGAGCATTTTCAATATTTGTTCAAAAAATTAATGATTTTTCCTCTTTAAAAGCTTGTTCTTTTTAATTGATTCCATTGATTTTAATCTGAAGAAGAAGAATTGTTTAAGAAATGGAGGGAGTATATATAATTATTCTATTGGATTTCATTTGGTATATGAAATTCAAATCATGAAATTAGAATTTAAGATTTTAATTTCAATTATTCTATTTGGTAACACAAAAATCTATGAAATTGGAATTGAATTCTATTTCCAATTCTTCCAATTCCACATTTTGAACTTCATAACACAAGAAAAGAATTGACAATTCAAAATTTGAATTCTATGGATCAAAATCAAATGATGCAAATCTTTTCTAGGTTATAACAAAGAAACAAGTCTTATGAATTTCAAACATAAAATTTAAAATTTAAAACTAAAAATTTAAATTTTAAAATTAATTTAAAATTTAGAGTTTAAATTTAAAATTTAAAATTTTATTTTTAAAATTTAAATTTTATAGTTTAATTTTTAAATTTTAAATTCCAATATTAAGTTTTATATTTTTAACATCCCGCTAACACAATTAAGGTTTGAAAATGACTTGGATTTTGTTTTGAATTATCCTACTGCGAGAAATCTCGAAATACAATTCTATATCAATTTTATTTATAATTTTGTGTTACCAAATAAAAAGTTTGGAATTATAATACAATTCTAAATCAAATTTCTAATTATACCAAATAAATGATTTGGAAATAAATTATAATTCAATTCTATCCAATTCAAATTCATAGAATTTCAATTCTAAATCAAATCTGATTCTGTATACCAAACGGAGCCTTAGTGTATTCATCTACTTTAATTTTTTGAGTCAAACTTTAATAATCAATTAGTCTTAATTTGTATTACTACCTTCGTTAATGAGTATTTGTCCAGTTTTAATTTTTTTGAGTTAACTGTTTTCATCATTTGACCTATAAATAAATAAATTAAATATATATTGTAAATTAATTAGGTAATATAATATTTTAAACTTTTTTTTATATAATAAATCTAATAAAACTATTTTTGTATCAATATCTAATATCATTTTTATTTAATTTGAGGTCGAAATTTACCACCAAAAAAGTTAAATGTGAACAAATACTTGGGGACGGAGAATACACTTGTAACAAATAAAATTTTGAAACATCTCAATAATATAAATTTAGTAAAAAATTATGCTAAATTAATTGTAATCTTTATTTATTTAAAATTTTAAGTTTGTCTAGTTTATCTTGAAAAAGTCAAAATAGATAAATAGTTTATCTTGTGGCCATGGGTGCAAAGTGGCCAACCTCACAATGTCCTTAAAATTTTAGAACCGTATATTTTTAAATTAATCATTAATTTAAAGTGTAAGTATTCTAAAATAATACTCCATGTAAAATAGAACTCAATATGTGAATTTCAGTCTAGACTAATTTTATTTTTTCATTTTTCGAGACCGGTCCTGCTAGCATGTGGGCTGTGGCTAACCGGTGGGTGATTGCGGAAATCATGGCTTACAAGGAGTAGTGGAGTACTATATTGGCGTAGAAATAATGGTGTTCGTGAAGTCCAGATGTTCTCGGACGGTTTGAATGTGCTCGAGGCTGCAAAATGGAAATAAAGTTTCGTATCGTTCATATTTCGGTCGAATATATTTGTTGTTAAATGCTTGACTCTCATAGCTTCCTTTGATGTAACTACTTGAAAAAAAAAATTAAAGCAATTAACAAACAAACAATAATTAAATATTAAAATTAAAAAAAGAGCACTTTCATAATTAAAAATTTTTTCATCCGAAATATAAACTTGGGCCATCTGGCATAGCTTATTGAAGTGGTGCACGGGGGAATTGGGCCTTCATTCGGGAGCGCATATGGAATTTAATGAGTTTTGTCCCACACCGGCAGAACAAGTTTAAGAATTCGCAATGATATACTCCGGCGTAGTAGCAGAAACTGTCCCTTCGGGGACATCCGATAAAATTGGAACGATACAGAGAAGATTAGCATGGCCCCTGCGCAAGGATGACACGCACAAATCGAGAAATGGTCCAAATTTTTTTTCCAATCTCGTAGATTGCTATTACTCCCTCTTAAAAACTTTTCCTAATATGAATTTTTTTGTCAAATAGTGACATTCTTTGACTTCAAATTTAACATGATCTAAATAAATATATGATATAACAATTTGATATATCAAAATTATATCTTAAGATGAAACCAATTCTATTGAATTTCTATTATAATTAAATATAGTTTTCTCATAATTTATGGTCAAAGAGCGTCAATGTTTAACAAAAAAAGTTAAAACAAGAAATGTTTTTAGAACCGGAGAGAAATTTATTTTTGTATTCTTGTTTTCAATAGTTTCCATCTTTTTTTTCTGAAAACTCGAAATGTGTATTTATATTTTTAAGTAATCTCTGTCCAAACTTGCAGAGAAAAGGAACAACCAAAAGTGATTTTGATTGCAATTCGATGAAATGCTATGAAAATAGGTTTCAAACGAACTGACAAACGAGTAGTAGCCCCCACATAGACTTTGAACCATTCCGAAGAACTACGCATCTCTCCCTCTGTGAAGACTTTGCTTTTTGAACTTTTTTAATGTGTCAAAGTATGGAAGAAGAAAAAAACTTGAAATGAAATTTAATTCTAAGATGGAGAGATTGAAAAATATGACATTCAGAATCTATTTATGCATACATTTACACATTGTTGTGATGAGCTCTTTTGTTTTATTTTAGATTGTACTATACTTTGGACTATAGTGCAACACAATTTTGTAGTTTTGCTAAACCTGCATAAATGCTCTTGTTAGGAGTGGCAAGGGTTTGAAGAGTTTGAATTTTTATTTGACTCAGCCTTACTCTCATTTTCTACAAACGATTCGGAACGGTCCGGGACACAACGTTGTCCTACATCGTCTCATTTGTCTATATTGAGATCGGGATAATTCAAAATGGTTAAGGACGTCCCGATTCAAATTTTCAATCTATTTTAAACCTAAATTTTTTAAAATTGCTAACCCATAAAGATAATTCAAAAGTTTTATACAAACATTTTCAGTAAATTCTTAAATAAAAGTGTAATACAAACATTTTCAATATAGTATGATTAATGTCAACATTGAGACATTCTGAAATACTCCCCTCCGTCTCTAATTTGATTGCAATTTTTTTCTCATCTCGATAATTTTTTTTGTTTACGCGATTACATTAAGTATTTGATTAAATAAAATATTCTTGTCTGTTTTGTAGAACGTTTGACGTAGTTTTTAAATATGTAATTTTTATTTCTTATCGATATACCGAATTGCAAATAAAATAATTTTAAAAAGTGAGATATTTCTAATCGTAAACTCTAATTTGTAATCAAATTGGGGACGTAGAGAGTATTATACTCCCCCGTCCGGAAATATTCTTCCCATGTTGACTTGGCACACTTATTAAGGAATAGTTTAAAAAATGACAAATCTTCAAAAATGTACATACTGATGGTGTAAATTACCACGCAAATATTAAGTGTGAGTAATCGGAAAGGTTGTAGGTGGAATCACCTGTAACCCGATTTGTTATTAATGATAATAGGAGTTATTACAAATACAAGCCGTGTAGGTTAATTAAAACATGCCTCACAAATGAGGCTTTTAAGGGTATTTATAATAATCCTAAGCACGTCAAGCACGTCTCTGATTATCCAACCGGTCAGGCGACTGACCGGCCCACCAGGTGTACTTTGAAAGTAAATCTTCGGGTATTGGCGTCTGGTCTCCTCATCCAACCGGTCAAATAACCCGGGCAGAAAAAGACGCGTGCTGTTCGGTGAACCAACCGGGTGGTATCCTTGGGTTATTACCCATCACATACTATAAATTTTTAAATCTTTTTTTCTTATTAAAAAAGCAATAAAAAAGTAGATTAGTGAGAAGAATATTTTTGGAAGAGCCAAAAAGGAAAGTGAGAAGAATAAGTAATGAGTGAGAGTGTAATCAATTTGAATTCAATTCTTATGTCGACAGTCGATGACCAAGCTTGCCCTGAATTCCCTTCTTTCTCCTCCAAAGCTTCATAAATCTCTGAGAGCATCTGTGTGGCCGAAAATGGAGTCCAAGAGAAGTGTCCTTTCTTCTGCATTCTTTTTCTTCAACAAATTTAGCCGGAGAAGACTATCTGTGTCGCCGTCTCCTCTCATGCCGGGCAAAATGGCAGCTGAAACTGGTACTTCTTCGCCCTCTTCTCTGTCCTCACTTCGTTCATTTCACTCTATCCCTCAAATTGTTTCTTCTTCAGATCAGAATCATGTTAATTCCGGATACGATATTAGTTCAGTGCATGATTTAGACCACGCCCATGTACTGTTCGATCAAATGCTTAGCTCAAGACCATTGCCTTGTATCATCCTGTTCAACAGACTGCTCAGTAGAATTGTGAAAATGAAACATTATTGGGCTGTGGTTAGCATTTTTAAAGAAATGCTCATTCGGGGCATCCCCGTTGACACGTATACCCTTAACATTCTGATTGATGCCTTCTGTCGCTCCAATCGGGTGGATTGCGGGTTTTGTGTGATTGGGATGTTCTTCAAGTCTGGAATTGGTTTCAGTGCGGTGACGTACAATACCCTGATCAAAACTCTATGTCTGAATGATAAGATTGCGGAGGCTGTAGAGCTATTTAGGATGTTTGTGCGGGACAATTCGTGTGAAGTTGATAATTTAACTTGTAACATTCTTATGAACGGACTTTGCAAGGCGGGTAATACTCAAACTGCCCTCGATTTGCTCACGGTATTGCAAAAGGAGGGGCCTAAGCCTGATAACGTAGCATATAACACGGTAATTGATTCTCTCTGCAAAGACGGAATGGTGGATCAGGCTCTCGATCTTCTCCCGCAGATGACAGAAAGAGGGGTTTCCCCTAACATCGTCACGTACACTTCGTTGATACAAGGCCTTTGCCATTTTTGCCGATGGAAAGACGTTACAAAGTTGATTGATGAGATGGCGCGGCATAATCTATACCCAAATACCCGTACGTTCAATATATTAGTGGGTGCCTTTTGCAAGGAGGGGAAGTTGAAAGATGCAAAAAGTGTTATTCAAATCATGATTCAGAGGAACACTTACCCTGACGTGATCACATACAACAATTTTATTGAGGGGTATTTTTTGCAAGGGCAGATGGATGAAGCCAGGAGAGCCTTTGATCAGATGGTAGAGGAAGGCATTCAACCTGATCGCGCAAGCTACACCACATTAATTAATGGGTATTGCAAAAGAAAAGCAATGGATGAGGCCATGCATCTTTTTCTTGAAATGCAAGAGAAAGGGATTTGTCCTGATGTTGTTACATACACAGCAGTGTTGCAAGGGCTGTTTCTGGTGGGCCAATTCGACGATGCTTTGAATATTTTTCAAAATATGCAACTTTCTGGACATGCACCTAATTTTCACACTTATTGTGTCTTACTTACCGGTTTGTGTGATAACGGGCATATTGGGAAGGCAATGTCAGTCTATAGTAAGTTAAGTAGTAACGAGAGCGGTTCTCATGTTTTTGGTAGTATCATTATAGACGGGCTTTGCAAGATGGGGTTACTCAATATTGCACGCGGCATATTGAGTAACCTCTTCTTTAAAGGTCAATACCTAAATAAGTACACGTACACTGCAATGATGAATGGACTTTGTCAAGGTGGATTTGTACACAAAGCTTTAGAGCTTCTGAGGAGAATGGGCGAGATTGGATGCGAGCCAGATTCAATCACTTACAATGTTATTTTGCAAGAATTCGTTAGAGCGAAAAAACTGGACGAGGCAAGTACGCTTTTGGAAGAAATGTCCAATAAGTGCATTTCTCCAAACAATCACACATTGACCTTGATGAATGACTTGCTTGCATTTGGAACAGAAAACGAAACAGTACCAAAGGTGATCAAGAAATTCACACAGAATCTTTGATTTTTTTTTTGGCAGATTCTCCTTCCTAATGCATAGACCAGCTTGACACAAAAGCCATGGCAGGTAACACTTCCCTTATATTCTCAAAGTAACATTTTCAAACTACTAAATGCAATGAGAGGTATATTAGCGCAACACTTTCCCGCCTTTATGGCTCTCTCCAATCTTTGTGTCTCCGTTGCTAGTTTTATTGTCTGTTCTTGTTTTCAACAAGGGTGTCTTTAATCTGTTTTATGTATGAAATGCCTGTTGTTGTGCCCTACAACAACAGAAGCCAAGGTGTGTGTGTGTGTGGGGGGGGGGGGTGTACGTAGACCTTACGGACAATAATATGGCTTATGGGTATTATTTCTATTCAATGCTTGAGACAAAGGTTCTGCTACTCTGAAGAGAGAGGCTACTGGAGCAATTGTATTTAGGAGAAAACCATAAGAAAAGCTGCTGGCACAATTTTATTCAAAAAACTACTTTGAGCCTGTTTGAGGGGACCCAAGTTTTTTTGTAAAGACTGGTATGATCTCATGGCTTTAGAGCATGTGCAATGGCAAGGAAGAGGCATGTCATGCACTGCCACATCAGCTTCTTCCACACATATCATGGCATGGCAAGGCTAAAATGCCTTGCTTTGTGCATGAGTGTGGCACTCCATCCTTCTCTTTTTATTTTTTTTAAATAAATTTTTTTAAAATTTTTTATGAAAAGAATGTACAAAAAAGTAGAATAATTTTTTAATAAAATAAATAATAAAAATATTTTTTTATGTTTAAAAAACATAAAAAATTGTAAAAAAGTGATAAAAAATAATGACTTGCCATTGTAGAACTTGCCACTCCATTCACTTGCCACACGCTGACTGGACTATTTTTGATTGGTTAAAATGTTCCATGTCACCGTGTGGCATTCCATTTTTGCCTTGCCATTGTTCATGCTCAAAAGAGTCACCCGGGTCCTAGAGTTTTTTATTATATAAAGATTAAAGACTACAGGGATATTTTTCAGCACTAACATATGATATTATGACACATAATATTTTTCGAGTCAAACATGATGAACTTTGAGCTTCAATGAAACAATAATTATACTATATATTAGTGTAAAAATGATTTTATTAGATTTATCTTGTTGCAAACTATTGAAAGTTTATTTCATTGTACAAATATGGGATACAAGTGAAGAGTAATTAAAGCTCAAAGTTTGTACAATTTGATTCGAAAAATTTAAACAGGAAAAATACATTTGGACGAAGGTTTTATGTCACAATAAATATAAAAAAAATTGTACTTATATTATATTTATTCACACGGCCTGGTTGTCTTCTGTTATGACAATCATCTTGTTTTTAATTTCTGTTTTCTTTTCTTCATTTACAATTGACTAAAAAAGAATTTTTTTGTGTATTTCTTTTTTTTTTTCAATTGCAAATAAGAAAAAGAATAGAAAATTAAAACGAGATGGTGATCCTAGCAGACCACATGAATAATCAAGAATAATTTAGGAAATATAGAGTATTTTGACAAATTTTTACTTTCATTATTCACATGTGCAAATTTTATTCACTTTGCTGGTTAATTTTTGTTGCCCATTTAATAAAATAATATCTTTATATCATCTCTAGTTTTGTAGATTTTTTTATCTAGTTTTTAAATATCCTGAGCATGTAATTTTTATTTTTTAATTTCACACCAATTTTTTTATAAATGAATATTATAACGCACAATTAGAGATTATTATTGGACGGACGGAGTAAATTTTAGCATGGAAAAGTATCAATGGTCTTTACAAAAGAACGTATGGACCCTAATGGTTTTTCTTAAAACATGAGGACTTACAAATCAAGAAAATTTGTGTCACGTCAAAATAATCTTTTGCAATTTTAATAGAACAACATTAGCTTCTACAACAAATCAGAAACAAACTAGGAAGAATTCGCGTGGTGAACTTTAACAACTATTTTAGAAATGATTTTGCCTTCACCGGTGCGGTATGATCAAAGGTGTCACTCCCACGTAGGGTTGTAAATGAATTGAATATTTTTTGTTCGATTCGTGATTCGTATTCGTTTAAGGTGATTCGTATTCGATTTTTTCAAATCCGAATACGAATACGAATCTGAATATATATTCGAATCCTTATCGAATACGAATATGAATCAAGGGTATTCGATTCATGAGTTTGACAAATATATTCGAAATATAAATCTAATTATACAAATTATATATATATATATATATATATATATATATATATATATATATATATATATCAAATGGTTATAAAATATTTTTAAACGAATATTTTTTAAACGAATCGAATATGTTTAATATATTAAACGAATCTTAAAAAATATTCGAACCGAATTCGAATATCACTCCATCTTAACGAATATGAATATTTTTCATGAATATTCGATTCGGTTCATTTACAACCCTACTCCCACGTACGGAAGCTAGAGTCTTTGAATACCCACATAAGACGGTTGGAACCCTATTAAATTGCCCTCCAACAAGAAGAAATAGTCGAGGGCTATCGTGGGAAACACTCAATTATAAAGTGTCATATATGTAATTATTATTTATTCGAAGAAAAATATCTCAATTATGAAGTATCATATACGTGCTTATTGAGTATTGATTTACAAAAATGCCTTTTTTAGAAAGAATCAATTTAAGAATTCACACTTGAATAAATTTAATCATATATTAAAAGTGATGAAATAAAATGAATCATATCATGAAATAAATTATTGAGCATCAAATAATTTTAATATACCAAAAATATTTTTGGAACATATATTCTACAAAAATGATGTCTATTATAAAATTGGAAATCAATATAAGAAAGTATAGTCAAGAACACTATAAATATAGTTTGGCACCTTAGATTGTCACATAAATTTGCAACATGTCAACATTTTAAGCCATTGTGTGACCTACTGAATTAAACTAGAATTTTACTGATTCTTAAAAAAGAATTTCACAGACTCTACATTTCTTCTTTACTCAAAATTATTAAGGATTGAATAAAATATTAGAGACATCAACATCAAAGTTAAGGAATTATATGTCATCTAATTTAAACTCAAATATTTAGAAAACACTTAGCATATATAAAAATTTTGATGAAAATGGAAGGACTCTAATCTTGTCTGTGCTTTCGCATGTTAAAAAGCTACTTTAAACTCAAGAATGACACCAAGGTTGACACAATCAATGTCTAACTGTCTATGAGAACTCTCAGCGTCTCGGATTTATCGATCTGAGAAACATTGATGGTGTCAACCTTGGTGTTAACAGCATGATCCTTTTGGACATTTTACAACCCGAGGCTGCATAGAAATAAGAATTCTAACTAAGATATCTTCAACATTTTCAAATACATTTATAAATTGTACCTACTTCAACGAGGGAGACCGTCTAGGATTTGCAACACATTATGCCTATCGTTGACGATTCTTTGTCTTGCGTAAAACAGAAGGAGCATCTTGTCAAGCATGTCTTCTTTATTGGCCGGCAAAGTATTGGATGACCAAAAATCATGTTTCAGCAATTTTTTTTAAGTTGAAACAACTTATAACAAGCTGCAATTTCAGCCACAAACAACTAATGTCATATAAAAGCTGATGCAATATGATGTTAAAGTAATGCTGCATTTCCCTACCTAAAAATCACTTTATAAATGTATTTCCTTCTTAAAGGCATTAAACTTTTTGTATATTTCATTGCCAATTGAAATACCCATTTTGAAAAATGTTTTATTACCACATGAACTATTCTTAACTCATTCAGAGGTGTTTTATTAATTAATAAGGATCCACATTCGACCCGACACCCTTATTAAGAAAAGTAAAATTGTGTGATTGAAATTTATGCAAATGAGAAAATTAAATCGAGCCACACAACTATCACCTTAAAGAGAAAGCGGAACCTTCTTTTGGAATAGACCAAAAGGTATTACTAAACATTTACACTTGGACAGTGCACTCTTTCATTTCCTAAACATTTTAAAGGTGGGGTACCTAATTGGCCGTTAATCAGCACCTGGATGCCTTATCCCATGTAAGAGCCCAATGGGTGCCTAGTGACTTTAAGAACACAGATGCCAATAACACGGATCACTATGAATGTAACTTTGGTAGGCATTCAAGTGATCCTGTGTAGCAATAGACAAGGCAAAAAAATAACCTTGTAGGAAAACATACTTGCCAGAAAATGTCAAATTCTCCTTCTGTTGTCTACTCGCGCTTTTTTAGATGCTCCAGCAACTGATACTTCTGCACTGGATTGTATCTAGAATGGTGGGAAAACCAATCTGTCATGTAAGTCCACTTGAAACTTGCAAGCAAGTCGCAGTAAAATTCTTATTTACCTTGTTTAGTTTATCCCTAACCAATTGAACAGTTTGGTTCATAGATTGTGATGGAAAATATTCCTGTAACTGAACAGATAGAGATAAACATTATTTTCTACAGAGGACCATTCATGGCAACTTTCATGATATTCATTTCATAAAAATATTCTCTTGAAAGTTGCAAATGATACAAAAAAATAGTGCAAGTGATTTCACTTCTTCATATTCACTTTGTAACTAACCTTTTCAGAAGACACTACAGTCATAAAAGAAGAATCTCTATCATTTGCAGTCTCATGTGGCGTCATGAACTGACTAAAGAACACATGGGGTTATGCGTAAGTAGATCCTATTATTTATAAAACAAAATATATATATAAAAAACAAACCACACCTTTTTTGCGATGAAATTTTCCTTTGATCTAGCCCTGGCATTTGAGGGGTACAGTTTATATGTGAGGAGGTTGAAGTGATTTTAGATGTGCTGAAAACATTTGGCCTATGGATTGCAGAACTTATGGGCTTCTGAGCTGAAATATCATAAGTAGCAAGCAAATTATTTTGGAAGAGAACTAACAAACCGCTAAAAAGATAATCCCTCCGTCTCAAACATATTCTTCTTTTAGAAAAAAGTCCAGCAATTTGCCTCAAAATATTACTTTTGGAAATTCAATGCATATTTTTAAACTCTTTCAGAATTGTCCATAGTAATGCACTAATGCTTTTGTAATGTGGATTTTATGATAAACATAAATAAGTATAGAAGAGACATTTCCTAAGGTTCCTTAACACACATTTTTAGAACAAAAATTATTTTGGGATGGAGGGAGTACAAGTTGATAACTTACACTTCACTCGTGTTAGAACTTCCCTTCGCCTCCCTTCCAACTTCTCCTTTGTATCAGATAGAGTCTCATATTGAGGGGCATATGTGACTTGAATCCTGTTCCCCAGGAATACAAACTCATCTAATTTCCTTTTGGCATACCTATATAAAAAATATTTGTATTTCACTATTTCTAACGATAAACCCCATATGAGTGCCAAGATGATGTAATGACTATTTTCTGACACAACTCATTTTATATTGCCTGTATAAACACCAAAGATCACCGACCCACGAAGAAAAATCAGTTATTCAGCACAGAAGTGCATATATGTAAATGCACCTTTTGATTAATTAAACATGTTATTGTACCTTTTTATTAACATACTGTATATTCTTATTCATTTAAGTGATGTTATTTTTTGATACTGCAGCAATTGTGTTTTTAATTATACAAACGATTCCTGTAAAGTGTGGTAAATGGAAACTTATAATTCAATGAATTTAAAAAGTTTGAAGAAAACATAGTATTAACATTGCAAAAGAATGGATAAAATGATAATGATGTGACTCATAGCATCAATGCATGTTCCGTAACAAGTAACAATAGACAAGAGAAACTGAAGCATTGAGCTATTCAGCTATTGTTATGTGACTAGCAGTGAAGGGAAAATTATGAATGCCAATGCTTGACTGAAAAAAGAACTTGTCATTGCAGTTTCCAATGCTTGACTGAAATGATTTTCAATTTAATTTATTTCAATATGGATGTAAAATTTAAAAATAAAATTTATATACTCCCTCCGTCCCAAAAAGATCTTCCTGTTTCATTTTTTGCGCGTCTCATAAAACACTTTTATCCCGCCTCAAATGCAAAAAAAACTTTCAAAACAACTTCTACTTACAATAAATGAGAAATGTGGTAAATTTTAGGCATTTTAGATGTGTATAGAAGTGTTTTATAGGATGCGCAAAAATGAAACAGGAAGATCTTTTTGGGACGGAGGGAGTATTTAAAAACTATTTCAAAAGTTCTACAGAAACAAGAGGTAGTTTAACAATGTTATTTTAACAAACGATCAATGAAACTATGTAATGAAAGAAGATACAAATTGACCATGTGAAGAGTGAATAGTAAACGCAAAGATCTTTTTGGTATGGGGTAGATTGGAAAGCTGAACAATTGAGAACAGAGAAAATGAGTGCATGGAAGATGTGTATATTTACAAAAATGTAAGGCTACATAAGAAAAGATTATACTCCTAATCGAGAGATTCATTTGAAGGTGGGAGTAGCAATTAATTGGGGTAAATTTCAGTAATTGTACCTGAACTTTCACTGGAATTTCGAAGTGGTACCTAAACTTCAAATCCTTTCACAAAATCCCTGAACTTACATAATCCTATCACTAAAAGTCCATTTACTCGTTTCCAGGTTAACTTCCGGTCATTTGGGCTAAATTAGAATTTTATATATTTTAAAATTTTCAATTTGACCCCATTTCTTTTTTTCTTCTTCTTCCCCCTCTCACTCCCTTCTTTTTCTTCTTCTTTCACTGCCTTTCATCTTCTTCTTCTCACAATGAAGGGAAACCATGTTTTTGCCATCGTCATCTTCTCCGAGCCCACAGTCTCACTAACTGCACACTTTAATTCCATTCCTCTTTAATTATTATTAACATTATTCCCCACACTTATCCTCCCCCGCCAATCTCTCAACCAATTCCACGAACCAAATGATCCAATCATCTTCTCATCTTCTCAGACACTCCGGGAGGTGCCCGGAGAAGAAAACAACCGGACCAAAATCTTCGGGAAGTACGAGATGGGGAAGGTGTTAGGCCACGAGACGTTCGCCAAGGTGTACTTCGCCAAAAACCTCGAAACCTCCGAGCCGGTGGCGATCAAGGTTGTCCCAAAAGACCAAGTGGCGAAACAGGGGATGGCCGACCAGATACAGAGGGAAATCGTCGTGATGCAGCTGGCGAGGCACCAAAACGTGGTGGAGCTCCGGGAGGTGATGGCGACGAAGCGGAAGATCTTCTTCATCATGGAGAACGTCCGAGGTGGGGAGCTTCTGGCGAGGGTTGCGGCGGAGGGGAGGCTGGAGGAGGAGGCAGCGCGGTGGTATTTCCAGCAGCTCGTCGGCGCTGCGGAGTTCTGTCACAGCCGCGAGATTTTCCATCGGGATTTGAAGCTGGAGAATCTGTTGCTGGATGAGGATGGGGAGCTGAAGGTTTCCGATTTCGGGTTGTCCGCCTTGCCGGAGCAGCAGAGGCACGACAGCCTTTTGCACACCCGTTGTGGCACTCCGGCGTATGGGACTGGGAGTGGGGTGGGGTCAAATTGAAAATTTTAAAATATATAAAATTCTAATTTAGCCCAAATGACCGGAAGTTAACATGGAAACGGGTAAATGAACTTTTAGTGAAAGGATTATATAAGTTCAGGGATTTTTGTGAAAGGATTTGAAGTTTAGATACCACTTCGAAATTCCAGTGAAAGTTTAGGTACTATTACTGAAATTTACCCCAATTAATTGGCTATTGAAGATTTGAAGACAAGGTAACGGGTGACCAACTTCAATGATACATGCATTTTTGTCATTGAGTATTCCAAAGCAGAGAGGTTATCTCTATTTCAGTTCAGTGAAATAAACTAAAACAGAAATGCCTTTGAATGACCTCATGAGGTTATCCCTTTGTTCATGTAGTCAGTAGACTAGCCCATTGTTTCGAACTAGAGCTTTATGTAGTTGTTTTTCAAGTTAAAGTATTCCCCGTACGAGGATTTGTTTAAGATGCATACTATCCTAAACTAATAGATTAAGTACAAAAAAAATGTATTATTCAAGAATAGCCCATTAAAGATCCCACGAATGGGGTTTGGGGGGTGGCCGGGTGGTTGTATGCAAATCTTACCCCTACCTAAAAAAAATATCAAGGTTGTTTCCAAGATGATGGGGTAATTTTTCACATTTTCAATTTTTCTTTTACCTTTTGGTGTGTCTCTTAATCTTCCTGTTTAGATACAAAAAAAATTCCAATTATTGGGAGAGTGGAAAGCTATTGTTACCTGGCATTATCTGTTCTTTGAAACTTGATCCAATAGACATCAGTAAATGGTTCACAGTCTTCACCATCCATTGGTTTACATCTGAGTAAAGAAAGCCAGAAAGTATAGCTGGTATAAAACATCATGTAGTCTTTAATATAAGCGGTGGTCTATGCTCCCCCCCCCCAAAAAAAAAGGCAAACAACCCAACATAATTTACTTCTTCAATGGGCTTTCTGCAGAAGGTCGAAATTGAAGCTTTTCTGATATAAAAGTTTGTAAAAGCAATGGATAACACCCCCAACATAAAAGTTCCATGGCACTATGGCAGTAAAAAATGTATGTGCACTTGTGCAGCATATAAACATTCAAGAATTTCCTTCAACCCACAAAACGAAATAATATAAAAAATGAATATGGAAGTTGAACAGAGTTTAGAGAGCATTGTAAAGTACTCTTCAACTTCTCCATAAGCAGAAAACAATTTTGCGAGATCATCGCCACACCCTAGGGCTGGAACATTCCTCACAATCAAAAACCTGCAAACAGAATCCAATGAATTCAAAGTATAAAAAAAAAAGATAATTTTGGTTCATGAATCAATGGCCATTTTTGAAGATACAACGAACTTGGATTCATCGCAAACGGTGTATACTCGGATTGCAGGAGTCTTGTCCCTGAATCGAGGCATTAAAGTTCATCTGTTGGATAAAGTTTAGAATATTTAATAGGTGATGATAGTTATACTCCATAAAAAAAACTCACTCCACGCACTAATTTTGCACTACTCTTTTTTTAACTAGTTTAGTATTAAATTCAGTTTTTAAAATATCATGACAGATTGTTTAAAATCTATTAAGTCCGCAGATTGTTTTAATTCTGTATAGACTTGAATAGATTTTAATGTGTTTTATTAGCTGTATTTTAAATAATTGTTTAGCAAGAAGAACAAATTCAGACCCAAACCGAAACCCTAATAAAAATCTACATTCAATACACATAATCATAAATATAGCAATTCATACACATGGAGACGATGAAGAGAAACAGTATAGAAATTCATACACGCATAAGGTATAGGAATTAGACGCGTTATTAACAAACTCACTTTGTTAAACCCTTTTGTTTTCAATTTAAAAAAAAAAAATCAAAACCATATGCAGCTTCCATTATCCTTGGTGAACCCATTTCATTCAAATCCAAAGTGGAAAAAAAATTCCTTTTTAGGGGAAGAATTTTAAATCGCAACCGTACAAAGGAACAGTTTCAGAGCTTCGTACCTGGGACTCGGCGATGGAGAGGATCGTACCTGGGACTCGGCTGGAAGATGATAAAGTGAAGCCGGGAAGGTCGAAGGTGAATGCCGGAGACTGGTACGTTCCAAAAAAGATTTGTAAAATAATATTTTTTGTAAAATTAATTTAGTTCACCCGATTAATTTTAAAAAAATTAAAATTTTAATTTATTTAGAATACTAAGAAAATTTAATCTCCAAAATGGTTTTTTTATAATTTGGTATTTTTTCAAATAAATCTTTAATTCAGATTTTTTTAGTAGTCTTCTGTTAAAAGATATTCATAAAATAATTGTTAGCTGTAATGTTTTAGTATTTTATCGTTTAAATTATAAAATATCAACCTAATTATCGTGGAACTATCTTGAGAAAAAAATCTCAATTATAAAAATTATGTAAGCAATTATTTATAGAGGATTATCGAAAAAATAATTCTATCATGAAATGTTCTATACAAATTAAGTAACTTTAAAGATCAATTTAATAAAAAAACTAAGTCTTGTGTTTCACATGAAGAGTGTTCTTTTTTACTAAAATTTCATAGTTGAATGTTAGGGGGTGTATTGTATAAGAATTCTTATTCATTTAAATAGAAATCAGTGGAATTTGAAAGTTTGGGTGTATTCAATTGTAACTTTTTAAAATTTATAAAAATTTGGGTGTATTCAATTAGAATTTTAAAAAGTCATTATAAATTCAACGAAAGTTTAGCCGTACTCAAAATAGACTTAAAATTGAAAAAAAGTCTAGAGTTATTCAAAATAATATTAAACCCATGGATTTAATAAAATCATTCATATATGAATATATTTTACTCCATGACTATAAATACTCTTTCTCCATTATTTTCTTTACACAGGAGCAAGTATTTTTCTTAGATTTTTTTATGCAAGAGCCCTAGGTCCGCCGCCTCATCATCCTCCATTGCCAGACAACTTGAAATCATAGCAACGCAGCGCCGTCGAGTAAGATTTTCATTCTTTTAAGATTCAGTCCTTAAATGCTTGCTTTTTCTTATGATTTCGTCTTGTTTTTGTCGATTGCCATGTGATTTTCTTGAATGATGAGGCTTTCTTTTCAATTATTAAGCAATTATATTCCCTAGGCTTTCTTCAATCCTACTCCCTCCGTCCCATTTTATAACGCCTGTTTCGGTTTACGATGTTTGACTAAAGTTATTTCCAAATCATTTTATATGACAAATGGTATAGAATTAAAAAATAAAAATTGCATATCAAAATACTACATCAAAAGATCTACACAAAATTAGTGGTTACAACAATATTTTATTTTATCAAATTGCTAATGAAAATAGAAAAAGAAAGTGAATGAAATTTAACCCTGTGAATAGTGAACAAGCATTATAATTTGGGACGGAGGAAGTAGTTTTTATTATGAGTATATATGAAGATTTTATCCCAACGAAAATTACTTCCTTTAAAACTTGAAAGGCATCCTTGTATCCGATGATTTCAATGAAATCCTAAAAATCAATATCTCAATAATGAAAAAAGAAATTTAAATAATGATTACATCATTCACCTTATAATTCCGAAACATTGTTGAATACATAGTGAATACATATAATATACACATAATTAATTAAATGTCCACAAGAAATACAACATTATTAAGAAACCTATATTTATATTGTGGTCTATACTCAGGCAATATAGCTCATGAGATAATTGTGAGACTTACATGAATGGAAAATGTGATGATATAATGCAAATTTAACATGGGTTAATCAAATGCTTAAAATTGCACATGTTTGGCCTAATTAAGGACTGTTTTGCAACTGCCACTAAATGCAAAGAAGGTGACTATAAATAGAGTTTCTTTATATATCTTCAAAAAACTTGAAGTTGAAGCCAAATGCAATTTCACTTAAAAAAAGTTAATTACGAAAAATGCCGTCCGTGTCTGGCCAGCCTTTCTCTCTGCCTCATTGTCCTTCGAAGGAGGTTCAGTAAACACGAGCTTTTATGTAAAGTACGTGGCAAAGGGGAGGAAAGGAAGAAGGATATAGTGAGCAAGAGGTTGTATGTCCCTTCCCAATCAGTGTGCCATACCTTTGGGGTTGTCACCTTCATAATCCAGGTCAGTGTGCCTACTGATAGAGAAAACTGCACTCTGAGAATCCATCACCGTCATAATCCACGTCAGTGTGCCTACCACAAAAGCACCAGCAACATCAATGGTGGCCAGGGTATTGGTGTTACCAAGACCAAAGTGACCTGCCATCCCCACATAATAGAGTGCAGCAACTTGAAAATCAAACAAATGTATGTACTTTTAACCATTTCCGATCTTGCAGTTATCATAATAATACTCCGTAAGATACTAAAGCTCTTATAATAAAATTCATCAATAACGTCTTTAACGCAATGTTTGGTTCGTGGAAATCGAAGGAAAAGAAAAGAAACTTTTTCTCTCTCGTTTTCCTCCCTAAAATGGAAAGAATGTTTTTTTTTCATCTTTTTAGTTCATTTCTTCTCCCATTTTATTTTCATTTCACTTTTCCTTTCATTTCCATTTTCCCTCCCATTTTCTTTTCTTTTCATTCTCAAACCATAATATTTAATAGGAGTCAGATATTCAAATCAAGGGCTTTAAACTCATAGCATGAGCAAATAATTGTGATACGGGAATGATTTGTAAACTCAAAATTGAAACACAACTCTATTTTTTAAAATTGAGATTTAAAAAATATTCTTGAGATGAATTAATTTAACAATCTATTACCATAAGATAAACAAAAGCGAAGCTTGACACATTTACCAACCTTGTGTATGACCTTTGCTGAATGTTCTTCCTTTGTTGTTGTCCAACGATGCCGTCCATAACTAAAGTTCATAGCCCAAGTCATTGTCACCGGCCAGTTTCTTCCCTGTTCCTGTTAGTGTGCTGCAAAAATTAAAGGTCTAAAACTCAATTTTGATTCTACTTTTATATACAGAGTATATAATAGATAAATACTGATTAAAAAGTGATGTACCATCAACAATTCTTAAAAAGTACAGAGAAACAAAACAGGACAGAATGATGAAATTTAATAGAAAATCTTGGCTTATCCTATTTCATTGATAGCTTTGATTGTCTTCCAAGAACATTTAACCATTTCCTCTATCATACCAAGAATCAAGCAACAGAATTTCTCTAAATTAAAAAATACCGAAAATTCCACAAAGCATAATTTTTTACTCCGTATTTTTAAAATCAGCCCTCAAATAGAAGAATTGGACGAATGGAAAATAAATATAGCAACAATTGGCACACAGACAGATAAAATACCTTCCATACATATAAAAAATTACGTAAAATAGAAAAAAATAGGCTGTTACCCTCGTCGGATGTGTTGAGGTTGAAACCCTAGCCCGGCATTGTCGTCTGTCTTCTCTGCATCGTTAGCCCCTATCTCTGCGTCATCTCTCTCCGGCACGAGGAATCTTTCCTACGCATTGCACGGCTCAGAGCGTAGCTCTTCACGGGTTTGACAGAGGCGGCTGCCAGAGCGTTACCCCTCGAAGTACTTGTGGTGTTTGGATTTCGCACCGGTAATCACAAGTGTGCCCTCCTCCGTGTAATGCCGCTTCATGATCCACGACACTCTGGAGGAAGAGAGTTCTCCATCCACGGCACTCTTGATCAAGGGAGAGTTTGCCTTATCCTACAGATCATGTCTACCAGTGGCAGGATAGAAAAATAGAAACTGTAAATGTCCTTCGTAAAAGAATTGTTTTCACAAGGTGAGAATTCCCTAAAAATTTATTCAAGGTGTCCTTGAAAAACAGTTCCTTCACTCTAAGTCTAAGTTGTCCTTCGTAAAAGAATTGTTTTAAAGATTTAACAGAATTATTTGAGGAAGAACTCCCTAATTTACTTTCTCTCAAAGATAGACTTCAAGCAAACTTGAAGAGAGGACCTATACATAACACCAATAAAATCTAATATACCAAGAGAGGACCAATAAATAAGACCTACACAAATATTTACTCAGGCCATAGAGGATACACCATGTGCTCTCTAACAAATACGAATGATCAAACCAATATAAGTTTAAATAATTAATCTGGAAATTATATACTCCGTAATTTAAACTCAAATGCAACAATATCCCAGTCTTAAACTCATATATCTAAAATCTAATCAAAATCTTGAGAGGACCAATAAATAAAATCGCCCAGCCCATGCACTCAAAATCTAATTGAGTAGATTAAAATCTACTCAAAATCTTGAAAAAAAATCTAAATCTAATAAAAATCTAATAAAAAAGTTGAAAAAAAAAATCATTAGATCATTTAAAAAATTGCCCAGCCTATACGATTTATGTCTTAAACTCATATGTTTGAAATCTAATCAAAATCTTTAGAAAAAAATCAAAATCTTGCAATTAGAACAAAAATATTTGAGGAAGAACTCCCTAATTTACCTTGTCACGCAGATCAACTTTAAGCAAATCTTCTCTGCAACTCATTTGCTTTCAAAGTAATCATTGATCTCTCCTTCACGCCGGATTGCTTCATAGTTCCCCCTTTCTGCGTCTTTCTCTCGATCCAGACTTGCTTGAATGCTTCATATCATCGGTGATCGCACATGAGTGGGATAGAAGGTGACGGTTGTCGTTGAAGAGATAAACCGTATATCTAGGCTTGCACTTCAATCTCTATGTTATTACAAAACTGCCACTCTAAAATTGGAACGTCGGATCGAAAATAAAATTAAAATCGGACCGTCAGATGCAGAACTCAATTTTGATTATACTTTTATATATATAATAGATTAATGATTATTGAAACACCCTCTTTGCGAGTTTTTTGATGGATTTTTTTCTCAACATGTTAACCTTCTTTGCGAGTTTGCTTTAGCCATGGGTTTCCTAGGAACGCCCCCTCTACTACCTAGTAAGGCCTTTCTCGGGGGGTAATTTCTACACACACCTTCTCCAGACCCTAACCTTATTGGGTTTTTTGTTGACGAAAATTTTCAGACTTCAGTTATAAAAATTCAGTCTTTAGATGAATGAATGGTCTTTCGGCCTTTCTTGCCATCAACGAGCTCATTGCACATATCCCTTCGCCAACAAAGCGTGCTCACTGTCTTCCAGGGTCCACACTCGTCGATGACCTCATTACCGAAGTGGGCTTGCCGCAATAACAGCAAATGCAGGACAACCTCCTCCAAGGCACGAACGATCATCATACTGCAATCGCACAATAATGGTAGAAAATTTAGGGGAAACATTAAAAAAATTCACGTTTTCAATTTTTTGTCCATCTCAGAATAAGGTTCATTTTATCTTTTAAGAGAATAACGGTGTGGTCCATATCGTTTCTCTCTTCACTGCATTAATCTAAATCACACAATTACAGTTTCTTAATAAGCATGGGGACAGTCAGACCCACAACCTGATTTGGGGAGCAAGAGAGTATATCATTTAACATCAATGGAAACATCTCAATTATAGACTTACAGTCCCTAGCATTTTTCAATCCTGACCTGCTGAATTGGTCATCAGTATCCTATTTAGTTGAAACAGTAGGCTCACACCTTAATACTGTATTTCCTGTCGGTTCATTGTACTGGGCATAAGCAAAGAAAGTACACAGTTAAGGGAGCATACCAAAGAATTCATATCAGAAAAAACAGCAATTCACTTTCCCGTCTGATTTTAGATGCACACCCACAGAATATCATTTCGGTACAAAGGTTGGGAACATACCTGAAACACCTTTTGAAGTTCAGCAATGGACTTCATCGTTTTGTCTTCAAAATTTGTTGCACGATCCCCAAAACTTTTCAATTCACGCACAATAAGTTTATCCGGAAACTCTTGAAGCATGAATTACTATTTACTGGTTATAAGCATCTTTAAAATACAAAACACAAAGACATTCACACAAAAAAACAGTGATAGAAATTTTTTAGATGTTACATGCTGAAGTGGAAAAGTGAAACTTCATCAAACACAGATTTCAGGATGAATCAATCTATAATGTTTTGGAGAAAAAAAGGATCTATAACGGTTTACAAGTTTTTTTCTAGCAAAACTGGATAAATCAGAATATAAATTCTTGTCTGGTAAGAATAATTATACTAACCTAACAAAGCCAATAGCATTTGATAGTTTTACCCTTTCATTCCAATATTACTTCTATTTCCTTTGTTTGCGGTGATGAGAGTCAGCAAGACTAGTCGGTTGCAAAGAATTCATGAACAATTTCCATCTGCTTCAATCATACTGCAGCCAGGAGTTTTTACCACACCCTGCTGCATCATTAGACCTCTAACATCGCCAGCATTGTCCCAGTTTCCCTTTGAAGCATATATATTGGAGAGTATAACATGAAACCCATCATGGTGGGGTTGAAGCTCAATAAGTTTTTTACCAACTCGTTTCCCCATTTCACTGTCCCCGTGCTTTATGCAAGCTCCAAGCAAAGCGCCCCACGTGGGGACATCCGGAGCCATAGGCATGCTCTGAATGAGCTTTTCAGCTTCGCGAAGCAGTCCCGCACGGCCAAGTAAGTCGACCATACACCCATAGTGTTTCGAATTAGGCTCAATGTTGTACGACTTCACCATGGAATCAAAATAATGACGACCTTCATCTACCATCCCCATATGTCTACAAGCACCAAGAACTGCCAAAAAGGTTACCTCATTAGGAGTTACTCCACATTTCTTCATTTCTTCAAATGTTTCGAGTGATCTTTGAACCTCTCCATTCATGGCCAACCCATGAATTAAAGCATTCCAGGAAGAAACACCTCTGTCTTCCATTCCATAGAAGACCTCCATAGCATTCTTTGTGTAGCCACATTTCATGTACATGTCAATAAGAGTGGTACCAAGAATGATATTAACTTTAAGCCCCTTATTCCTGATATATGCATGAATCCATTTGCCTTGTTCATATTCTGCAAGGTGGGCACAAGCTGAAAGCACACTAACTAAAGTGATCTCATCGGGCTCAATGTGTCCATATAGCATTTCATGGAATAAAGCTAAAGCCTCTGAGAAATGATCATTTTGAGCATAGCCGGAAATCATTGTGGTCCATGATACACAATCCTTCTCAGGCATAGAATCAAATAACGCTCTGGCCTTTTCCACTGATCCGCACTTTACATAGCCAGCAATTATGGAATTCCAAGAGATTTGATCCAAATGACTACTTGATTCAAACATGTTTCGTGCGGAATTTAAATCACCACAGCAGGAGTACATATGAATTAAAGCATTTTGAAAATTCACATATGATTCAAAACCAACCTTAATAACAACCCCGTGCACTGATTTTCCGGTGTCCAGAACTAACAAATGTGCACAAGCAGAGAGCACAGTGACCACCACAACTTCATCTACAGTAATCCCAATGGAAATCATTTGCAAGAACAAATCCAAAGCCTCTTTATAAAGCCCATTTTGCTCATGGCAAGAAATCAACGCAGTCCAGGAAACCAAATCTCTTCTACCCATCTCATTAAACAAACGGCAAGCCTCATCCACCATACCACACCTACCCAACAACACAATCATTGAGTTTGACGCAATTACATTCCTCTGAGGCATCTGTGCATATATTATCATTGCTTCCACAACATTCCCTGCTTGAACATACCCTGCCAAGATCGAGTTCCAAGAAACCAAGTCACGCACATGACTTTCATCAAAGACCTTCCTTGCATCGCCCATATTCCCACATACTCCGTACATGTTAATCAAAGTATTACAAACATAAACATCTGATCCGAAACCCCTTTTGAAGACATGACTATGCAACTCTCTGCCTTCAAATACTGAACACCGGAGAATGCTAGCTTGAAAAAGAATCGGGTACGTAAAATTATCCACACACAAGTTATCCCTCAATGTTAATTTATACAAAAAGATCAAATTTTGGGGCATGTTATGATGCACATAAGCTCTCATCACGGTGTTTATTGAAAAACAATTCGGGTTTTCGATGTGACCAAATATCTTCTCAGTGCAGCTGATGCCGATGAAAGGAGAATCGGCTGAAAACTTGAGAATTCTGCTTGCAGCATAGGTGTCTTTGATGAGCCCAGTGGATACCATTTGTGAGAAAATTTGGCAGAAGTGTTTGACATTCTGGCAATGGAGGAGAAGGGACTCCAAAATTGAGATGTTTATAGTCAGACTGGAAACTGATTTCAAGGGAGCACTCAATTTTATTGCAGCAGAAGCACCCAACTTTGCGAAATTCATATATGTATTTTCTCATTTACATGTACATGCGCACCTGTGAATCAGTGCAGTTTTTGTCATTCAGTGGTGGTTGTAGACTTTATGGTAGAGGAAAGCTTGACGTGTGATTAACCCTCCCTCAACTCAAAAGGGGGGGAAAATAAAATCAAAGATTGTTGGCGACAAAATTTTCAAAGAAAATAGAGGCAAACAACATAACGAGAAGCACGGCTAATGGGCCAAGTTCACATAAAAATAAACATCAATGTCTACCCTAAAAACTGTACTAAACACACAAACCAGGAAAACATAGAGCCTAAACAATCTACTATGCTTCTATCCTAAAATCATCGACCGCTAAAACTTTGCATTTAACTATTTAAGGTCATGTAAACTAAATCCATTGTTCTAATTTATAGTACAAGGATACAATGCAACACATAAAGTGTAAAAATTATTCACATCCTAACACTCAATTTTTTTAAATAAACGAATTACAAGAGAATCCTCATATTTCTTCATGCTCTTTTGCTCTTCGAAGATTTACAGAAAACCCAAAAGCAACCGAAAATGCAATCGTAAAACTTGGGAGCCCTACTAATTGTCACACACTTTTAGGGAAATCTTCACAGATTTGAAGAACAGACTGAAGCACGCTTAGATTTGATCCTTGAAGAGCAGACTGAAACATGCTTGGATTTGCGGTTTCAAGGAATAGAACAAAACCTTGTAATTATTATAAGAAATGACAAGTTTACAGAAATTCAAAGGGAGCTTACTTGTCTTCCCCACCTTGCCGGAGTTGTGAGTTCTTCGTGGTAGAGGAGTGGCGGCTGTGGGAGGAATGGTGGCTGCTAAACGAGACCGGAGCAGGCACACTACCTTTGCAAAGAGGGTCAAAGGGTTAGATTGTAACATATTCTTGTTAGTCCTCTTTTATTATTTATTTTTATTAGAATCGAATTAAAAAATCCTTTTAAATATAACTATAATCAAATTAGGTCATATCAAAACTTTTTTTAATTAGATTAGAAATAATTAGATCAGGTGAAGAGAAATGTCTCAATCATATTACTTGTTTACTAAAAAAAATCACATCATTACTTCAAGAATTACGCAATAGATAACATTGATACTTTCAGAATCTTTATATGTTCTCTAATAGTACAAATATGTTTAGAAACTGGGGACAAACGCAATGTTTGTCCCTGTCGGTCTCCTCCTCACAGAGCTCTCAAGATCCACTCAGACCATTTCAACAGCCAAATCCCTCCACGCCACTATCCTCAAGACCCCTCATCTCCGCAACGATCCTTTCTACGCCACAAGAATCGTCCGATTCTACGCCCTCAACGACGATCCCATAACTTCTATATTTTGAATAAAGTAAAATCATTATAGAACATGAAAAACTGAAAATTGGGGACAAACGCAATTTAGAAACTGGAATATTTTTATGGGAGGGAGTGAATATTCCATTTTATGCTATGACCTTTTCTTAAAAATCATTGTATTACATAACAAGAGTAGTAATGCATTAATATAAAATCTTAATATAAAAAGTTTGAATTCTGACACTTTTAGAGTGTTCTATTTGACACACACACACACATCCAATTTAAGAACTCGATTAAGCCAAACTGATTTTAGTCATTTCTGGGGGATTAACGTGCATTATAGCAGAAAATAAACTCTAATTTGGATTGAACTTTGGATGGTTCCCTCATCCATAAAATAAAAGCAATGAATTAAACTTTGTGAAGCTCGTAATTAGGGTTAATGAAATTTGGGCCATCTCGAAGTTAAGTCAACCGGAAGAGAGGGTGTGGGGAACTTACCTCGTCGGGAGAGACGCGAGGAGAAAGCCGTCGCCGGTCGCCTAAGAGATTGCTGTGTGGATTCGGCGGACGAGAACCAGAGAAGGAGAAGATACGCGAGAAGCACAGAGGGAGTGGATGAGGCGGCTCCATTCATTTTAATTTTAGGTGTGGTAAAACAAAAAAAAGTGAAATTAAATCTGATTTAAAAAGTTATTAGATCTAAGGGCCGAGATTGAAAATGTATACCATGACGTTTAAAGTAAATGTGAGGTGAACCCAGGCGTAGGCGTTATATCTATACATTAAGGGGGCTGTTTGGCAACTTCTGAATCGGTAAGTGCTGAATCAGTAAGAGGTCTGAACCATTAAGTGCTGAACCAGTAAGAGGTCTGAACCATTAAGAGCTAGTATATTGCTTAACTATTCAGAGTCAAATGTCTGATCAATTCATATAAAAGGTCTTAACCATTCAGACTCTGTATAATACTTAACCATTCAGAGACAAATCTCTTAACCATTCAGACATCTGAACCATTAAGAGGCTGAAACAAACAGTCTGAACCATTAAGTGCTGAACCATTCAGACATCTGAATCATTAAGAGGCTGAAACAAACAGCCCCTAAATGTTGGGGCACCAAAAAAAATGTTGGGGCACCAATGTAAACGTTAACTCCCCCCGTCACATTTGAATCTTTTTGATACGTGTACGATGTTTGACTAATTTTATTTTCAAATCAAATTATTTGATTGTAGGTGTAAAATTAAAAAATAAAAATTACTGGGGTATATATTTAAAAACTACATCAAAAGATTTACAAAACTAGAGATGCATGATTATATAATACTACCTCCGTCCAGTGTATTTTTCCCGTTTGACTTTTTCGAGTCAAACTGAAGAAACTTTGAACTCCAAGTACTCTCAATTTATATTGCATATTAGCATAATGAAATACAATTTTGAAAGTTCTCAATATGATAATTCAATAAAGTCATTTTTATGTTAAAATACATTACGGTTTTTATTTAATTGAAGCTCAAAGTTTGTCCAGTTTGACTCAAAAAAGTCAAAATGGACAAATACACTGGGACGAATGGAGTATTATTAAATGAGTAAGGAAAATAAGAAAACAAAATATATAATGTTTGACCTTGTGAATAATGTAGATACATATTCAAGTGGGACGGAAGGAGTATAAATATTGGAGCACTGATATCATACGAGAATTTGGGAAGCAATGATGTCCTTTATTAAACTCAGAATTTGGAAGTAATGACATGAATTTTTCTTTTGTTTATTTACAGGAATATGATTGAAATATGATTAAAATACGGTAAAATGACTTTCATATTTTTATTCGAAAAGAGAATATATAATGTCAATAATATCTCAAAATTATATTCTAATATGAACTCAATTATGTTTAATTTATATTATATGGAGTAATTCAATATAGTTTGCTTAAAATTTATGGTAAAAGACAATCACTTGTTTGACTAATAAAAGTCAACATGAAAGATTTTTTGGACTAGATGGAGCATGTTCATATTTTTTCAACTTAACAACGAAACTCAAACTTGAGAAATGGACTTTCTGTACTCAACTTAAGTCATGGAAAAAGTCGGGCCTAATATTCTCTTTTGCCCGAAAAAGAATGTCAGAGTTACTATTTTGATCTCTCGATAACTTTTGTTTGTTTACTCATTTTGGTTGATTATTCGATAAAAATAAAGCATTCTTGTTGCACCTTATTTTGTAGAATTTTCGATATACTTTTGAACGGTGTAATTTTTACTTTTTATTTCTCAATCTTTAATCATTATTCACGCAGTTACTTAACTTTTTTTTCTTTTAAAACTTTTATTAAAATAACATGGAGTATCACATTATTCGTCTAATTTGATTTATCAAATCAAATTTTAATTATTAATCACATTATATTTGCATTACATATTAATAAAATGAAATATATTTATGGTAACTTTTCGTAAAATAAATCTAATAAAATCATTTTATGTTATAATGCAATATTTTGTATTTGATGATCAAAATTTGTGTACAAATTCTTACCTTAAGCCTCCAACACTGATTTTTTTTTTACTGATTTCAGAGTTAGGGTTCCTAAATTCTGACCTGATTCTTCCTCTATTGAAGTTCTCCCCCCTCTGCGATTTGTCCATCTATATAGCAGGTATGTTTATTCTTTTTTTCCCCTAATAAATTCTCTATGCAAATTCTTTTCAACCTAATAATGCTTAAATACTGATATATTCTATTTAATTATTGTTTATATATGAAAACAAGAACTAAGAAAAAGGTTAATTGCTGTTTTTCTTTTCTTTTCAAATTGGGTTCATGTAGAAAACATTTGAATACATGGAGAGTATTTGGACTATATCACATGTAATAAAGAGGTTTCTATGATATATATTTTTTTGTTGTAATTTTTTTCCTTAATATTTGAATGTGTAAAGAGCATTTGTATTGTGCCAATTTTTTTTCTTCTGAATATTTGATTCGCCTTAAATTCAAAAAAGTAAACAGATGGATTCATGTGGAGGCATGTCCTTAAATACTACAGAATACACCGCAGTATAATTTTATTTATGAACTGTTAACTTTGTCAAACATTTTCCCCCAACAATTAACACAATCAGCCAGTAGCTAGTCAAATGAGTTAACTCGACCTTTCATTCAAACCACGCAACACAACAACCCACCAACCAACACAAGCAACTAACAACCAACCGCCAACAGTTAGTTTTCAAAAAAGACCGATACGGCTTATGCTTGTAATCCGTGTTTTCAAAATCCATATACCTCGCCTAGGACTATACTAAACCACTTAGGTGCGTTTTTAAGCCACGGTGATGGATCAAATGTATCATTATCTTCGGTCTAATTATTGTCAAAGCTAAACTTTGATGTGTGATCTATTGAAATTGAAAATCATTTACATCTTTCCTTGTTCTGTCTTTGTATATAAGTCCTTTTATGAACACAGGTCCCCACTTGAAATCTTGAATAAACCAGCCAAGAAGTTTCTTTACTATATATTCCAAATGTTAATACATTATGACACATGACTTTCAACAAAAATCCTAACACAAAAAAAAAAAACACTTACTAAAATGTAGTATTTTTTTACTAATGGTGTGAGGGGGGGGGGGGTTGGCAAAAACCACGCCAACCTCACAAATAAATACACACATACTATACAAGGAACCGACACAACGAAAAGCTCGAGGTCCGTTGTGGGCCCAGGAAAAAGTTTTTAACACTGGTCGTGATCGACCTGAATCCTGTTGCTCGAAGGCTTGCCGACTTGCAAGCACCGAACCGGAGGGGAAGTGGGAGAGTACAGCTGGCCAAATGTCTGCCAGCAGTAGGGGTCGTACATGTGGTACCGCTCCTGCAGCGGCTCCAGTTTGATCCTGTCGAGGGTCACGTCCAGACACGGCATGTTGTCGCTGCAGGCAAGGTGAACCGGCTTCACGGTGTATGTCCCTCTTATGTTCTCGTAGTGGATTCCCGAGAGAGCCACTGCTGCGGTCTGGTTCTTGCACACTCTCTTGTCACAGTAGTACTGGTCAATCACTATGGGCAGTTGAACTTCGGAGACTTGAATGTTTGAAAACAGGACACCCTGCACCGACCCTAATCCTCCCTGCACAAGTTAGAGAAAAACAATGTTTACGTTATACTCGCGTACTAAATTTCGATTATTTGGTAACTTCGTATGTCTACGTACTACGGTACTAAGATAAATTTGTATATATACTTTCTTGTATCTTCATTGTTGAGTTACGAACCTGCCATGTTTTAATCCTCACACCATTCATGGTGTTATGCATCGTTATGTCTCGCACGGTGATGTTTGAGACGCAAGCTTTCGTGTTGTCTCTCCCTAGTCCTCCTATGCTGATTCCGTGCCCGGGCCCGCAGTTCACGTCGTGTATGTATACGTTCGTGCATCCTGTTTGAATCGATACACAATCATCTCCTGCACAAATGAAAAAGAAAAAATCTGTCTCTTAGGGAGGTTGTGTGCATTTGAACTGTGCTGGTTTATATGATCACAAGCAAAAAAAATTACCACAAGAAAGGTTGCTGGTATGGACAACGACATCTTTCGAGTTCTGCAGATGGATCCCATCTGTGTTGGGGCTATCTTCAGGCGACGATGCGGTGAAATTGTACACGTATACCCCTACGCAGTTGTCGAATTTCAGGTGGCATTGGGGACTGTTCTGAATGGTGATGCCCGTGACCGTCACGTTGAAACTCCCGTAGAAACGAAGCGCCTGTAAGTGCCCCACACAAATATGTCAATGACCATTTTAACCCTATGTAGTTGCAATGCAATGTATGTGTGCTTACTGTTGGCTTCAAGCTTGGCATTTTCCCTGCAAGTGAACTTCTCACCTGCCCACACAATTTCTCTTGTGTTAAGTATAGAATAAAGAGAAAAAATGGACTTAAGTGAGTATATATAGTAAAAGACATGGTTTTTACTGGAATTGTTGTGGGGGGATTTGTTCTGTTGTTTAATGGGGAGATGAGTTTGATTTCGTCGTCTATGGGATCGTCGAGCGGGGAGTCTTTCCACCAGACCGAGCCGCTCCCGTCTATGGTTCCACTCCCTTGTATTGTTAGCCCAACCAGCTTGGTGAAGTCTAGCCATTGGAAAAGCCCTAAACCCCATGCTTTTGAGCTTGTTGGTGCTATGATTGTGCCATCAAGCTGCCAAAAGAGACACACACACTAAAAAGATGACCTTCATTTCTAGGGTATCCCTAGGATCAATTAGACAGTTTATTGAGATTGAGGTAAATTGAGTTATAATTTCTGATACATGTAAAAACCCATATTTGCGTTAAGGTGCTTTGGTCTCTTAATTCAACGACTTTGAAAATGAACTGCGTTCGGATCAGTGCACGAACTTCGGCCATTTTTTGTTTACGTTAAATTATGAGATTTTTCATTTTTGTTCGTGTACATTATACTTTTTTAACCTCAGTATTCGACGTAAGATTTTGTATTTTCGATACCTGGAAAATGATGTTGTGTTGGCAATAAGGCCCGGAGAAAGAAATGGGCCCAACAAGGAACTCGAAATCTGTTGTTGAAGCCTCCATTTTACAAGCTGCGGCCCATGTTGCTTGAAATGCCTGCACTTTCATCACCCCAAAAATTACCTCTTCTTGGTCAGTAACTTTTTTTTACTCTTGTATTAGTTAAAAAAAATCATAGAATGGTAGAAATGTCATTGAAATTTTCTTAACAAGAAAATGAACGAATTGTAGACTTTACTTTGTAACGGATGAAAAAATAAAAGTGGTCTACTGGATTTTGTTTTTTTCTAATCTAAATATTTCTTTACTTTTTTCAAATTACAACAACAATAATTCAAAGTACTCCCTCCCTTTCAAATTAATCGTCTCAATTTTTTTCGAGTTTATCCCAAAAAATTGTCGTAGTTTTTTACTTTAAAGTACAGTAAAAGATATATAGTCCACAATTTTTTTTTAAATAAATTGCAACCACTACGTTTTTACTCTTCAAAATTTTTCTTAATATCCGTAAAGTCAATTTGAAACGGAAGGAGTATATAGCAACAAGTAAATGATACAAAAAAAACGGACAAAGATCCTCTCTATGATCCCCACGATCAGTATAGTAACACGGTATATAATCTTAATCCGACAAGTAAAGAAAGAGATCTTTTCTGTTCACACGCAAAACTTACGTGTTATATTGAGTAGTCTTTTCACTGATGTTTCCGGTAAATGAACTTAGAGAATATACTTGTGTTATTGTAATCTTAAGATCCACATATGAAATCGGAACCATCTCATAAGATTTCTATGAGCTCCTACTTCGATTTCTTTTTTTTATAAGGCTCGATATATAAAACTATTTTATGTATTTTTTTTATTACTAATAATTCCATTATAATATAGTATCTCTTCATACAATTCTCGACATATCACTGCCAGCAGTAAAAGTTCACAATTACCTTTTTACCCCCAACAAACCAGACAAGCAACTGTTGCAAACATCAACTGAAACAAAAGGACCCATAAAGTGTGCAAAAACAGGACCTGTGCTCCGCAACAAATTATTACTGCACGGTATACTCCTTCCTCCTTAAATAGATTACATTTTTTTTTCTTTTCTCTCGATAACTTTTATTTGTTTACGCGATTTGATAAAATAGAATATTCTTGTCACCTCTTGTTTTGTAGAACTTTTGACGTAGTTTTTTAATATGTAATTTTTATATCTTATTGATATACCAATTTGTAAATAAAATGATTTGAAAAAGTAGAAAAATTTTCTCCGTAACCCGCAATTTGTAATCAAATTTGGGACGGAGGGAGTATGTAAATTATTAAATGGCGTAGGGTAGAAATTAATTAAGGTGCATGTGGTCATAAACGGTTGGGAAAAAAAAAACTGCCACAACGAGGATGATTTCCAGTGGGCCCCCACCTCACCTGGCCTTGTCCCATTCTGTGGCTCCTGTTTCATATCCATTTTCATCCAGTAGTTTTTTTTAAAATAAAAAAATAAAATACAAAAATAAAAAAAATAAAGGTTCCTTAAATTGATTGAGTTGTTGGTGTTGTATTTTGTGACCCGTGAGGCATCCTTTCAACAAATTGGAATCTTGAGACTAACACCAATGTTTGGTCGTAAAGGACACACACCTTTCTATTGTCACTCCTATTTCCCAAAAAATTCATATATATATATATATATATATATATATATATATATATATATATATATATATATATTCACGATTATCAATGATTTTTTATATTTAGTCTTTAATTTTAAGATATTATATAAGTAATGTTCTTTTAGACCAAATATAACAAAATATTTTTTTCATGTATAGTCTATGAATGACCAATTATCGAAGAATTTTAAAAAATTAAGGACCATTTCTACAATATTTAGAGTAGAGAACTAAATATGAAAAATACTTGTAAGTTGAGATCATTTATAAAATTTATTCTTATTATTATTGTCACGTCACTCCCAAATTTTTAATTTTGAGATTGAATTGTCATTTGAAGTGTAAATGAACTTCTCTCTTGGTTTGAGTAGTAGGAAACTCACTCCCCTGGATTTATGGGGAAGTTTGCCTATGTTTGAGCCCCAGCGAAGGCGGAGTCGTTGATTCCATGTGCGTTGTTAGGTTGAGAAATGGATTATTGAGGTAATAACATTCAAAAATGGTAGGTAGGGGAGGGGTTTAGACGATATTCATAGAGTAAAATTTACTTCAGGACAGACGATTATCGTTTATGTGTGTCTTCAGTGTCATCTTGATTATATCATGGCTCTTATTCAACATATCAAGAATTAATATAAGATATTATTTGAAATTAAAACAAAGGGAAATCCAAGCTACCTTGGTATCATCGGTCTTTCCGTCTCCCTTTGCTCCAAAATCCATCACGTTGAAGACAGAGCCACCGGCTTCGTCCTCCCCGCACCCCTTTCCCGGCGGTGGGGATTGGCGTTTCGGCTTCGTTTTACCGGCATTGCCTTGTTGGTGGGGGTTGCCGCCGTTATATTTGCCAGTTTTGCTGTACAAAGAAGCAGGGGCGGCGGAGGCGGCGCGGGCGCCCTTGGTTGGCCTCAAATGCCTTGTTCCATTGCAGGTTTGGACATTCCATGATGACCAAACAAGAATTGCAGACATCACCATTAATGTGAGGCTTCTCAAGCTTGAACCTCTCATCTTCTCCATGCAGTATGAGAATCTGGTGGGTGGGGTGGGGTTGGGGTGGGGGTGGGGGTACCCACAGTGAGTTCTACCTGTAGTGTTGTGTCTTCTACGACCGTCAAATATAAGGAATGAATTGATTGCTCTCATAGTAGCTGTGTAAGACTGTAAGTGTAACAAAAATGAATTCTTGGGATTTTGTATACTACTTCCTAATTTCAGCGTTTAGCTTTAACATTTTGAAAAAGACTATCTAAACATAGTGTTTAGTTTTGGTGTTTTAAAAATTAATCTGTATTATTAAAAAAATATCTAGAATATTTACACTAATTGAAAATATTAACGCTAATTATCTGAAATATTAACACAAAGTCAAATTTGCCAATCCCAAAATGAAGTTTTAGAAATTTTTGAACCCTGAAAATTTAACCGTTAAAGTTTATTTAGAAGAAAATAGCATTGGGAATGAATTCTTGGGATTTACGTTTGTTTGACTTTCACAGAAATGTAAGAAAAATATTGAAAAGCATTGATATTTTTAAATAGTTTGATATTTTTATCAGTTTGATATTTTTATCAAATTGTGACTCTTCGACTCTAAATAAAGAAAATCATATATTTAGTTATAGTGTTAATATAATATAATTGAATTCATTTTAAATATAGTTTTGATGTATCAAATTTGTTTAACATTATCAATTTAAAACTATATTTATCCCTCACTTATTCCTTTCTTTAAAAAGAAAATGAAGTTTTTGATACGGACCAAAAATGAGAGTGAAATTCTCGAGGCCCCGAGAAGAATATATATGATCTCCCAATTCTCGAAGTTCCTAAATGAAGTACAATTTGGCGTCGTAAAATAAAATAAATAACTGAAATTTGTTTAAAATCAGGAAATATTGAACACTTTTCGTAAAAAAGATATAAAAGAAATTGTAATTTTTTTGGCAGGGGATACTTCATTTATTTATTATTTAATAAGAGGAGTACTTTATTTTTTTAATCTTTTAAGCCACCATAATAATGAGTTGGTTTTTTGCATCTTTTTTGTGACCATTTGGCTATTTATTATGTTCACTTTAAAGGGGCCCCCCATTTTTGGCATATGCAAATATGTTGTCTCATGTGACTTGCAATAAGTCGTGTGTGTGTCATAGAGTCCGAATTGCGTGACTATGAAAGATGTGTTTGGAACGTTAAGGGAACTAACTGAGTTGTTCGTGTTCGGAAATTTAGCACCAAACTTCCCACGCAACGAAAGCAAGAAACAAGCGGTCAAAAAAACAAAGAGAATTCGCAAGCTAAAAATAAAAACGATGCCAGAGATTGTAATTGGAAAGATTTTCTTTAGGAGGTAAAACCACCACAATAAAAGTAGTGCGAATACAACTTAACCGTATGGGATTACAACACCAGTCGTAGAGCCATATACAATATTTAGGAATAAAGAGAAACTATCTAATTCCGTAATACAATTGGTAAAATTCCACCAATAATTTACTAGCACTACTACAAAAATGACCTTTTAAATCGGTTATTTGGACCCTTTTAAATCAGTTTTGAACCGATGCAAACGCCAGCGATGCAATTACTCAGGTGATTTTTTACATCGGTTGTTAAAACCGATGCAAAAGCTACTCATTTGAATCGGTTATTACCAAATAACCGATGCAAAAGCCCTTCCAGAAATGACGCCATTTTTGGGTAGAGGCATTTGAATCGGTTATTTTGTAAATAACCGATTCAAATGAGTAGCTTTTACATCGGTTATTACCAAATAACCTTTAGAATGATTCCTAAAATATTGTATGAGAAATTTGTTGTACAACCTCTCAAAGGAAAGAAAATGTGCGGCTGATTTTTTTGTGCTCTTGTTGTGCACTTCAATTCATCCAAGCCTAAACAAAGGATTTTGTTAGACAATAGTAATAGTTTTCCTATTTATGGTATTTTTCATATATTAGTTTTTTCTTGAGTAAAATCTATAATTCTATTTTTCAATATGGTATCGAAGCTACGTTCAAAAACATAAATGCCTAGTTAAGACTTATAGGGGTGAGTTCAGTTTTTGGGGTACAATTTTCACCCAAAATCAATGACAAAATAGAAGGTAAGTTGGTGCTTCGGTTCGATTTTACATAAAAATATGTAAACGGTTGATTATTCGGTTCGGTTTTATGCAGTTTTTATTTCAGTTTTTTGGGTTTTTAAAAATAAAAATTTATATGCATTAAAAAAGTTGTAACAACACTAACTCCATAAAACAATTAAAATATGTAGGGTTGGGTTCAATTTTTTCGATTCAATTTTTACCCAAAACCGAACAGCAGGTTAGAGTTCAATTCGGTTCAATTTTACGTAAAAAATATGTGTCGAGTGCCCAACTAGTATCTAGAAGATTCCAAATGCTCCAAAGCTTTCATTTGTAAATATCAATTACGAAGAACTTATGTTTTTTGGGATAATACTTTCATTTCCATTATAACATCAAAGTTTTTCATGTAAATATGTAAAATATTCGTATCAATTTTTAATATTAATACAACTCTGTATTAGGATTAGTTATTGATGTATACATTTTTAGTTATTTTAAAGTTTATAATATAGGTTAAATGTTTAATATTAAGAAAAAATCAATTTAATCAACTAATCAATTATTTGCATTTATATTTCTATGAATCTTTTTGCATATCACATATACTCATATACATGAAGTGAAGTACTTCAGAAAATTTGGTTTATTCTATTTCATTTGGTTTTTTTAAAGTGAAAGCCAAAATGGAAACCAAATAATAACGGTTCAGTTTGGTTTTTTACATTCGATTTTTTTCTAATTTGTTTCGATCGATTTCGGGTTGGTTTCCTAGTCACTCACTCACCTTGGCAAATGGAGAGCCACAAAGCCAGAAGACCTAAGAGCAACCATGCATTAACTAAAATGCATGCTCCATGGCTCTTCAAAATTCAAGACAAAAAAAGAAGTATGAAAAAAATAAAAAATAGTCTACTAGCTAGGCTGGACAAATTTGGAAAACAGCCCCAATTCAACAAACTCCCCCTCGAGCCAAGGGAAGGACCTAGAACCCATGAACCATCATCGCCTCATCCGTGAAGGAGACACATTGACTACTTTTCCGTTTCGAGCTACTCCTAGCCGTATGACCCACCATACGGTACAAAGTGTGATATGGCTCCCCTTTGATCACAATCGTGCAACGCTTAGTCACTCTAACAACTCCCACACAAGCCTCGTACTGGTACCCTAGAATCCTATTGACTTAGAGATTATATAATGTAGGAAACAAAAACATAAATACCTAGCCGTCCCTCACCTTGGCAAATGGAGAGCCACAAAACTATAAGACCCAAGAGCAACCATGCATTAATTAAAGTGCAAGCTCTATGACTATTCAAAATCTAAGACAAAAAACTTGTAGTATAAAACAAATAAAAACAGTCTGTTGGGCTGGACAAATTTGGGAAACAATCCTGACAAACTCCCCCTCCAACCCCAAGGGGGGACGTACAAGAACATAGAAACCATGAACCATCTTCGCTCATTCGTGAAGGAGACACATCAACTATTCTGTTCCGAGCTACTCCTAGCCGTATGACCCACCATACAATACAAACCGTGATACAGCTCGCCATTGATCACAATCGTGCAACTACAAGTCACTCTAACCACTCCCCCATGAGTCTTGTACTCGTACCCTTTAAGTCCAATTGACTAAGTGAGATGAGATTACAAGAGAGAACTCTAATGATTGTAGAATAAGAATTATGGAAACAATACACTAAGAAAATAATAGGATATGAAAATTAATGATAATACGGAGTATTTATTTTCTATTATATCCCCAGACCACAAGCAGATCAACGGAGACGAGTGGGAGCTTGGAGCATAAGTATTCGAATGGAGCATGGCGGAAGCGGTTTTGTGAGAATATCTTCTAAGTGCTCAAAAGACGGAACATGATGTGTGGTCATCGAATCGTGCCTACCATGATTTCGTCGCGTACAAAATGACAGTCTAAACTAACATGTTTCATACGGTCATGCAGAGCTGGATCCTTGGTCACACAAATAGTGGATTCATTATCATAGTAGAAGTGAAATTTTGATAGAGAGATGCCGAGAGAGCATGAGTAATGTACCGCAACAATATAGTTTCTCATACTTCTGCATGATCATATTCAGACGGTCAGAAATAAGTGTAAAAAATCCAGTACTACTATGACAATGAATCCACTATTATACAACCGTTCTTTTCTATATTGTCCCGTTTTTGTTTTTATTTAATTTTGAGTTTCGTCAAAGTTGTCATTTATTCAAATATTTCACCCAAATTCACCCTAGCTAAATAGGATCTTAATTAAATTCTTGACCACAAACTTACAGCAAATCAAAAAGGTCTATCATGTACTGTTCTCCGTACATAGTATGTACGATTTTACCTCTTAATTTTTAAGTTTTAAGTTATGTTTTTACTTGTAATACTCCCTCCGTCCCATAAAACCTTTCCCCTTTCTTTTTTCATCCGTCCCATAAAATACTTCTTATTTTTATTAAAAAGTCACTTTTATCCCTTACTTTTTCATATCCTACCTATCAAATCATACTTTTTTACTAATAATCTACCTATCAAATCCTACTTTTACCCATCACATCAAAGGACATTTTTGCAAATTCAATACCAAAATACACTCCTTTAAATCTCTTCAAAAAGCAAAACATCCCATGTTTCATAGGACGGAGGGAGTATTTAATTTTGAGAGTAAAAAAGAAGAAGAAGAGGGGAATAGAAAAGAGAAGAAGCACACGTGAGTGGGTCTATAAGTGGTCAAGAAGGGGCAGTGATTATAACAGCTCTCTTTTATGGTCACATGCAACGTTCGGTTCACGGGAGCCTAACCCCAATTGCCTTCGGTTTTTGTACATTATATTGTCTTCTTAACTATAGCCCCATACCTTTAGCCATTGTGCTTCAATTCTCTCAAGAAACTAACTCGATTAAAATTTTAAGTTTTTGATTTTAGCCTAAGAGCCTGTTTTTGAATACTGGAAAAAAAGAGCTGGATGTTGGAAAAATTTGAAAGAACGGCAAGAAACTGAAAGAACTGGAAGGAACTGAAAGAAATTAAATAAAATTGAAAAAACTAGAAAAAAATTAGAAAATCTTTAAAAAAACTTTTAAAACTTTTTTTTGTGATTTTTTGTATTATTGTCATTCTAATTCTTGTTGTTATTATTATTACACTGATTATATTCATAATTATAGAACATAAGAAACTAGAAGAAAGTGAAAGTTAATAATTCATCAAGCCCTAAAGAACATGCTCTAAGTATTGTTTTTTATACTCTAACACGCTCTCTCACATGCAGGTGTAATTTCTTTGAGTCTTGCACGTGAAACCTTAATTTTATTAAAACTGGGCGGCAATGAGCTTCAAAATCATGACCTCTTGGTCATAAAGCCTCCGATACCATGTCAAGGAACGAACTTAACGAAAAGTTCAAGCTTATGATGGTGGTCCAAGAATAGTTTTTATATACTCTAACAAATTCCATTCTTTCTCTCTCTTTTTTCTTAACATAATCAATTTTTTTGGCAACTTGTATCATTAATCTCAATAATAAATATTATGTCTCTCGAGGTTTCTTCTCCTTTCGATTATGATATGTGACTTAAATTATTATTTTTAATTCAATTTATATGAATATTAGTGTATAAATAGAAAAATAAAATTTACATACTACTCGTAGTATTTTAAAACCACTTCAATAGATCTACAAAATAAACGATGACAAGACTATTAGTAAAATTTTATTTTATCAAATACTACCGCATTTATGAGTTTTTTGTCCATTTTTAATTCTTTTTTGTCAAAATTAGAAAATCTTAAACATCAATTAAATAAAAGTGATACTCTGTATCAGATCTTGATAAAAAAATAAATTTATTAGATTTATTTTATAAAATATTTTCAATATATTATTTTATTTAATAAATATACCATATACTCTGTATATTTTTTAAGTGCATGTCAAATATACAAATTACAAGATAAAATGGATTAAAGAAGTGTATTGGATGATGTGTAAAAATGAAAGTGAACAAATATACTGGGACGGAGGTAGTAAATATACCATATACTCTGTATGTTTTTTAAGTGCATGTCAAATGTTTTAGGAGAGATAGAATAATAGTAATCCGTAATTAAAGCGTTAAAACTTAAAAGTAAGGTACACAGCCGTAGCATCAAGGCAAGCGACAAAACATTGGGATTTGGTGAAAACCAATGTACTCCATTCGAGAAAACCCACACCAGCCCGTGGTATTGTTGTGTTACTCCCACTCCCTCGAAAAGAGTGTATACAACACTCGATTTTAGTTACATGCTATAGAAGAAATAGGAAGAAATAGGTACAAAATGAGTTTCATTATTCGTTGTTTCACACCGTCTTTCTATAAAGAACATATACTGCCTATCTTGATAGTGGTTAGTGGTATACAATCCAAAAAGAAAGGCCATTTCTTGGGTAAAGTCTTCCAACTATACTTGAAAATGAATTGCCCCATGATTCCCCAAACCAGCTCCTGTGTTTGTCTGTGCGAAGCATGAGTGCACTCATGGTAGCACCCATATGGTGACACCCTAGCATTTTCCTTCCAGCTTTTAGGCTCTTCTGGTGCTATGATTGTTCCTTGAAATATGCTGGGGCCGGACGTACACCAAATATTCTCCACCCTCTCCATAATCACAAAAAATGGCATGTAAATTTCAAAAAAATAAATAAATAAAAATGAGTGGTAAAGAGACATGTGGTATACCTTTGGGCTACACTTTTAGTGTTGCTTCTATCTCTTCCAAATTATATGAAATGCTTTTTTTTTCCTTTAACATTCTTCTTCCAATATTTTTCGAAGAACAAAATATTTCTTGGTGTAAAAAGAAATGAGTCAATAATTCAAAAAGGGCCTTTAAATCTCATGTCATTGACAATGTAGATGTGCCCTGAACGAACAAAGAAGACTGACCCTCTCTTGTTGGGTTTTGTGGAGGTTAGATACGTTTGGGCCCGACTTGGATCGGTCCGTCTTATTTTTTAGCCTGTTTGTCTCTTGTTTTTTAGAGAACAAGTTTCCTAACCCTAGGTGTTTTCCTATATATGCACACTTTGTACTTGTAATTCTGTTAGACACGACAAGTGAAATAGAAATCCTCCTGTTGCAGCCGTGGATTAAAGAAACCGAACCACGTTAAATTCTTATGTGTTGTCCGTGTTCCGTTTCTCTCGTTTCTTGCAGATTATTTGTGTGTGTTGTGTGTTTGAATTCCAACAAGTTGTATCGGAGCAAGGTTATTCAACACGAGCACAAATTGTGAGAAAATTGTCGCCTAGGGTTTTTGTGCGTCTGAGCCGCCGGGAGAGATTTGAGATTCCCGTTGTCCAATCTGAAAGCAGCTGCTTGTCGCTGGAGGAGCCGCTGTGAAGCCGCGCCGTTTCAGATTCGCTGCCAAACAGATCTGGCAAGAGGAGCAAGCACTAGGGGTCGCCGCCGCCGTTGAGTTCGCCGCTGGGTCTTGAACCGCAGTGAGGAAGTGCACAGCTTCCAACCCAGTTGCCGCCGAGCCGTCGCCGTCTGGAGAAGGTGCCGCCGCTGAGGAGTCGCTGCCGTCGCCTAGTATTCAAGCTACCGTTTCTTGCGAAGATGAAAAGACAGAGGCAGTGGTTAGCCTTTCTCCATTGGTTTGGGCCGTAGCATTTTTGGTGGGTTTTGTTTTGGGCTAGTTTTTTTTGGCATAAGATTTGTTTTGGCCAATGCAATTGGTGAGCTGGGCGGCCTGATTTTCTGACAAAATTACCAAGATCTAATTTTTTTTGTACCGAGTATCTCGTCTAGTCGTTTGATATGGCAGAAGATGGGAAGTTCTGAATTGAGAAGTTCGATGGTACAGATTTCAATTGGTGGAAAATGAAAATTGAATATTTGCTTGTTCAGAAAGATCTGAACGTGGTATTGGGTGACAAGCCAGAAAAGATGTCGGATGCAAATTGGGAAGGTTTGGATCGGAAAGCTATGTCTGTGATCCGTCTCTCGATGACCAAGAATGTTGCATTCAACATTCTGAAGGAGAAGACATTGAAGGGAATTATAGAAGCGCTGTCTAACACGTACGAGAAACCATCTACAGCTAACAAAGTTTTTCTGATCATAGAACTGGTGAACACAAGGATGAAAGAAGGCACTTCAGTTAATGAGCATATCAACAAGTTGAATTCGATCTTAGCCAGACTTTTGTCAGTGGACATTAAGTTTGGTGATGAAGTTCAAGCTTTACTACTATTATCGTCTTTACCTAATAGTTGGTTTGGAACGGTTATAGCAGTTACCGGTTCAGTGGGACCTGATGGATTCACCTTTGATCGGATTCGAGATCTTGTTCTTGGCGAGGATGTCAGGAGAAAGAGTTCAGGAGAGTCATCTGGTGAATTGCTACGTGTTGGCAGAGGCAGAAGGATTAGCTGAGGTAGTGGGAGCAAGAACAGACGAAGGCGTTAGTCAAAGACTCGTGATAGCTTAGGTGTAACGTGCTAGAAGTCTAAGTAGGTGGGACATTTTAGGAATCAATGCTCGAATGATAATAAAGTGAACATTGCTAAAGGCTCTGCGAGTGACGAAGAGGTCACTCTGACTTGCTGTGAGGAAAGCAATGTGGATTCCTGGGTCATGGATTCTAATGCTTCATTTCATGCTACCACAGCAGTGAAGCATTGCAGAATCTAGTTATTGGGGACTTTGGAAAGGTACGACTAGCAGACGACAGAGCTCTTGAGGTGACGGGCATGGGTGACATGCTGTTGAAGACCCCAATCAGTTTCTGGACTTTGAAGGATGTCGGAGTGGTTCCAGGCTTAAAGAAAAGTTTGATTTCTGTCAGGCAGTTGGACGAACAGGGACACAAGGTGAAGTTCAGAGATGGGCAGTGGAAGGTCATAAAGGGAAATCTTGTCATGGCCCGCGAAAGGAAGAGTGGTTCGTTGTATATGGTCGAGTTACAATCTGAGGGAGTGACCGTCCTGATTCAGAAGAGAAACAAAGTCTGGTTCACAGAGTCTCGTGGGCAGAATAAGGTTGTCTATGCAAGAGAGAAACCTAGAGCCACAGGTCAGACTCAGGATGAACGAGCGAGGAAAGGTTCAAGGAGGCCAGTCAGAGGTATTTATGGCAGTGGGAGCTCAAAAGGCGCTTCAGCAAACTTTCCTAGAAGACAGTGGGTCACGAGAAAATTTCTTGCTGAGTATGGAGAGTGTTTGTTCTCAGGATGTTCCAGGATCCGGCAGTGTGCGTCTGCAGTGGGAGCTGGTAGGGACTGAGGACGAGTAAGGGGCAGATTTAGCCGTGACTGATGTGTTGGAGCTTGGGAGAGCTTCAACGGGCCTTTCAGTTGTCTGATGATAGGGCCGCTGCAACAGGAGAGCTGAGGAAGATTACTCGATGTATAGGCAATCGTGGTGGATTGCAGTTGATGATTATCAAGTCTCCAAGTGGGATAATGTTGGGTTTTGTGGAGGCTAGATACGTTTGGGCCCGACTTGGATCGGCCCGTCTTATTTTTAGCCCATTTGTCTCTTGTTTCTTAGGGAACAAGTTTCGTAACCATAGGTGTTTTCCTATATATGCACACCTTGTACTTGTAATTCTGTGAGACACGACAAGTGAAATAGAAATTCTTTTGTTGCAGCCGTGGATTAGCTAGGGAAACCGAACCACGTTAAATTCTTGTGTGTCGTCCGTGTTCCATTTCTCTTGTTTCTCGCAGATTATTTGTGTGTGTTGTGTGTTTGAATTCCAACACTTCTGGTAGAGCAAGCCTTTTTCCATGCCTCTACAAACGCCTCGTAAATTGTTTGCACTATAAAACAAACAATAAACCCGGTAAAATCACACCAAAAAATAATGTCAAAAGTAGAGAGACAGTTTCCAAGAGATTCCTCGTTTAAGAACAGAAGAAATAAAATCTCATTATTACATGTGTGGCGTCTGAAACTCCGTCGCCGACTGCACCAAAGCTATCCACGTTGACAAGAACCTTTGTGTTAGCGACGACCATCTTCTAACTCCGGGTCATTGAGATTGTCTGAAAGAATATCAATATCAATCTCTTCAAACTAGAAATCTTCTTCATTATATTTATAGATGCCAGCACAGGAAAAATAAGAAAGAAATAACATGAAAAGGCAATAATCTTGCCATGATTTATATATGGGATGGGATTTGTATTTTCTTTTCGGGTACTTTTTTTTCTCTTTAAGTAGCTAATATAAGACTATATACCTTCAAATGCGAGAATGATATTTGGGAGATTGCTTTACTCTTCAGCCATGATGGAGGAATTGAATGCACTAATACAAAAGATTTATATTAAAATTTGTAACAAATAATTAATTTTTTATGTATATAACCTTAAATTATATTTTACGTCAATTAGATATTTTTTATATAATAAGTTTATTTCAAAATAGTTTTTTGTAAACAAAGTTCTTTATATTTAATGAGTGATTAGTGAAAATAAAAAATAATAATTTAAATGTAATGAAAATGAATAAAAAGGTAGTTTTCGTCAAATCATTTGATCTATACAAACATATAAAGTCTTGTAAGCATCATTAGACCTTAAAGAGATTCAAAAATAAATAAAATGTACTGCAAATATTAGAAGTAAATCAATACTCCCTTCATCCCATCGTCCTTAAAAGATTGTCATAATTTGACTTTTTTGGTTAAACTGTGGCACCCTTTTACCATGATTTATGATAAAAAATATATTTAGTTATAATATAAATTTAGTAAAATTAAGTTTATTCTAAAATATACTTTGAATTATTATATTATTATAATATTTAATTATTTTAAATTTTATTTAATTTATAGTCAAATAGTGTCATAGTCTGACCAAAAAAGTCACTATGGTAACCTTTTTGAAACGGATCCGAGGGAGTAAAGAAACATAAATAACTATCATTAGACTATTTGTTTAAGTTAACTGAAGAGGAGTAACATATGATTTATTTTTCAATTCTTTAAAATTAAAATGGGATGCATCAACTAAAGAAATATTTGCACTAAATAGTACTAAAACTTAAGTCATTTCTCTAAATAGCACTTAAACTATTATATGATCTAAATAGCACTTAATAATAATGTCCAGTGATGACGGATATTTACTTGAATAATGACTAGTCATAATGACTAAAAGTGCTACATTGAAAAAAATACATGTGATACTATTTTAAAAAGTCATTATATTTTAGTGTTGTTTAAGTAAAATTATTTTTAACTAAACTTATGTGAGAAGGAACCTTATAGGGCTGCATGCCCTTGATTAACTTGAGAGGTTGGTGATGACATCATCAAGGAATCTGAGAAGGGACGCGTAGGACGAGCCGCCCTCCACTAGGGCTCCTCTGCTCATCTCACTCATCTCTTTGGCCTTGAACTTAATAGGACTCATAGGATCCATGAGCTCCTTCACCTTCTCCTCTATCACCTCTGCCCCAACAACTTGAGCCTTCCCGCCATTGATGTCCTTTGCCTTCTTGCAGTCCATCCTCATCTCCACCCCAACTCCCATCTCCTTCACTATCTGAAAGGCGTTGGCTTCCTGCTCCGCGTACATGGGCCAGGTCGCCAGCCGCTTCCCGAACCAAACGCTCTCCAGGGTCGAGTTCGACCCGCAGTGGGAGACGAAGCCTCCCACTGCAGGGTGTCCCAGTATGGCCACCTGGGGTGCCCACCCGATGACCATCCCTCGTTCCCTCGTCCGCTCTGTGAATCCCTCAGGCAGCATCGATCTGCCTTTGGTTGAGTTGGTTTCTTGATTGTTTTGGTCGTCGTCGCTCTCTTCCCTTTTATGCCTCAAGGCCCATAAGAATCTGTGGCCGCTGCGCTCCAGACCGGTGGCGATCTCCTTCACCTGCTCCTCTTCCTCCTCGTAGAAATAGCCGTTGCTTCCGAAACATAGGAACACGACCGAGTCGTGTTCCCGCTCGTCGAGCCACTCCAGAATCTTCTTCTTCTTCTCTCCTTCTCCTTCTCCTTCTTCTTCTCCTTTTTCGAGGTTAAGCACGGGCCCGACTGGGTAAAATGGCGGGAAGTTCATTAGATCGTTGTCGCGGAGGGCCTTCACGGCATGGGATTCGAGATCGGAGAACGTGTTGATCATCACTCCTCTAGTTCTGGTGATGATCTGCTCCCGGCAAACCTCTCGAATTGTGCCTTTTCTAGCACAACATTGGGGAGACACTTTGTAGGGAACTAGGGATGGCAACGGGTCGGGTTCGGTCGGATAGTACTATACCCGAACCCGACCCGACTTTAAAAACCGAAACCCGAACCCGACCCGAAACCCGACTTTTTAAGCCAAAACCCGAACCCGACCCGAACCCGAGATTCCAACCAGAAACCCGAACCCGACCCGAACCCGACTTTTAACTAATAATCAATTCGGTGTACCCCAATAATTTTAAAAAGATTACATCTAATTTTTTTTGTGTCTCATTTTTTTATTAAGAAATTATAAAAAATGATTATAAAAGGCATATTTGGTATAGTAGCACTTTGTCAAAGATATTATACGGAGTGCTCATTATATCCATAGATAGGCTTTTAAGTTATAAAATATTCGGGTTTGAGTCGGGTCGGGTCGGGTAAAATAATAAACCCACACCCGACCCGACCCGATGTCGGGTTCGGGTAAAAAAAATCGGGTCAGGTTCGGATTATTTTATTCTCGGTTCGGGTTCGGATTTTTTAGTGGTCGGTCGGGTTGGTTAAGCTCGGGTTCGGGTTGAATTGCCATCCCTATAGGGAACGGGTTCGCGTAACTAGGGATGGCCAGCGACGACGACGACGATGACAGTCCTCTCAGTACATCGTCGACGTCGTCGTTGTCCATACGCAACCCTTTGAGATAGAGAAAGAGGCCGATGGTTGCGGCACCGGAGGTGAAAAACACGTAGGCAGGGACCCCGAACTCGTCCGCCACGTCGACCATCGCCGTAGAGAACAAGTCGACGATGATCCCTCCGAGCTTCCTTCCGCTGCCTCCGACCCCGTGCCCAGCCACCCAGTCTCTCACTTGAGGTCTGAAGCCCTCATTAGGGACTTTGGCGGGTGGGTCGGAGGCGGCGGAGGAGTCGGAGGCGGGAGTGAGCGTCGCGCAGTTCAACCGCGGAGACCGCTTGGTTTGGGATCGGACGTAGCTAGTGATTCGGGGGTCACGGTGGTGGTGGTGAGGTTGCTCCAACACGAGAATGGTGATGGTGATGAGTTCTCGTCTGCCGGTGATCAGCTTGGCCATTTCCACGGCGGAGATCAGGTGGCCCATTAACGACACCGGAATGAAAACTAGCTCAACCGCCTCTTTCATTTCTGAAGCTCGATATGAATTAATCAATCTATGTATTATGTATATTGTGTTGGGACTGCGCGTGCCCTCACCCCAACCCCGCATTAGTATGATATTGTCCGCTCTGGGCCAAGCCCTCACGGATTTGTTTTTGGGCACCTCCCAAAAGGCCTCATACTAATGGGGTTGGGTGAACCTATATATTTTGGTTCATTTACTCCTACTCATCCGGTGTGGGACTTGGAGGAACCCCAACAAACCTCCCCTCATCCAAGGACCACACAACTTCCGACCTCCCCTCCAGCGGTAATCCTTTTTTTTCTCTTTATCTGCTAACCATCTTGCACCGCCGCACACTCTTTGCGGGATACGCCGCCCGACCTCTTGTCAGGAAGACTTTCGACGCAAGGCTCGAACCGCAGATCTTTTCTTCGCTGGGCTACACCAGTTGATCCGCCAAATCATCTTGTACCACCGTGGATATAACTTCACGGGACGCGCCGCCCAGCCTCCTCTCGTCGGGAAGACTTTCGACACAAGGCACCACCTGCGGATCCTCTTTCTTGGTCTTGGTCCTATTGTTGCACCGTCACACCGAGATTTTTCCACACTGCACAGTCCGCTGCTCACGCCCGCACGAACCTGGGCTCTGATACCACATGTTAGGCCCCCACTCCAAACAAATGAAAAGAAAAGGAAAAAAAAGGAGCACACAATTTTTAACGTGGTTCGGCACCTCAAGACCTACTCCACGACCCCCTCTAGGATAAAATCTCACTAGTAATTTTTGCACGGAAAAATTACAAACCCTCTTCAATATTTGACACTCACAACCTAAAATCTAATACACAATTATATAGATTGAAGGATTGTGTTGTGTGATGGAAGCCTATATCTCTTCTTTATTTATATGCTCCAATCCCTCCTCAATTTTCCTATCCCACCGATGTGGGACTTTGAAGTAACACTCAACATATGGGCTTTGCTCCGGTGCCTTGCAGAATGAAGGGGCCTCCACTAAATGATTGCCATGTGGATAAATAAATATGAATTTTATTAAAATTATCCACCTCATATTAATTTTCAGAAATTGCAAAATATTTTTAGAAATCTGCATTCCCAATTATCTACTGTCTTCCGTTTAACAACTTCAGTTAACTAGAGAATTTTTTATTTGCTTTTTGAATATACTCTCTTGGCACCAGCCCCTTCTTGCTTTGCCGTCACTGCAGCGCACGAGAAAGGAAGGAGCCCTGCTTTGCCGTCACAGTGCATCGCCAGATAGTCGCCGGCCGCCATCGTAGAGAAAACCCCCCATCACTTTGTTCGTCTTCTTCAAGCAAATTTTAATGACTGCCATCGGGGATCGTTCCACCCTGAATTAACATATCAATTATCCCTTCTTTGAGATTTGATCAATCCGCCAACAAATTTAAGTGGATTAACATCGGGGAACGATCCACCCACAGGTTTAAGCAGTAATTATGATAGATATTAGGGTTGGAAATTGAATTGCAGAAATAAGGATCAACAAATTGAGAGGAAACAATTACTTTGAGAGTGGGTAAGAAGAAATAGATCATATGGCGTTCGGCGGTCGGCGATCGATGGAGCCACATCTTCTGAGTCGCAGCGTTGCGTGCCTGCATCTGAGTTGGGAAAGAACCAAATGAAAAAATAGATGTTGACCTACTAACGGTGTTTAATAAACGGAAACGGGAGAAGGGAAGAGAGTTGGGGTAAGATTAACACAAGTAAAGAAGCAGGGGATATGTGCAATTTCTGAAAACTAAAATGACATGGATAATTAAAAATAATTGTCATCACTACTAATACACATGGCAAGAATTGGGTGGAGGGGCATGCATGCCCCCTTATTTCTCTGGGTACGGAAGAAATTCCCTATGTGTGTGTGTGTGTGTGTGTGTATATATATATATATATATAGTCACAAGAAAATAGCTCCTCAAGTATATTTATAGTCACAAGAAAATAGGATAAACACAATGTTGGAATAAAATTTAAATGCTCGTTCCTGTTTTGAAAAAAAAACTAATTTATTTTCGTTGTTTTGATCTTTAATTTTATTTTTATCATTGAAGAAAAAAAGAGACAAATCATTTAAATAAGAGTAATTTACCTAAATAGGACTTAATCATAATAACTTACTCCCTCCGTCCCAAATTATTTGTCACATTTCTATTACCGAGGCAAAATATCAAGTTTTTTCAATTCATTTTATTTACATATTGGTAAAGAAATAAAAAATATAAATTACATATCAAAAAACTACATGAAAAGTTCTTCGAAATAAGAGGTGTCAAGAATATTTTATTTTATCAAATAACCAATAAAAATGTAGAAATAAACAAAAGTTCCCGCGACTGTTGAAAAAGCAAATGTGGCAAAAAATTTGGGACGGAGGGAGTATTATATCGGTGCAAATTGATTGAGGTATATTGGAACGACTTAATTTAGATATATTAGTCTTTTTTATAAAAAATAGAAGTGTTTTAAGGAAAACAAAAAAATAAAAGAGAAACTATTTTAAAAAGAGGATGGAGCATGAAAATTGGTTTAGATGTTACGGAGTACTTTTTGAATTTAACACCAATTCAATATATTTTTATATATATTAAAAATAACACAAGCCAAGCATCGAAATTCATAACACGATAGTCTGATAGTCTCTCTGATGGTATCCTAATATACTCCTCACGTGAACTAAACACCCTACTTTCCTTTTCTGTCTTTCCAAAAAAAAGTTGTTACACTTTTTAACAATTTTAATAAAATAAGGAATATAATGTTCATAATCTTTCTATAAAATGGAGTTTTCATCAAGTTTAATGATAAACTTTTACTCCGTATAAGGTATTAATATTGTGAAATTTGCACTGAATAAGATTAAAACATAAGTCATTTCTCAATGTAAAACTTAAATTTTTTATTCTATAAATAGAACTTAATAGTGACTAGTGAGAAGAATAATGTTTAAGTGATGCTGGACATTTAGTTGAATAATGACTAATGAGCGCTATCGAGAAAGTCATTATGTTTTAGTCCTATTTAGGTAAATTACTCATTAATATTTGAATATATGGGCGTTAAATATTTTGCAACTGGTATAATTAAGTTTTTTTATTTGAAATGACATTAATTATGTTAAATTATTCTTCACTCTATCTTGTATTAAAAACCTAAAGTTTATTGTTTGAATTATACTCCATAATAAGGTTTTGTATTTTTATAAAAATATGTTGGATTTAATATAAGATTGATCCAAATTGTATTTAGTTGTATAAATTACATTGACAACAATAATATGGTGGAAGACTTTTACAATGGTACAAGTTTTTCTTCTCAATCAATTTCTTGTTTTCAAAAGAAGAAAATTAACCTAATTTCCTAAACAGTTTTACTTTTCTAGAAATAATTGACAATGATGTAAGGGTACCCGTAATATAAGGGCATATCTCCAAAACTTTTGAAAATGAGAGCCTTAGGTGAAAGATATCCACACTAAAAATAAATAAATAAATAAATAAATGGAACGTCCACCTCGAGCGTCTCTAGAGCCCAATTCGATAAAATGTTACGAGAATAAATTACTCTTTCCGTTGTCTTAAAATGTTCTTCCCAGTTATTGTTTACACGGTTAAACTTTAATCACTTTCTTTATTTATTTTCGTTAGTTATTTGATAAAATAATATAGTCATGTCGCATTTTGTTTTGTAAAACTTTTGATGCAGTTCTAAAACATACGGAGTATAAATTTGATTGTTTTAAATTTATACCTACAATCAAATAAATTGAATTAAAAACAGATTCTGTCAACATCGTAAAGAGAAACGAAAAGAAAGTTTTAGAAGAGAGACAATAATTAATAGTCACATTATTACTATCATTACATATTCCCCGTCGGCAATTTGTCAAAAAGTTGCTATGTACAGTTCCGCCTTTTCCGGAAAAATAAATGGGAGAAGGAAAGGAAAGAGATGAGAAGAAAAAAAATCTAGAAGGAAAATACAAAGAAATAGGATAAAAATTAGATGTTACTATATCTTTGGTTGGATGGAAAATATTTTTTTGAAGAATATTTTTCTAAAGAGAAATGGTTTTCGTGGAAAAGTGTTTTTCAATCGTATTTTTCAATTCTTTGTTTGGTAAGAAAGAAAATATTTTCTTAAAAAAATTGCTTCTTTTACTAATCCACTAGTATTATACCAATGCGTTGCACATGCCATTTTTACATTATTAAACTAAGATCGTTTTTTAATGATAGAAAATGATATTTTATACACGGTAATTTATTTTATACACGGTAGTAGCATATGTAAAATGAACTTACCTTTATTATTATTATTATTATTATTATTATCATTATTATTATTATTACGTTTCTTATTGTACTTATTATTACTATACGGCCCTTTAATATTGCCATATTATTATTATTCTTTCATATGTTACCTTTTTTATTCTTTCACATGCAAAGTCAACGGGCAATACCATATTATTATTATTATTATTATTATTATTATTATTATTATTATTATTATTATTATTATTATTATTATTATTATTCTTCTTCTTTCACGTGAGAATACATCTTTGTTAGCCATGGAAACACTTTCATTTATTTTATACACGGTAATTTATTTCGTACACGGTAATAGCACAAAATGAACATACCTTTTTTAATGTTTTTATTATTACACTTCTTATTGCATTATTATTATTATTGTACGGTACCATAATATTATCATAGTATTATTATTCTGTCACATGTTATCTTTTTGTAAGTTTCACATGTTACTTTTTTTATTACCTCGTATCAAAAATTTAAAAGTATGAAATTAACTTATTAATTATTAATAATTAATAATTAATAATTAGAGTCTCACATCTTACATTTTTTTATTACACAATATTTAAAAAATTTAAAGAAAAATGTAATGGGGAATTCCTCTCTCTTTAAATAGAATATAGATAAAAATAAAAATTCTGATCTTACCAGTTCCACACTTTAAATTCTATAACCCAAGAAAAAACATGAAATTCAAAATTTAAATTTATGAGCCAAAATTGAATTACGTGAATTCTTTTCGAGTATTAACAATGAAACAGGTCTTACACATATTGGACGTGCTTGGTAAATGAAAAGTTAAAAATTGAAACCAAAAAAATAAAATATTAAAATTTAAGATTTAAGATTTAAAGTATAAACTTTAAAATTTAAAAATAAAAAAATAAAAATTTAATTTTAAAAAATTAAAACTTAAAATTTAAAATTAATGCTTCAAAATTTAAAATAAAAAATATAAAATTTGAAACCAAAAATTGAAAATTAAAAATTTAAGGTTTAAAATTTAAAGTTTTATATCCAAAGTTAAAATCAAAAACTAAAACAAAAAAATGAAATTAAACCTTAAAAAACTAAAATTTAAAATTTAAAATTTAAAACTTAAAACTTAAAATTTGAAATTTAAAACTTAAAACTTAAAATTTAAAATTTAAAATTTAAAATTTAAAATTCAAAACGTAAAATTAAAATTTCAAAATTTAAAATTTAAAACTTAAAATTTAAAACTTAAAATTTAAAATTTAAAATTTAAAATTTAATTTTTTAAATTTAAAATTTTAAATTTTAAATTTAAAATTTAAAATTCAAATTTTAAATTCTAAAATTTAAAATTTTAAAATTAAAGTTTAAAATTTAAAACCTAAAACTTAAAATTTAAGATTTAAAAATTTAAATTTAAAAATCTAAAATTTCAAATTTAAAAGTTAAAATTTGAAATTTATGATTTAAAATTTTAAATTTAAAGTTGCGATTTTAAAATTCAAATATTAAATAAATTAAAATCTGAAAGTTAAAATTTAAACAAAAAGTTTCAAATTTTACATTTTATATTTTGAATTTTAAATAAAAAAACTATAAAAATAAATGATAAATTTCACGTGGGCTTCAATCTCTTTACCAATTGTGTGGGCTCTTGTAATCGGGGCTACAATTAATAATGGAATGAGCTTGAGATTTTGGGCCTAACTCATTGTAAATATTTGCTTACTCCATTTAGGGTCTGTTTGAGAAGTGGGGAAATGATTTATGGAAAAACGACTTCTGGAAAATGAATTACTTCGAGGTGCAATTGCACCTCGTAAGCATAATTGACTTTAAAGTCAAAAGTTTTAACTTTATGCTTACGAGGTGTAATTAACGTAGGTGGGGTGATGAGTTTGGGTCGGGACTTGGCGGGGGGTTTACCGGGGGTTGGAATCATCAATTTTATGAACGAAGTTTCGTAGGGGGGCAGTGGTTTCCGTGGCCACTGGATTCCAGTGGCCATGGAACCGGGCCGATAAAAGTAAGTGAAATTTGCAAGTGATGTTGGACATTTAGTTGAATAATGACTAATAGATAATGACCAATCAATGGTCCTACATTGAAAAATAAAAACATATATATGATCTTATATTGAGAAAGTCATTATGTTTTAGTCCTATTTGGCGACGATGGAGAGCTGTTGCGGCGTTGGGGGCATCACAATGTTGTATAATTTTAAAAAATGGGTTCCATATTTAAAAAAACAAACAAACAAAATCTAGTGAACTGATGCAGTTGTGGCTATTTTTCATCATGTATAAAACAGAACTTATATGAATTGGAAGGTTTAAACAAGAATTTCTGTGGGTAGAGCTTTCATCTAGAAGTCTATAACTTTTGTTTTATTTTTCTTATTTCAAAATAAAACATAAGCTATTTTTAGAATTTCATTTTCAAAAGGTTCTAATTTCTAAACATGATATAGAATAAAAGTACATATTTCCTCCGTCTTAAAATAAAAGCTCTGGTTACTATAACTTGTATGTGATCGCCTATACGTTTTTTATAGATCATTTAATAAAAAAAATAGTCATGTCACTACTTGTTTGTCTGAACATTTGACGTGGTTTTAAAATAGAAATATTTGCGCTAAATAGGATTTAAAAATAAGTCATTTCCCAATGTAGGACTTAAACTTTTTTATTCCTTAAATATGACTTAATAATGTCTAAGTAAAGAAATAATGTCCAGTGATGGAAAACATTTACTTGAATAATGACTAATAGATAATGACCAATGGTTCTATATTGGGAAAGTCATTATATTTTAGTCCTATATAAGTAAATTACTCTTTAAAATATTTAGATTTCATTTTGTAATTATATACTGATTTTCAAAAATAATCATTTTTTGGAAAAAAAACTAATTTTTTGGCTCCTATAGTACCACAAAATGGGACTTTATCTAATATGTATACATTTTTGTTTTTGTTTTTTTGAAAATGTTCCGTTGGCGTATCTAATATGTATACATTTTTGTTTTTGTTTTTTTTTGAAGCTTACAAACACTCAAAAATACATTGTTAAATACATTGCTAAAAATCGCTTCCAAACTAAAACAAATTCACAAATAATATTTTTGCGAAGTGAAAACTTAAAGTTGTTCTCAAACATGCTTACACGCACGCATTCTCCCATATGCTCAACGATTATTTTTTATGTTGCATTCATAATATTCTCCGATCCTAATATCCTGTATATTAATAAAAAAAGGTCATGCTAACCACAATTAATTTGCCTAAATCTACTCGATCGATTTCTAAGAAATGGACAGATTTGCCCTTCCTTTTTTAAAAATATATTTAAAGCACAAACTTATTTTTTTAATATAAACAGAATAAGTAATAGGCTAATAATATAAAAATATATAGGAGGAAATATATAAAAATATATAATGGTCAATGGGTCCCGGGACCCATGGGTTTGCCTAGTGGAGGGGTATATAAATATTGCAGTACTAATTGAACTAAAAAAAAGACTACTCTCTTTTGTATGTTGACTATGTTCTAAGGCAATACAAAACACATTATTTTTCATAGAATATAAGAGTATTTAATTGGTAAAACTCCCCAATATTAGCATGCCTAGTTTTACCAGCGGTCAAAGCTTCATGTCCATTACTCTATTGCCCATTAATGGACTACTCTCTCCACTCCATTTTTTAAATACCTTTTTATTTAGACCAGACATACTGGTTCAAGCCCCTTTTAGGTATATTTTGTCACGCGAACATCACCGTAAAACTACTCATTTTGAATAAAAAAATGTGCAGTGCTTCATGCCTCATTTCAAACTCCTTCAATCATTATACAATGATTCAAATTTTACCTTGTTTACTCAACTATTTTAAAAATTAGAACTAATCTTAAAAAATAATTAATAAAAACATACGGAGTGTGATGCTAAGAGGCGTGCATGAGGGATTGAACTCTATCTATTCTTAACACTACTTCTAGTCTACTTACCCTACTACCCTCCGATCTCATGTACTTGTATGTCCCTTATAGTGAGTAATTTACTCCGATTCGGGTATTAGTCCGTACCTAATATGCAATATGAATTTAATTATTAAAATTTGTTTACTTTAATTTTAAATAGACAAGCTTAAGGAATAATCTAAGATGAGTGAAGTATTATGTCATTTGGTCTCAAATAAAACACACAAGTATTACTCATAAAATCAAATTAAATTATTTCTTTCATCGATAAGTTTACCAAATAATAAAACTTTGTTATCCCTTATTTTTTAAAACTATATATATATATATATATATATATATATATATATATATATATATATACACATATATATATATGCATTGTTTTTTTCACCAATTTTTTAAAATAAATTAAATTGAAATTAAATTAGGTCAATCATCTCTTAAAAATGGTGAAGAAGGGAATAATAATTTGTGGGTGGGTGATTTGCTCCTTTTTTTAACAAGACAATTGATATAGTTCAGACCTTCCTATACTCTCTCCTTCTTGATAGAAAACTTTATAATTGATTAGACTGAGTTATATTAATTAATAGAGTGTAAATATATACTTTAAATTTATACATAATAGAAAAAAATTGTTTGAAATTTTTCAACCACATAATTGTTTTGTAAAAAGAAAGAGAATTATTTTTCCAAAACAAAGTCATTCTTTATGCACCCTCTATCCCATAAGTAATTTATGGGTTCAATGGTTGCATAATTAAACATTCTTCCCTTTGGAATTAGTAAGATTTTTAAAGATAATATTTTCCCATAGTAGAATTAAATTAAGTTAAATGAGATTGAAAAAAAAGCAAGTGCAGTGTACCTGTTCTTATAGTTCAAGCCTGCTTTTTAAACCAAATTAGTAAATTGATTCCCTAATTAAAAAAATGATATTTCTGACGTTTTTCGTTTTCTTTTTCAAATTTCTTAGTCGCAAATTGAAAGCTTCAAAGAAATTCACAACTATAAATAGCATCACCTACATTTCAAGATTTCCACCAACCAATCTTCCAACCAACCTCCAACTCTGCAAAAATTATTCAGACAATCCCATTTGATCGCAGCTTCTGAAGGTAAAGATCCAAACTTTCTCACATTTTAGCCTTTTTCATATGGATTCTTGATCTGGGTTTCGATTCAAAAGTTGAAATTTGATGTGATCTGGGAATTTGCACAGGTGAGGAGAAATGGCACGCAAGAAGATCAGAGAGTATGATTCCAAGAGATTGTTGAAGGAGAAATTCAAGAGGCTAGGTGGTTATGATTTGGCTATCAAATCTGCCCAAGTAAGTGGCCTGGCTTAATTTTTTTCAGGGGTAAATCAAGGAATTAATTTATTAATTTAGTTCTTTCATTGTAAATGTCTATGTTAGCTTATTGTAGCATTGTTGGGGGGTGAATCCTAAATTTCTTGAATGAGCATACTTGAATATTTGTGGATGCATAAGTCTGAAATGGGTTTGAATTTTGCATTCTCTTTTAGTTTTAATTTCCATTTTGAGATACATATGTTGAATGAGTTTGGGAGTAAACTTGTTAGGTTAGGGCAATAGAGGGAATTATGGTTAGTGATCAAACTAGGTGAGGATATGATTCACCAATAATAGGATTCACTAGAGAGACAGTGCAGACAGGGAACTGAATCTGATTCGTCATCTAAAGAACTAGTGTTAAAATTTTGTGATGGTAAATTATTTTCCAGGGAGACCATTTCCCCCCAACCAAACAATACTTAAGTGATGGGAATTTCCTTGATGTGGTTTAGGTTACAGATTCAACTGATTTCAATGAGCTGGTTGAGAAAGAGCCTTGGCTCTCCTCTACAAAGTTGGTCGTAAAGCCCGATATGCTTTTTGGAAAACGTGGGAAGAGCGGTTTGGTTGCGTTGAAACTAGATCTGGCTGAAGTCGCTGTCTTTGTTAAGGAAAGGCTTGGCAAGGAGGTAATCCTTAAATTCTGCTAAATCTAATGTGACCAATTTGTATCCGTGTATATTGTTTCTGTGCTTTTACTTTGTTCATGCCAATGTGCTTTCTTTGTTTGTACTCTTGTACTCGAGGTATCTTGGAAACTGCCTCTCTACTTTTTAGTAGGGGTAAGGTCTTCTTACACACACCCTCCTCAGACCCTACTTTATTTGTGGGATTCTACTAGGTTTTTTGTTATTATATTTGCGGCGGGTGGCCTTTTTTTAAAAAGCCTCTCTACTGCCAAGGGTAAGGTCTGCATACACACATCCTCCCCAGACCCTACTTTTTATGGGATTTCACTGGGCTTGTTGTTGGTGATGAAGTTGACCGGTTGGTATGTTCATTCTTGCATGTACACATATTAGTATTTCTTTTCATTTTTTTCATACTCGCAAATTCCATTTCTAGCTCATGTGTAAATCTTCTTAACGCCGACAGGTTGAGATGGGAGGGTGTAAGGGTCCCATTACTACCTTCATTGTTGAACCCTTTGTCCCACACGATGAAGAGTTTTACCTTAACATCGTGTCAGAGAGGCTCGGATGTAGCATAAGCTTTTCAGAATGTGGAGGAGTGGAAATAGAGGAGAACTGGGACAAGGTCAAGACCATATTTGTGCCAACGGGAGCCTCTTTGACTTCGGAGCTTTGTGCTCCACTTGTCGCAACCCTTCCTCTTGAGGTGATGGAAAATGAAACAACTACAAGTCAAAAATTCTACATTATGTTATTTTATGTATTTTTGCTTTAAAAAAACTTTGTATTTGACGTGGTTTTTTTATTTTTTATTTTTATTGTTTTACAACTTGGTGCAGATCAAGGGTGTGATTGAGGAGTTCATTAAAGTGGTGTATGCACTATTTTTAGGTAGGTAAAGATGTGCAGCATTTGATAACACTTTGATGGCTTATTTAGTTGCTTTGATGGGTTTCTAATTTGGTTTTGTTTTTCTTTTCATATTTTTAGATTTGGATTTCAGTTTCCTTGAGATGAACCCATTCACATTGGTTGAGGGAAAGCCTTATCCACTGGACATGAGGGGGGAACTCGATGATACCGCTGCTTTTAAGAACTTCAAGAAGTAATTTCTGTGACTCTTTTATGTTTGCTTTTGTCAACTCATCTCCACAAAAGTATGGTATTACCGGATTTGTTTCTGGGAACCTCCTGATACGCCTCGTACTAATGGAGTATTGGAGTAACGATTATATTTTGGTCTATTTTCTTCAATTTCTTGTGTGGGATTTTCGGGTTTGCTTGGTTACATTTTTTTTTTATCTCACACGATTCATATCCTGCAGGTGGGGGAATATTGAGTTCCCACTGCCATTCGGAAGAGTAATGAGCGCTACCGAAAGCTTCATCCACCGGCTGGATGAGAAGGTACCGAGTCATATTTCTGCAGAATTTTACACACCAAAAGATATTTGTTTCTTTGCAGAATTATTTATTTATTTCATTTAACTGCAGACAAGTGCATCTTTGAAGTTCACCGTCTTGAACCCAAAGGGACGAATTTGGACCATGGTGGCTGGTGGAGGTGCCAGCGTCATCTACGCTGATACAGTGTGTTTCTTTCTGTTCTCAAAACTTTTTTTTTACTATATGGACTTCAATCCACCGGAGTATATAAGAATTATGACGTAGATATTGGATCGTAAGCAATATGGAGAGACGAAGCTATATGAACCCATTGTTGTTTTTCTTAACGTTGGCTGTTTGCCTAATCAGGTTGGAGACCTTGGATATGCAAATGAGCTCGGAAATTACGCTGAATACAGTGGAGCTCCTAATGAAGATGAGGTTTTGCAGTATGCCAGAGTTGTACTTGATGTAAGAATCTTTTGTTTTGTAATGCCTGGTGAATTTGTAAATGTACAAGTTATTCTTTTCATGGAAGCACAGTTAATGGAGCAATTAACTTAAGTAAAAGTGAAAAAAGAAGCGTAAAATCGAAACGGTTTCTTGTTTTTAAGACTCCAAACTAAAAACCCAGTCTTCAGTGTGCAACTGCAGATCCAGATGGTCGAAAACGAGCCCTCGTGATTGGTGGTGGCATTGCAAACTTCACAGATGTTGCTTCTACTTTTAACGGCATTATCCGAGCTTTAAAAGAAAAGGTACAAAGCTCAAAATCTCTCTCTGTCTGTCTCTCTGGGAAAGAATAATTGTTTTGTCATAGATTCACATGCAAATCCAACAAAAGAAAGACGAAAACAAAACTATTTCTGCAGGAATCAAAGCTCAAGGATGCAAGAATGAGTATCTTTGTTCGTAGGGGCGGTCCAAACTACCAACGTGGACTTGCTAAGATGAGAGCCCTTGGAGAGGAAATCGGCATCCCCATCGAGGTACACAAAAAACACTTCACCTTAAACCTCCTTTGATTGTTTCCTAGGAGTGCACTTTCCTCGGTTAATAAACTCACCGTTGCATAAACCTATTGTTAGAGTACATCTCACGTCGAAAAAGTACACGACTTTGTGCTGAACTACATAATCGACTAGATTCAATCTTTCATTGGGATTTGGCTGAAGTGTCTTTCTTATGTGACTATAAGCTGATTAACTTTCACCCAATCTTAAAAGGGGTAACTTTTAGGACAATTTTTATAGTCATATAAACACAATCAATCCTTCATCAAACACTATTATGTTCGGCCCCGTTTGGCATCAGCATTAGAGATTAGCGTTAACATTTTGAAAATCTATCTTACCGTAGCCTTTAGCGTTAGTATTTTCCAAATTAATCTACACCGTTAATATTTTGTCTAAAACGCTAACACTGATTGAAAATGTTCTTCCAAAACAAGGCTTTCATTGATCCCATGGGAGTTGTAACATTTTAATGTTCGTTTCGTTTTTTAGGTCTATGGCCCGGAGGCAACGATGACTGGCATTTGCAAGCAAGCAATTGAATGCATCACCGCGGCCGCTTAAACCAAAGCGATTTACGCGCTCTTATTTTTATTACCACACATTTTTAAACTTCTTTCACGTCTTTGTTACATTCATTACTCATGTCCGCTTGAACATTGTCGTGTTTCTATTACAACATTTCAATTCATGTTGTCCAAGAATCACATTTGTCGTATTTCGACCTAGAATAACGAGATTCGTGTTTTTCGTATTACCTTGTGAAATTCTCTTCGTTACGACGATGGCACCTATTTCGGTCTTAAAATACTTGAATTAGACCTGACAAATCTTAGTAACCTGACTCATATTCTGAGTTGATCATATACTCTCTAGTGTGCTTCTCTCTTACTGTCTCTACTCTCTCTTTATTTGCATACCCACTTTACAAGGTTGGCTTATTGGGTGGTTTTTGAACATCAAAATGTTACATTCTTTTTCTCTGCATAAAATTCAACCATACATTTGTTATTATTATTTTTTAATGTTTTTCTTAAATTTTTAAAAAGTCAAATTTGGACAATTTTACGAGATTGTATGGAGTACTAAGGCAAGAGTTCAAAATTCAGAATACGAAGTACTCTCTATCCCAAAAAAGTTACACTATTTACTATTCCGATATCGCGGAAATTTTTTATTTGTGCGTTTTGATTGATTATTTGATAAAAAAATATTCTTGTCACCTCTTCTTTAGTTTGTAGAACTTTTAACGTGCTTTTTAAATACGTATATTTTATTTTTATTTTTTATACCAACCTTTAAACAAAATGAAAAAAAACTTAAAATTTCATTTTGTTTTGCGTGATGTGTAAAACTCTTTGAAACATGGAGAGTATTATTTTTCAAGTGAAAGTGATTCAGATATAGGGGTTGGGTTTAAAGTCTAACTGGAGTTAAGTGTAACATTTCACTTTGATATTAATTCAGGTCAATTTTGATATATCCAGACCTAGACCAATATCGTCAAGTAGATATTATTACCTTTTTTTTGTTATGAAATAAGTAGTGTGTTATTCTTAAAAAAGTGTCGTTGGACGTTGTATAGTTGGCAAAGACAAGGAGTGTCAAGGGGTAAGACGCAAGTTCAATTCCTATCAACAACAGGAGGTAAATGTGCTAAGCGTAGAGCATCTGCGCATGCCAAGTGCAGGCTCTATTCTTTGCAACCAATCTAAGATCAAAGTTCAATTTATTTCCTACTTAGAGACCGTCTGGCCGAGTCTGAGTGGAATCTCAGAGATAGGGTTCATCTTTTTTTCTTAAAAGAAAGATGCACTTCATCGTAGGGGAGTAGGGTCTCCCCATTATCAACAACATAGTAGCACGTGAGATTAAGTGAAATTTTAATCTTCAACCGCATAATAGAGAGTGAAATCTTTTTCTTTAACGGTGCAAGGACTCCTACCCACAAACCCGTCCCCTAAACCCCCCACCCTAGCCCCACCACACTCCTGCCCTAAGCCTCCCTCCAAATTTGTGGCTAATTGATCATTCCTATCCCTCTAACCCACCCCTTAAACCTCTCATCCTAGCCCAACCCTATCTTCCCACCTCAATCTTGCCTTAGACCCCCATCCAAATGAGTGGCTATTGTCGTTGCATAATAGCCACTCATTTGGAGGGGGCTTAGGGCGGGACTGAGGTGGGGGTTAGAAGTGAGTTATGTGAGGTAGGAATCATCAATTTTCTAATTGGAACATCGGAGGTATTCCAAAATTGTAGTGGCACTGCTAATGTCACCATTGACGAGTGTCAAGAGAACCGTGTCCATAAAACAAATCTTGGACAACTTATGTCCAAAACATTTTTACCACCATAAATCCAAATTGAAGTAGTGTACAATTCAAGTTCTTTATGCATAGTCGTTTTCTCAAGTACTGTGTTGGACATATAATAGATTTTTTGTCAATCTAAAATTACCAATATTCAATAGAACGGATCAAATCAGTTTGAATGAAAAACCCTATCAAGAGTCAAACCCGGCTTTTAATTACTCCCTCCGTTCCACAAAACCCTTCCGATTTTGACTTTGGGAAAAAATAAGGAAAGTGTAATTTTGATTGACTTTCCAATTTTGCCCCTGATGTGATGGAAAAAAAAAGTAAGATGTGATAGTTAAGTTATTAGTGAAAAAGTATGATATGATAGGTAGGGTATGAAAAAGTATGGGTAAAAGTCGTTTTTTAATAGAAAATGGAAGTGTTTTGTGGAAAGCAAAAAAAACGAAAGAGGAAGAGTTTTGTGGATGAAAGGAGTACTTTTTTTGTGCCTGTATTGACCAAGTAAGCAAGGTTCTCTTCTCTGCATAAGCGTCCATTACTCTTATCACCTATGTCCATTTGTGTTTATTCTAGTTTAACTTTTTGTATTTAAATTGAATAAAATTTAATTATGAATTAAATGGACATGACTATGTAGATTATATATTAATAAAATAAAAGAAATTTTATAAATTATTTAAAAAATTATTAAATTATTTATGTTCAAATATGTCATGTAATTTTTATTTAATTAATGATTAAAGTTTATTTAAATTTAAGTATAAAAAGTTAGAGTATTGTTATATATTTTAGTGTAATTAGAATGACTATTTGACAAGTATTATTATTATTATAATCTTCAAAGAATTAGTTCGGTGGGTATAGAGTGCACGCTACATTGAGTATATAATAGAAGTCTCATTTTATCCCTAATACGTAAACCGACGTTCCAATGGGGGTTGCGTCCCTTGGCATGGCTTCAGGGGGCCGCCCCCGAGAGTGGAATCCAAGGGGCGGCAGTCTCTACGGGGTCCAAGGGACAGAGCCCCTGACTCGGGTCGGCCAGGTTGAATTTTTTTTATTTTGGATGAATTGTTGGGTTAAAAATTTATTTGAATTTTATATTTGGAATTGGGTAAAAAAGAGTCCCGAAGGAACGTGCCTTCGCCGGTAGTTCTTCTCCTTCCGGCTTCTATAAAAATCTCGTACGGTTGGTCGAAAATCCAAGATTCAAAAAAATCATCACAAAATTTTCTTACTTTGTTTTTTAATTCTCTCTAAATTGTGTCTAATTAAAATTTTGCACGAATTAACAAATAATTTTGATCTAAAAATGTTTAAACTTTGTGCCAAATTAAAATGAGTCTTTTTTTAGGATAGATGAAGCATTTCTTTTTTGAGGGTGTTTGAGAGTGATTAACTTGTAGATAAAGTAATTTTTACAAAAATTGAAAACAAAAACCCCTCATAACGGCTTCTCCGAAACTGTATTCTATGTATAAAATAGTGGTAGAGAAAAACAGAAACTGACATGTCAAACAAAATAAAATTACAACTCAAATTAAAAACTAAATTCTTAAAAGCGGCACACAGCCAAACACCCTCTTTCTTTCCCTTCTCGATAGCTTGTGATTTGGTTTGTAAAAATTTTGGCATAATTCTTTAACATCTATGTGTCATTTTTTATTCTAATATACAAATAATACAATGACCATACTTTAAAAAACACAGGTGTTTGTCTCGTAATTCTGACATTGTTATCTAATTTGAGACGAAAAATGTTGAACTTATGATAGAATTTTTAAAAATAAAGTTTATATTTTTTTATTTACATAACTTTTTGTAATAAAGAAAGTAATTTTGAAAGAAAAAAAAGGTTGAGATGATAATTTGGGAACGGGAGGGGAGTGGATAGTTCATTCGGTCAACAACTCTTTGCCGGTTGGTCGCTAGTCGGTGATAACTTGGTCCACATAAATTTTACGATTTTTATTAGTTTTAAAGTAATTTTCTATTTTTTAAAATTAAGAAATTAGCAGCTCACAAGTTTGTTTGTTTTTCCTTTTTCTAAAAAAAATAATTACTCCACACATAATTTCAATTCATAAATATTTTTCAAGACTCGTTAAAGTTAAAATATAAAATTTATTTTTTCCAACAAAAAAAAAGTACATGTAAAATTTATTTGGAAAAGAAGTCGGCCATGCTCAGGAACAACATTTTTTATTAGGGTCTGTTTGGTACACAGAATTGGTGAAATTAGAATTGAATTGGAATTAAAATTTCATGAGATTCAATTCCATAGAATTGAATTTACCAATTCCAATTCATTTTTTGCACTACCAATTTCAAATCCACATAATTTTTGTGCTACCAAACACGAGATTTGGAATTGAAGTACTAAATTCAAATTTCATAGTTTGAATTCTGTGTACCAAACGAGGTCGTAGTGTTAGCATTTTGAATAAAATTTTAATGATGGGCTTGTTTGGGAATAGCGTTAGCGTTTTGGATAAATTTTTAACGGTGCAGATTAATTTGAAAACGCTAACGCTAAACGCTGCCGGAGATAGCATTTTGAAAACGCTAACGCTAATCTCTAACGCTATTCCCAAACAGGCCCGATATAGGTTAATTCTGACAACGTTAACGCTAAAGGTTACCGTCAGATAGTTTTTTCAAAACGATAACACTAAGAGCACTGGTAATGGTTATGAAGCCCCGGGGCTTCAAACCGGGGCTTCAAATTTTCTCTCTCTACCACGTCAGCTTTAATTAACATCCAAAATTTACTGGAAATGGGTTTGAAGCCCCGGGGCTTCAAAACTGGGCTTCAAACCTTCATTTTTTACATTTTTAAATATACATCTTCTAAAATTAAATTAATAAAATGTAATTAATTTATTATTTAATTAAATTGAAACACGAATAATAAAAAAATACATTCAGTAAATAAAAAAAGCGTCAAGAATTTAAAAAAAGATACATTAGTAAAAAAACTAAGGTAAATTATATTTCTCCTTGATCTTTCTCATTCTTTGCTCATAGATCATTCGTCCAAACTCCGACAACGTCCCGGGGTCGGTTTTCATGACTTTCATCTCGGCCTCCTGCTCTTTTAGCTTCAACTCCTTCTCCTTTAGCTTCAACCTCTCTTGTTCTTGGAGATTGAACGCCCGAAGTTGTTCAATCATTGCCCGGCCGATTTCGTCGCGGGGAGAAGCGGAAACAGAGGCGGACCCTCCCGAACCCGAGGCAATGAATTTTGCCTTCTTTCTTCCGATCGGCTGTCGAATGGGGTCCTCGTCATCGGAATCCGCAACGTTGAAGGGAGAGATTTGATCGCTAGAACCGATAGTCTCGTTGACCTCAACCTCGGCGTCGACGGTGGATCTTTTCCGGAACGATCCGCCGTCGGGATTGTTGAGTTGTTGCCACTTTAGGGAACGACTCAAAATCCTCGAAAGATCAATGGGCACCTTGCCTTGGTTCCCGTCGTCTTGATACCGGGTCGTGGCAAGCCGGAGAACATCGGCATCGTTCGTGTCGCTCCTCCGGGACCGGGAGCATTCCTCGTAAACTCCCATAAACTTTCGGACTTTTTTGTTGATGTTGGAAGTGAGTTGGTCCCGGGTTCGGTAGGAGCCGTCCTTCTTCATCGCCGTGAAGAACTTCTCCTCGGTACGATCCCACATCGCATCTTTCGTTTGTTCCGTATCTTTAAAAATGTATTACACAATTTTTTTAGACACCATTAAATATAATAGGATGCTCGGAGACGTCAACCCAAGCCGACGCCAATATGGACTCCTCCTTTGGCGTCCACTTTTGGATTGACCGTGCCGCCTCGGTCAACGTGCTTTTGGCTTTGTGGCTTTTTCGGCATGTACTTTTTTTCGATCCGGACGGTTCCGGTTGAGTCTCCGAAACCGAATCTCGGTTGACGTACCCTGACTGTTGCGTCTCGTACATCGGCGGTCGATCACCCAACTCTTGGTAATACCACATCGCGGCGTCGACGGACGCGAGATCGTCGGGAAAGAAGCCAAAGCCAGAAGGATTCATGTTGAATAGAGAAGGGGTAATTTCGAAATTTAAAATGGGAAGAAGAAGAGATTGAAGAGAAGGTGTGAGAGATTGGGTGGGGTGGGGTTTGAATTTATAAGATTTTTTTTTAAATGGGGTGCAACGGCTTTATAGCCGTTAGGGTGGGGAGGGGAATGGAAATGACGCAACGTCATTCCTTTGACGCTGGCCCAATCACGCCGTTTCATGCCCGGCGGGGGCGGTGTTTCACACCCCCAGGGCGTTAAACGCCCATCACGCGCGGGGCGTTGCATGTTTTCCAATTAAATACTCCGTATGGGAGTTGTTTGACAAAAACAGATTTATCTTACATTTATGGAAAATGCTAGGGGTACATCAAAGGTGTACCCCATTTGTCCCGCACCCCTTCATTACCACTCAATTAGGCAAGAAAATTAAAAAAAATAAGTAAATGAGTGGTAATTGAAGGGGTGGTGTACAAATGGGGTACACCTTTGGTGTACCCCTAGCATGACCCTACATTTATTTCTCCCATAATTAGGACCCGTTGACTGTCCATTAAATCAAATCATACTCCCTCCGTCTCAAAATATTCACAACATTTGCTTTACCTCGGAAATATAAATGTGACAAATATTTAGGGACGGAAGGAGTATCTTATCTTATACCCCGAGTATATTTTTATTGATTGTGAAATACAACGTACTCCGTATTAAATATGGATCAAATTAATTCTCGTTCACTGTTGATAAATATTCACAAGAAAAATAATGTCTCCATATAAGAGGTAAAAAGTATTCCATATAAAAATATTAAAATAGGAATTCTAAGTCTTTATTTTTAAAACTAAAATAGAAGTACAATAGCAGTACTGTAAAAGTATGTGTTGCAAATGTGATGAAAAAATTATTACAATGTAAAATATCAGTGTGATAAGTCAACCATCGACGATACTCTGGTGCCTGACACCGAGGGATGGCAATATAGCGGTGGTAATGTGGCCGTTAAAAGGTGACAATGTGGTGAGTGTGACAGTGTAACAATGACAATGTGAACTCCAACTTTAGTCTTAGAAACATATGATCTTATATGTATTTTCATAGTATTTTACTTCTATTTAGAGAGTTCTCCCAAAAATATAGTCACTCTCTTCTAAAACTTACTTCTCAATTACTATTCATACAATTAAATTTTAATCAATTTTTTTAGCTATTTTTGCTAGTTATTTGATAAATACTCTCCTCAATCAAATAAATTAATAAATTAAAAATAACTTTGGAAAACGGAACGAAAGTTCTAAGACGAAAGGAATAATCAAGTACTCGGATAGGAGTATAACCTAATTGTAGAATTGTTTGTATAATATTTATTTCATAAAATAACATGATACGGAGTATTTTTCTTAAATAAAATAATATTTTAAAAGTTTTATAAGATAAACTTAATAAAATCATTTGTATATCAATATTTAATACTCAATCCGTCCCCATTTCTATTACAGTACAATTTTATTTTCCCTCCCCTCTTGGTAATTTTTTTTATTTGTATGTTTTCATTGATTATTTGATAAAATAAAATACTTTTGTTACATCTTGTTTTGTACTTCGTAGAATTTTGGACGTAAGTTTTTAATATGTAATTTTTATTTCCAATTGATTCACCAATTTGTAAATAAAATAATTTTAAAATCATATGATTTTACATCGTAATTCTCATTTCATAATCAAAATAGGAATGAAAGAAGTATAATTTATTTTATTAATAACCAGAATTTATCAATTTTGATATCAAAATGAGAAAAGGCGACAAAAGGTAGTACCATAGTTTTCATAACCGGACCGGTGACCGAACCGGTCAAGATACTGGTTCACTGGTTTTCTGGTCGAATCGTGGTTCAACTGGTCGAACCGGTGGTTTAAACATATTTAAAAATTATATAAATATATATATGTGTGTGTGTGTATGTATATGTATATATATTTACACACACATACATACATACATATAGACACACACACATTCTCATTTATAAATATCTAAAGAAAGTAATTTATAACATTTAAGTAATATTATACTCCCTACGTTTGGAAAAACCCTTCCTATTTGATTTGGAGGCAAAAATAAGGAAGTGTTAAAAATGAAAGAGGAAGTGTTTTTGAGAATGGAGGGAGTATTAATATACTTGAGTTATTTTATAAAAATAAAAAATAAAATTTACATATTAAAAAAATATAAAAGAATTTTAATAAAGAGTTGATTTTATTTTTTTCAAATAAGTTGTTTAATATTAAAAAATCGAAATCTTTGCATGATTTACATTTTGTAATAGTATCAATAATATCAATGATTTTGTGTTTGACTCATAGCTATATAATATTATATTTATAAAATTGAAAAGGAATTTATATACAATCTTTTTTGTAATTATGAAATATTATAAAAGATTATGTGAACTTGACAAAAAGCACCATTGCTTGGATGGTTAGGAGCTCAACCAAATGTCTAAGAGGTCTTGGGTTCAAACCCCCATGGAGGCACGTTTTAGAAAAAATCAGCAAAAAAACACTGAGCAGACCGGTCCGACCGGTCGGTTCTTACCGGTTTGGCCCGGTTCGAAGTAGGTTACGGCGCAATGGGCTGGACCGGACCGGTTGGACCACCGGTTCGCCAGTTCACGTTCCGAACCGGCCGGTCCGGTTTTTAAAACTATGGGTAGTACTCCCTAGGACCCCCCTATCATTTTGGATAAACATAATTACGTGTATCTATAATTACAGTTTAGTGACCCACCAGCCAGGCGGCCACCAACTTATTTATTTATTCATTTGTACGTTGGTTTAGTTTTTTTTTTTGAGGAATTTACCTAAATAGGACTAAAACATAATGACTTTCTCAATATAAGACTATATGTTTTTATTTACCAATGTAGGACATTTGGTCATTATGAAGTAGTCAGTATTCAAGTAAATATCCATCATTACTGGACATTATTCCTCCACTAGGTCATTATTAAATCCTATTTAAGCAATAAAAAAGTTTAAGTCCTACATTAGGAAAGTCATTATGTTTTAGTCCTATTTAGGGCAAATTTCACTTTTTTTTGAATATTTGCCTAGTTACTCCGTATATTTTTTGTAAATGTAAATTGGTAAATTTATAATTTTATTAAATAAAAATGACATTAGATATTTATACAGATGTAAATTTTTTAGATATGTTGTATATATGAGTACTTCCTCCGTCCCACTATATTTGTCCACTTTCATTTTTGCACACCATCCAATACACTTCTTTAATCCATTTTATCTTGTAATTTGTATATTAAAAAATTATAAAAATTATATATTAATAATCTATATGTTAAGACAAATCAAACAAGATCACGCATGACTATATTTAGGCTTACACATTGAGAGAATTTGATGAGTCAAAGTGCTTAGATGAACAGTTCCAAAAGTTAAAAGTGGACGAATATAGTGGGATGGAGGGAGTAATATGTTATTTAATCAAACATTTAGTAAAATTAAAACTAAAAAAATACTCGAGTATGAAAAGTCCAATTTTGGGCTCACCAACTCCATAATCATGTGTATAAATACCCCAATTAAAAGCCAAGAAAAGTAGGGTGGAAATTTTCTTGTCATCCATTATCCTATCATCATCATATCACACCCAAACACCATACCAAGTCTTCAACCAAACATGGATGTGACTGGGGCCCAAAAAAGGTTCCCATTGGTCGACTACTCCGCCATGCACGGCGACGTTCTAGAGGCGGTCCTCTCACGCGCCGCCCTCGTCGACCTGGTCCCGGCGTCGCTCGTGTCGAGGTCGTGGAACCGCGCCGTGTCCTCCTCCCTCCGGTGGCGCAACACCCCCAAGCCGTGGTTGTTCGTCCACACGCAGAGCATCAGGTCGCCGCACGTGACCTCCACGCGTGCGTACGACCATCGTTCCCGCGTGTGGGTCCACGTGAGGAACGAATCGTCCCGCCACGTGTCGGCGCCCCTACGATCCTCCCACTCCAACCTCCTCTACACTTTGTCCCCTTCGATGCTCTCGTTCTCCTTTGACGCGCTGAACGTGGAGTGGCACCACGTCGGCGCGCCGAAGGTCTGGCGGACCGACCCGATCGTCGCTCGGGTCGGCCGTTCGATCATCATTGCCGGAGGGACGTGCGATTTCGAGGACGACCCCCTGGCGGTGGAGATGTATGACGTGGAGGATGCCACGTGGAGGACGTGCGAGTCAATGCCAGCAATTCTTAAGGACTCGTCGACCTCCACGTGGCTCTCGATAGCCGCGACAACCGATAAGCTGGTCGTGACCGAAAAGCTTACCGGGTCAACTTACTGCTTTGACCCAGAGATGAAGAGTTGGTCCGGGCCCTACGCTTTGCGCCCGGACCAACGAATGTCCCTCTCGATCATCGGATTCTCAGACACCCGATTAGTTCTTCTCGGAGTGATCGGGGACGTCGGGAACGTCAGCGGGATAAAAGTATGGGAAGTCGACACCGACAGCTTCGAGTGCGCGGAGATCGGGGAGATGCCGGCGGGATTGGTGGGGAAGTTGAAGAGCGAGACCTTCGGGATGTCTTCCGTTAACCTCTGCATGGCCGGAGGTTTCGGGCACATCTATAATTCATCGGAGGCGGAGGAGGTGGTGGTGTTTGAGGTAAGAGGCGGTGGGCGGTGTGAGTGGTGGAGCTTCAAGAATACGGCGGCCGGAGAGGGAACCGGCAGAATGGAAAGAGTGGTGTTTACGTCGTCGGAAGTTGGAGTCGGCGACTTACTGCGAGCGGTGCAATCCAAGAAAGGGACTTTTAATGTTACCACTTAACACACTATTAAAAAACTTCGAGAAAAAAAAGATGTTTAATTAGCATTTTTTTTAAGATGAAAAATATTGTGAGTTGTAATTTTTTTTCTGTCAAAAAAAGTCTGGGCACATACATTTAATTGGGCTTGTTATAATTATTGTTAGTGAAAAAACACCAAAAAAATATAATGTCGCTTTCTTGTTCATGGACAATTAATGGGCTTGTTTGTTTCATGGGTTTGTTATGTTCTTTTTTTTGGGCCTATAGTCTCTATATAAAAGCAGACTACGTTGACCAAACTACCTTGACCTTGACCAAGTGTGCAAGTGAAGACTCTGTCACGGGTTTGGGTTCCCGACCCACTCGCTAAAACACGGTAACAAAATACTGCATCCGTTCTAAAATATTTCAGGAATTTTTGTTTAATTCTACGTTTTTATTAATTATTTGATAAAACAAAATATTTTTGACACCTCTTATTTCGAAGAACTCTTCATGTAGTTTTTTGATATGTTAATTTTATTTTTTATTTCTATACTAATATGTAAATAAAATGAATTGAAAAAATTTAATATTTTATTTTGGGAATACAAGTGACAAATATTTAGAGACGGAGAGAGTAGTAGGCTTTGACTTGAATTTTTAGGGTATGGGCTAGTTCGGTCCAATATAAATGGACTCGCAAATTTGTAGGTCGGGCTCAAGTTTTCTAATCAATCTTGCGGGGCGGTCCGATCTGAATGAATGAATGAATAATAATAATAATAATAATAATAATAATAATAATAATAATAATAATAATAATAATAATAATAAGAGAAGGGGACTGTTTTAAAGAAAAGAAGAGTACTTTTAAGGTGTTTTAACTTTTTTTAAGGGTGAAATGATTCTAGTGTCTCTTAGGTTTGGAAAATTGACATCAATATTTCATCTATTTTAAAAATCTCTTTTGAAAGTTTTCGTGATTTCACAATGTTACGCACACACACATCTAATCATTTTTCTCTCATTTTCTAGTAATAATGGATGTTGGTGCCTATTTTCTAATATTTATGAGAACTCGTAGTCATTTCCTTTTTTTATTATTAAAAACATTGAAAATATCAAACTAAAAGTTTCATATTTTTTTCACAAAATAAGAGTTGTATTTACATTATCAATAATAACCTTGTACATTATGTAAAAATCACATGTAAAGTACCACATTATCAGAGTACAAACTTTTATTTAGGAAAAAGAACATAAAAACTCCATTTTGATATTTTTTCTATATTTTAGTTCTAAATCGGATTTGTTTAGATCTAAATAACAATGACACACATTTCGAAGTCGTAATTAGTTGGCGGGTCGCACTCTAATGGTCCAAATCATATCTTAATTGACAAATTCCATTCATGTACTTCCCCATATCCGCCCGAATGTGTTTTTTGGTAAAAGTAGAAAAGTGAAAACTACAAACTCTAAAGTGTAAAAAAACGCATCTTATTATTAGATCTTTCACGCGATGGAACAATTTAATTAGATGTGATAAATTGAGTTGAAATTAATATGGACTTTCTCACATTTTTTAGGATCTTACATGTAAAAAAGTTAACTTCTTTATATATTACAAATACACTAAAATTTATAAAATGAGTATCTTAAGTCTCAAAAAACATTTGGATACTGTGCTTATTAGAGTTCGATTTTGGGTTCACCCATATGGTAATTTGGTAGTGTCTATTAACCAATTCCTCCTAGCATGATTCAAGGTGAGGGTGGTTTAGTAAGTTCATTTTCTCTTTTATCTCTTTTATCGTTCTTCTTTAGTGATGTTTGGTTGTTTCGAAAGATAAATTTGAACAAAAAATAATTCTCAAAGTCAACGGAAATGAGTTATTTGGTAAAAATTGATTTTTTTCAATGAAATTAATTTCCACCTTTTTTACTACTTGTTTTCTATCGTCTCAGCATATTCGTGTATCTTTATTTTTTGAATCAATTTCTAGAATTTATTTTTCAATATCATTGCCCAGAAGTCAAGGCCATCTTTTCAAAATGGCCCTTAATGGAATGTTCATATTTTACTCCCTTCATCCCAATGATTTTTTTTAGAGATGTAACATATTTAATGGTTATTAACTGATTTATTTTTTTATTTATTAGTTCAAAAAATGTTGTGGTTTTATTGCCGTTGAATCTCAATGTCATCCTTTGACATTAGTCTATTTCAGGTCTTTACAATAATTTGTTTGGACCAAAATTGATTTTCACCCTTTAATCGATTTGCTATAATAACAAAGAGGGGAACATGAAATGTAAGGATATGAATCATTTTTTGTCTCCAACGAAATACTATAGCAGTTTAATATCATCCTAAAACATTGAAAACCAATACCAACCAAATACTATCGATTAAAATTGAAAATTATCTGAATAGTTTTACCTTTACACACTCTCCAAAAATATTTCCATGTTTCAGTATTCTGTATTATGCAAATAATGATGCCATTATGCTTGTGCATGCATTTTGATTTCTCTTTTATCGCACAACAAAATGAAAGATGAAATTATTTGAGATAAATTCTATTTTTTTAGAAAAATTTGAAAATCTGAAAGTTGAAAAAATGTTTTTAAAAAGAGTAAATTTCATAAGTAGTCCCAATGACAAATGGTTTTTCATATTTAGTCCTAAATTCTATGATATTACATAAATGATCTCCAATTTTTGAAAATTGTCTCATAAACACTCCACAGAGTCCTTTAGGCCAAACTTGACAATGACCGATTATGAAACATTTTTTAAAATTTATTTACTCCCTTTGTTCTCAAAAAAACTTCATATTTTGACCAAGTGTAAAAATAAAGAAGCCTTAAATTGTAGTTGACTTTCAATTTTACCCCTGATGTGATGAGTAAAAGTAAGATGTGATGGATAGATTATTAGAGAAAAAGTATAATGTGATAGGTAGGGTATAAAAAATAAGGGTAAAAATGATTTTTTAATAGAAAGTGAAAGTATTTTTTTGAAAGTAGAAAAAATAAAATAAGAAGCGTTTTTGAGAACGAATGAAGTATGTAATATCTTAGAACAGGAGACTAAATCGTGGAAACCACAAGTAATTAGGGACCATTAGACACTACAAAGTTGGGAGCATACAAAAAACTATTAGGTCGTCGTTAACTCACTAACGGCTACCCAAAATGCGAACACAAGAGAGAATATGAGATTATTAATTGCAATATTGAACGATTATATTATTTTTAGAAGAACAGGTAAATGTGAGGTTATTTTAGATAATTTTTTTCTAATTAAATTATAGGAAAATGCTAGGGTGCCACCACATGGGTGCTACCATGGGTGCACCCATGCTTCACACAGACAAACATAGACGATAATCGTCTGTGTTTGTCTGTGTGAAGCATGGGTGTACCCATGGTAGCACCCATGTGGTGGCACCCATGGTAGCACCCATGTGGTGGCACCATAGCATGGTCCTAAATTATAATACTAGCGAATATTAAAGTCAATTGTGGAAGTACAAAGCTTACAAGTTACTCCCTCCGTCCTATAATGATTTTCCCGGTTCGCAAAACGAAGAAAAATCCCAAATTTTTTTAATCTATTTTATTTAAATATTGGTATAGAAATAAAAAATAAAACATACATTTAAAAACTACACCAAAAGTTCAACAAAACAAGTGGTGACAAGAATATTTTATTTTATCATATAGGCCAAGAAAAAGTACAAATAAATATAAATTCCCGTGAAGTTGGAATAGTTCTTTGGGAAGATCATTATAAGACGGAGGGAGTACAACTAATGTTGGCCCATTGTTTTTTTGCTATTTAAAGCCAACCGGTTCGGGCCGGTCTAGACGGAAATAGTGAAATGAGTCAAAAAACATGGACCGTGAACTGGAGTAAATGGGATTGACCCGGGCATGTTCGGTCTTCCCATTGGATTGGTCATTTTGACTGAAGCCGTACTTGAATAGTTGAATCAAGTTTAATTATGGGAGTACCCTATAAAATAAGGTCTCAAAAAAATATTTATTTTATAAAAAAAAAAAGAGCAAATAAGTAAATGTTTTTGAAAGACTAGAATAGTCACTAAGACATCATTTTTGCCCCTTACATCTCGATTGTCTTTCATCGCAGCAACTAGATTTCAAATTTGAGATGTCTCTATTGTATCACCTTATGCTGACCGATGAACTACGTTTCACCGATATGTTATTTTAATTCATAAATAAAGAAGGTAAATCCACTCTTTTGTTGGAGTGAATACACAATTTATTTCTGATAGAATTTTGAAAGATAATGAAAAACACTCTCCATCCCACAAAAGCTTTTCAATTATACTTTTACTTGTGGGAAACAATTTTTTACTTTGGTCTAAATAGCACAAATGCTTTTGTTTTTCCTAAATCTAATATCACCAAATCCGATCCATGTAAATTGAATTGAAATATTTTAGTCAAATAAGAAATCAACATAAGTAGAAGTATAATATAGAAAAAATATCAAAATATGACCTCTATGTTTTATCCCAAAAATAGCTTTTTACATTGTGATAATGTAGTACTGTATATGAACATTTAATAATAAATTTTGGTATTATATATTGACATAATTGACATTGCACTTACATTGTTACACATATTTGAAAATAAAAATATAAAACTCATTTTTTGATACAATTTCTATATTTTACTTTCACTTTAATCCTTTTCTTTCTTGTCAAATATCGTAAAACGCAACCCAAGTTCTTTAAGTGAAATTTGCACTAAATAGGACTAAAACATAAGTCATTTCCCTATATAGGAATTAAATTTTTTAATTATCTGAATAGGACTTAATAATGTCTAGTAGGAGGAATAATGTCCAGTGATGGTGGACATTTACTTGAATAATGATTAAAGGATAATGACCAATGATCATACATTGAGAAATAAAAACATATGGTCTTATATTGAGAAACTCATTATGTTTCAGTTTTAAGGTAAATTGCTCATTTTTAATAGGACATAGCAGTTTGAGGCTGTTTTTATTTTTCTTTTTTGCTTTGTGAAATGCAAAGTAAACTTTTTTTAGGGTGCACATGTCCGAATTTTCTCAAATCAAATTTACCCTTTTTTTCCTTGGTTCAGTGCCACACACACCAGTGTTTCATTTTTAACTTGCGATTATTTTAATAATTTACAGAGCATGTTTAAGTACAACCATGAACAGTAATCTTAGCTAATTTGACAAAGAAGACTAAACGAGTGGGGGGAGTTTCAAGTTTCAACCTTTTTCCATAGATGGTCGGTTAGAGAGAGAGAGAGAGAAGAATTTGCGGGTTAATTAAGAAACAGTTAACTGAGATTAAAATACAGTTTTTTGATTCTTTCCTGTTTTTGTTTTCTCTTTTTTTTTCCCGTCCGAAACTGTGTCTCTGCAAAGTCCTTGCCCTACTGTTTTGGCCCCTCTCGTTTGTTTGTAATCTTTTCTGGTGCCCTACCACATTTCAGATCAAAAGGAATAGAATAAAAATAAATAAATAAATTAATAAATACGGAGTATATAATTATTGATGTATATGGAGATGGAGATATGGTGATGGGAAGTTATAGCAGAGGATGAGAGGAAGAAGAAGAACAAGGAGAAGACGCATGGAATTCGTGGGTATCTGTTAGAAATTGCAGAAATCACATTTCTTGCACTCCCAGATCTCAAAGCTCTCCAGAATTTCAGGATTTCTTTCTCAAGAAGAAAGAAAAAAAACTCCCCCTTTTTCTCTTGCTGGTTTTTTGCTGGGTGTTTTCTTGCTTGGAATCTTTGTGATATTCAGTTGCAAAGATTGAAACTTTAGGCTTCTGGGTACCTTTTTTTTCTGGAAAAGATTGGACCTGTTCTTACTTCTTAGTGGATTATTGCGTTTTTGAAGACTGTGCTTGGATGAGGAAAATGGGGAGCTTGTGAAGTTCTTGAACAAGGATTTTCTTAATGGCTTGTGTAGTGTTTCTTTCTATGCAAAGATAAAAGAAAATAGAGTGAGAAGCCAGTTATATTTATGGAAAGGAAGTGGTGTCTTCTGCCATGGGGAGTGTTTGGCTTTGTGATTTGGGCATTAGTTGGGAGTTGTTCTGCTACTCTTTCCCCATCTGGTGTAAACTATGAAGGTTAGATGCTAATCTTTTGATTCCCTCTCTGTAGTAATGTTTCTGCAACTCTCAATTTGTGGGTAAAAAAAATCAGTTTCTTTATCTTATTATTTTTCTTTCTTTGAAGTTTGAAACTAGCTTTCATATGGGATTAAAATTCACTTTCCTCTCTCATGCCTTTGAAAAAATTAACTTGAAAAAAAATTACTGTAATTTTTTTTTTCACTAGTTAGCTTGATGGTGAAATGCTGCTGAAACTCTCAAGTTGTGAAAAAAAATACTTCATCTTATTTTCTTTCTTTGAAGTTAGAAACTACCATCTTGGCTCTTTCTTGGACTCAAAAACTTTACCTTGAGTTTTTAGTTTTTTTTTCCCACTAGTTTGAGAAAAGAAAACTGACATAGTGGTGAATCTAACTCTTTGCAGTGCTGGCATTGTTTGCCATAAAGGCTGCCTTGCATGATCCTTACAATGCTATGGAAAATTGGGATATCACCTCTGTAGACCCTTGCAGTTGGAGGATGATTACATGTACCCCTGATGGCTATGTCTCTGCCTTGTAAGTACTTACAAGATTGTAGTTTTTTTAAAAAAAAACTAAATAATAAAATTGGACAAGAAATGTCACTTTATTATGTTCTCTATTAATTAATTATGCAAATTGTTCATTGCTGATAAGTTTTCAACCTCATCAGGGGACTGCCTAGTCAGAGTTTATCTGGGACTTTATCTCCTGGAATTGGCAATTTAACTAAGCTAGAGTCTGTGTAAGTATTTGACCAAGCTTATATCTTTCTACCTTTTTTTTGTCGATTTTAGCTAGTTACTATAACAATTCTCCATATGAATGTAGGTTGCTGCAAAACAATGCTATTTCTGGGCACATTCCTGCTGAGATTGGGAAGTTAGAACATCTTCAGACTCTTGATCTCTCCAACAACAATTTTGATGGTGAAATACCAAGCTCGTTGGGGGAACTAAGCAATTTGAATTATTTGTAAGTTTTTTTGGGGAATTTCGCTGCTCTAACTTGCAGGAAACTATTCCTGTAGTAGACGTATATGTTAGAATATATATTGCATAGGCCTTTTGTTTATATGTCTTGAGCAATACTCCCTATATATATTGTATGTTCTCATTGCTAATCCTCTAAATATATCCATTCTTTTGCATAGCTACATAAGGAGAACTATCGAACCAAACAAACTGAATATATCCCATTCGATTTGGGTGAAGATTTTATCTCTAATTTGTTTTGATTCGAACATTTTCCAGACGACTCAACAACAATAGCCTTTCAGGGCAAATCCCGGAATCGCTCTCCAAACTTAATGGCCTTACTCTTGTGTATGTCTCTCTGCCTTTACTTTCTCATTGGCATTTCATTGTTTGATACTAATCTCTTTCAGATAACCAAATTTATGTTAACATCTTTTCCCCTAATCTGGTTCTTGTTCTCAGGGACGTTTCTTTTAATAATCTCAGCGGTCGACCCCCTAAACTGCAAACAAGAACTTTCAAGTGTGTATCTTCTTTTTCGTGGCATAAGCATTTGCTGGATTACATGCAAACTTTTCTTTTAGGTTCATAAAGTGGTTGAGCATCTTTCTTTCTTTCTTTCATGTTGGATTTCAGAGTTATTGGCAATTCTTTAATTTGTGGGCAGAACTCTAAGAACAACTGCTCTGCATTCTATCCAGAGCCGATGCCCTTTCCACCGGATGGTGGAAGAGGTGAGTTATAATTGTAGAAATGCATGACCTTTGAGATGATACACACACACACACACACACACATATCATCTCATTATGAGACCATTAATTCATTTAATGGCTATTATTTTTAAATCATTAATTCATTATTTCTTAGGTCAAGAAGCTGGAACAAAAGCGCATTCTGCAGCTATTGCTTTTGGAGCCAGTTTTGGCTCTTTGTTCGTAATCGTTATAGTGCTTTCGTATCTATGGTGTCGCTATAGACGGAACCAGCAGATCTTTTTTGATCTCAATGGTAAGCGTTAATATTTTCATACAAAAATATTTCTGAATGTGTAAAACCCCTTCTTTTTTCCATTACCTTCATATGGCTATTCATCTTACCACAAAATTATGATAATAAACAGAACAAAATTTTGTTTAAAAAAACAACTTTAGACGTGTCATTTCCAAGAAACCGCCTTATATACTACCGAGTAGTTTTTCTTTAAGATTCCACCTATAAACTACCTTTTTTTACTGATTTAACCTCTCTCACTTTTTTTGAGAAAACTACTAAAGAAATCACTTTAAAAAAAATGTAATTTTCAAGAAATGGCAATTTAAATAATTATTACCCATTTCAAAATATTTAGGAGAAAAACCCTTAACCAAATAAGCCAGAAATATCTAAGAAAGTGTTTATTGGCAGATATGTATGATCCAGAGGTAGGCCTAGGTCATTTGAGGCAGTACACCTACAAGGAACTATGGGCTGCAACCAACCGTTTCAACTCAAAGAACATTTTGGGGAGGGGAGGATTTGGTATAGTGTATAAGGGCTCCTTAAACGATGGCACTATCGTCGCGGTCAAAAGGTTGAAGGACTTCAATACGGCCGGCGGCGAAGTCCAATTCCAGATGGAAGTAGAGATGATTAGTCTGGCTGTGCATCGGAATCTTCTTCGTCTCTTGGGATTCTGTTCAACTGAGGATGAGAGGCTCCTTGTTTACCCTTACATGTCAAATGGGAGTGTTGCATCAAGGTTAAAAGGTAAGTAAAGCTCTAAAGGTTTGCATTCATAATATATTTCAGGGTGTTGCTATATCCACTCCTATTATGGCAAAATCCACTTCGTTTATGTAAAATGGACAAATTCGCCCCTAAAAGTTTGCTAACATCTAATATCCCTTTTATATGTTTCAAGGGCAAAATTGTCCATCTGACCATAAATGGAGTGGATGTAGCTATAATGGGGAGGATATAGCAACACCCTATATTTCATCATCTTGTGCATAAGCGATGGGGCCCACACTATAACTCGAAAACAATTCTTTCATGTTCATTGTCCATGTGTTTAAGGAACCAACTCAACCAGAAGCTCAAGCTTGTAATTGAAGCTTCAGAAATGATTTTATACTTATAACACTATGTAACTAACATGCTTGGGATTCAACTTGTGCAGATCATATCAATGGTAGGCCTGTATTGGACTGGGCAAGGAGAAAAAGAATAGCGTTAGGTACGGCAAGGGGGTTGGTTTATTTGCACGAACAATGCGACCCGAGAATCATCCATCGCGACGTGAAAGCAGCAAACATCCTCTTGGATGAAGACTTTGAGGCCGTCGTTGGAGATTTCGGTCTAGCAAAGCTCTTGGACCACCATGAATCTCACGTGTCCACTGCGGTGCGTGGAACCGTGGGCCACATTGCTCCCGAGTACTTGTCCACGGGCCAATCGTCTGAAAAAACGGACGTTTTTGGTTTTGGAATCCTTCTTCTTGAACTGATTACCGGTCATAAAGCTGTGGACTTTGGCCGTGGTGCTAACCAGAAAGGAGTGATACTCGACTGGGTATAACTCTCCTCCCTTTCCTCTCATTTTTTTTGAGTTAATTCAGTTCGTTGTGTGTGGGGGTAGTGACCAAGTGGGTGAGGAAGTTTAGCAGTGCGTCTAGATGAACAAGAGAGAACGAATGCTTCTTTTTCTCCAATTCTGTGGCAAGGATAGAGGGGAGAAGGAGGCCTTCCACATCATCATCATCTTCTCTTTCTCCATCCTTCTTGTCGAGTTGCCGCCGTTGTCATCCGCCGCCGGCAGCAGCACCGAACGGAGTAGCACATCCAATGGGCCGCCCTCTCTTGTTGTTGTTTCTCTTCGGCCCCCAGAAACATTTTGGCACACATCTCCCACTTCCAAGCGACGTCATCATATCATTATCTCTGCATGCATCGGACATCAGAATAATTAATTATGCTCTATAATATCCATCCATCGGAATATACATACGTAGTGTACGGCAGATCGATATATAAAATGAAGGATGGGAGTACTATACGTAGTGTGTGTGTGTGTGTGTGTGTATCCTTCCCTAATGTCTACATACACTACGTATAGTACTCCCATCCTTGCCGTCCCGTCCTTCACTTTTATATCGATCTGCCGTACACTACGTATGTATATTCCGATGGATGGATATTATAGAGCATAATTAATTATTCTGATGTCCAATGCATGCAGAGATAATGATATGACGACGTCGCTTGGAAGAGGGAGATGTGTGCCAAAATGTTTCTGGGGGCCGAAGAGAAACAACAACAAGAGAGGGCGGCCCATTGGATGTGCTACTCCGTTCGGTGCTGCTGCCGGCGGCGGATGACAACGGAGGTAAGAAGGATGGAGAAAGAGAAGATGATGATGATGTGGAAGGCATCCTTCTCCCCTTTATCCTTGCCACAGAATTGGAGGAAAAGAAGTATTCGTTCTCTCTTGTTGATCTAGACGCACTGCTAAAGTTCCTCACACACAGCGAGAATTAGATGTAATTTTCCATATTTAGTCACCCGTTCTCTAGACCAAATAAATGATCCTTAATTTTTGAAAACTATTTTATAAGTAGTCCCTTAGGCCAAATATGACATTTACACAAATAGTCCCTGAAGGACCGATTTTGGAATATTTTTTCAAAAACTGAAGACCATTTATGTAATATCTTAGAAATATGGACTAAATATGAAAAACCACATGTAATTAGGAACCATTTACGGAATTTATTCTTTCTTTATCATTCCCTCCAACATTTTTTGCCCTTATAATTCACCACTGCAGGTGAAAACATTGCATCAAGAAAAGAAACTGAATGCAATGGTGGACAGGGATTTGAGGAACGGCTTCGACAGGGTAGAACTGGAAGAGATGGTTCAGGTGGCTCTGCTCTGCACTCAGTTCAGCCCTTCGCACCGTCCGAAAATGTCGGAAGTGTTGAGGATGCTCGAAGGTGATGGCTTGGCCGAAAAATGGGAGGCTTCGCAGAAGGCAGCTGCCGACGGGGGCAGTTTAAGGAACCGTACCGCCACGTTCGAAAAGACTCCCCAGAGATACTCTGACTTCATTGAAGATTCTATGGTTGTTGAAGCCATGGAGCTCTCTGGACCTAGATGACAACTCCATCCATGGCCATGGCCATGGTCAAGATCAAAAAGTTGATTTGTAGTTTGTAGGGTTTAGTGAATGTGTGAAACTTCTTACTTTAATTGGTTTTCTGTCTTCAGATTTGGAAAATTTAATGTCCACGTTAACTCCATTGATGACACCAAGGTTGACACCATCAAAAACAGTTGTCATCTTTGCATGCACACATGATATAATCGTCTCTGAAATGTGTGTTCACAGATCCATGCGTGCGAAAATTTACAGACGGTTGTCATCGGTGTGTGTCAAACTTGGTGTTATTCTAGCATGACCCGTGAGAGATGATTGTCTATGAAACATCGGCGGTGTCAATTTTGATGTGTTGTGAATGTAGCATATGACTTTTGATTATTTTACTCATTTTATGGTGACCAAGTTTTCAAGAAGGTACAATTATTTATGAAAAAAATACTCAGCATCAAATTTGTATTTGTACCATATAAATATGACTTGAATTTTGAATCATCATGATACTGGGTATAGTTTATAAATAATACAGTAGAGAATTTACATAATGTCTTCATTTTAGGTCTGATACAAATGGGGAATATATGCAACATTGCAAGCATCTCAATATAATGAAATTATGATGACATTTAAGTTGACAAAGTTTGACTAAACTACACAAATACATCTACTTTAGATTTTAATTTGATATTATTAGAGCCATTTTCAAATAGAGTTCAGAAATGTCGTAATTTTATGATATTTTTTGCCCCAAAAATGTTCAAAATTAACAAATTGTAATTAGAAAATATTAAGACGAGAGAAATCTTGTGAGTCATATGATCATTATCAAAAAGAAAATAAAGTCAATAAGAATTTTTTTTTTTGGAAAATCCAGGAAAGAAAAGTGAGTAAAAAGAATTAGAATGGAGCATTTTAATGATGTATAAATATACTCTATTTGTCCTGAACTAAACCTCATGTTTGTTTGTTTTTTTACGAAAATTTAGAAAAAATTAAAATTTGTTCGACAGATACTTATTCAAAAAGAAAAAGATAATGTGAATAATTCAACACAAATAGACGATTTGAATTTGTGACATAGGAAGTACAAGCATTTGGAATTATAAAAAAATTGCATTCAGGCAGTGAGCTCCATGGATTACACATAATAGAAAAAGGAAAATGCTAGGGTACCACCACATGGGTGCTACCATGGGTGCACCCATGCTTCACACAGACAAACACAGATGATAATTGTCTGTGTCGCACAGACTGTGTTTGTCTGTGTGAAGTATGGGTGCACCCATGTGGTGGCACCCTAGCATGGTCCATAGAAAAAAGCATTGAAAAATCCTATAAACTTGCAGTTTACCCTTTATTTTACAGTCTCACTATAGCTATCTAACCGCACGGCAAAATTTAGCTTTAGCAATTTTTCAAAGTTAATTTGAACCCATGATTCAAAACGCTAACCGAAAACATTGCCCCCAAACGAGGTCTTACTCATCTTCTATCATAAGCTGTTCGGAGAAAAGGGCATCTTCAAGTTCTTTGGTGAAGTCCGCATCGTTATCTTCCTGCAATTCATCTTCTTCCTCTACATCCTTATTATAAGCTTGAATCTGTTCTTCCTGATGTGGAGGTGTTTCTGAGGTGGGTTGATGGCGATATCCAGTTTGTTGATAAAACGCTTCCTTCTGCACATTCCAATCTGCAGCACTCTGCTCCAATGCATCTCCAACCGACCTCGTTCTCTCAGCTATGTGTTTTATGTTCTCAACATCGACTGTTTTACTAGCCCCTTTGGAAAGGAAACAATAACAAAAGAAGGAAACGATCGTTTAAAAGAAGGGAAACCTTTTTAGATGATAAGAATATTAGATTGCATATAGCGCCACACTTTTAATACTCCCTCTGCCCCGAATTAATTGTAATTCGCTGAGTTTAAGTAGCACTCCCTCCGTTTGCCAAATTTATTCCTCTTTCATTTTTTCTCTTTCACCAAAACACTTCCACCACCACTCAAAATCTCTAAAATACCCCCAACCCTAACATGCTATCAATTGTAATGAACCCCATGTGTGAACCCTAGGGATATTAAGGGAAAGTCAACCCCAATTTTACCTTTCCTTATTTTGGCCTAAAGTCAAATTAGGAACACTTTTGGCAGACGGAGGGAGTAGTGCTAAAATGCAAGTTCCTCGGGAAAAGATAGTTTAACCACAAGTGCTTCTTTTATACGAGTATACCTTACAAATGAGAATCATACAAACCATTTTAAAATAGTCAAAATACTAAGGTACCTTCAATTGCTCGTTTCTTGGCCATTGCATATTGAGTTGATCTTTGTTTGATCGAATCCAGATCAAGTTCCAATCCCTGAACCATATAAGGAAAACATTATGGAATCAACAATGGCTTCAAATCCGCATTCTAATTGATGAATGGGCCTGTAAAAGTTCATTTTAATGGCCTAATGGGCCAACCACAAACCCCACAAGAACCAAAAGAGGGTGCTTTTTATCCTACCAATCCTAGCAATGCACTTGAGTTTGTCATTTATTTTCTTACCTAAAATACCAAAATCCCTTCAGACTATCCAAAAAAAGAAGGCATCATGTTCATGTGACTATCTTGCCCTTTTCTTTTGAGAATGCAAGCAGCCGGAAAATCATCATATCCAAGTCACATGTTGGGTTCAAGTGTGACCACATCCATAGCAATTTGTCAGGTGTAATAGTGAAGACCGTCCTAGGACAGACATGACCAAACTAAAACTAATGGTGCAAAGCTTTCAATCTTCCAGCAACACTAAGGTGTTGTTAGTTACATCGTAATAAAATGCGACGTAGTGTAATCAAATGTATGTTTATTGTAAATTTACATAAAAATGATTCATTACATGTGATGGATCTAGGATCCGGGGGAAGGGGTAGAGAGAGAGTGAGAGACATTCAGATAGTTTGCTCTATTGCTCAAGGAAGACTAGAATTTGATCCCCTTTCAAAGCCTTGAAGGAGTATTTATAGGTTTGTACATGACACGGGCCAAGATGTATACAACCTTACCCGGGATGTCCCCATACAGGAATACAACCTTACATCTCGGGCCAAGAAACCACGGGACATCCTAGGCCACGCTCCCACAGTCCCACTTCTACATGCCCGTAGGCTCTCACGCCTAGAATGCATAGGCCTGGGTTCCAGATCCAGTATATTGGCCAACATGACCATTGAGTACAACAAACCTAGTATAAGCTCAATTACACAGGTGTGTGGGGATCAAGATGTATACAAGCTTATCCATGTAAAAAACAAAGAGGCAATTTCTTATAGGCCATGACTCACGAGGCAGTGCTGCATTTACTTCCCAAAAAGTAAGGGCTAAAGAGAATAAAATTTAATGTTCCATTTTGATTTAGTCCCTTAGTTACCTGGAGTTGAGGAAATGGTCAAAAATGACTCTTTTAGCTCCATTGGCAATGAACGACAATCTGCACCTATTCCTATTTATAGTTAATAATTACCTCCTTGTACAACTTATCCACCCATCATTTTGTTTGTTATACTTATGCAACAACAACAACAACCCAGTTAAATCCCACAAGAGTAGGGTATGGGGAGGGTGTGTGTACGCAGACCTTGCCCCTACTCGAAAGTAGAGAGGCTGTTTCCAAAGAGACCCCCGGCTCAACGTCGAAAGTTGCATTGCTTGACTAACTGCTACTTCATTAATTAAAGACGTGCAGACAGTTTAGAGATCCATTTTGATTTATTCCATCACACCCCAAAGCCAAAAAACGGTGAAATTTTGGCTCAATCAGAGATGATGCAACATCTACCTATTTTGAAATGCACATAAATAGAAACAATTCATGAATTATCCAACCATGTATTGCATAGCTTACCATGTCCAAACGGGTGAAAAGCTCAATTTTTGTGTTCGCAAACAGCCTATAGAGAAAAATGGTTACGGTCACTTGATCAGACGGAGTGAAGAAACCAAAAACAAAAGAAAAATCTTATAAAACTGACTCCCTTACTTCTCATATGCTGTTCGGATTCTGGCATTCTGTATCTCTGTAACTTCATTTATTCTTTCTGTTGCAGAGCATTCATTTATATCTACAACCCCAATTAGGAACATGTTCCTATCCAACATGCTTTTGACTAAAGCACAAACAACTTCAATGCTTTTGGCTTTTGCATCTGCAACAAGGGTCCGTAGCTTCTTCAATTCTCCTATAAAGTTGGCATTCACGATCACATATAATATCTCCTCGGTAAAAATGACATTATTAATATGTAGAACCATTCATATCTTTGTAAAGATTTGGATATATTGGATTAAATAATTATCAAAATGGCTTTGTGCTAAATAATTTTGAGGACCACAGATGTCAGATCATGACTACCTACACACACATGCACGTATATATGACTTCGAAAGGGGGTGAATGATTTATTTACACACCCAAGAATGAAATCTCAATGGTTAAACAAAAAAACATAGTACCAAACATGATATCAAATGGTTGCTTAAGCATCATTAAGTGGCCAATTTAGGATCAAAGCTGGCAAATCGGGCAGGTAGCCTTCACAATAATAAGCACTATATCAACGATTAATCAAATCACTTTGGTTTTCTGTTTTCCATGTTTATCATCCAAAGAAATCAGATTTATTATCCTTCAGAAAACTATAATTCTATAAAATATACTTGAATTCAAATATGGAGCTAATTGCAATCCACTTATTTTCAACAACCGAGTAAAGTGTGACAATTTTAGCAATCCAATTATTTTTGTTATACAAAAATACATGTGACAGCAATATACTGATATGTTACACTGATAAAAGTGGTGGGGTTGTGCACTTGTGGTTGAGTAGGTTGACAGGGTTTATGATAGAAGTGACGGGTATAGTAAACAATAATGGTGGTGAATACTTATGGTGGCTAGATGCTAGTTAGAGATGTCATACATAATTTGGCGGCCAGTGCCCAGTCGCGGAAAGTACAAGTGATTATTGCAATGAAGAAACTGGTGGTGGTGATTTGGTGATTACAAGGGTACGAGGATGGTTAGGTGGTGGTGAATTGGTGTCAATGGTGTGTGTGTGTGGGCGGGGACGAAGTTTATAACACACAAAAAACCTCAAAATAGGGATAAGATTGAAAATGGAGATCTCTCCACATTTCTATCTTTAAGATTCAAATATAAAAATGGTTAATTTCACCACAGATACTGAACAGTAAAATATTATGTTTACTAAACAGGCCATTAGCTTTGCGAAACAGAAAACAATCGATGTTATCAAATATAGGAATATTAGATTATTACAACTTGCACCCTCATCGAATATCTAGAAATAGGTTTTAGAAATACATACCAAGAGACAAGTATATCTTGAAAGGAGGCCGGAATGGTTGCGTCTCAAAAAGGCAATATAAGCAATAAAGGCCACCCAGTCTATGTGAAAGAGAGCGAGTAGACACCACATAGCCTATAATAACTCAAAAAGACAATGTATCCATGAGTGAAACATAAGCAATGTTGTTTGAGGTGTATGATGAGAAGGAGAGTGCAGATCAAAGTTTATACTGCCAGAGATCAGTGGAAAAAATGAAAAGATGTATAATGTATCTAAGGCTAGAAAATTCAATACCTATGAAGCTCATTCAGGTCCCTAGTCCCTTCATTCCAAAAGTTCAGAGTTTAAAATGACAATCAAGTCAGTATACATACTTTCACCATAGTTACTTTAAGAATTGAATAGCAGCAAGAACATCTTCTCAAGACTACCTACAGATGGATGTTAAATAAATTCAAGAAAAAGACAAAAACTGAGACCCAAAATATAGTGAAAGCCGTCTAAGTGAAACCCTTCTATGAAAATGAAAAGAGAAAAAATAATGTCCATGGAATTATGGAAAGGGAAATATGCTAAGGCAATAAACTAACAGATGATAATGCCAATACTCCATACCACTATCCAAGGCTTGGAAAGCAACATCAGACTATAAATTCAAATAGTCAACAACAATCCAGTAGGATCCTACAAAAGCGGGGTCTGGGGAGGGTGTGTGTACGCAGACCTTACTCCTACTAAAAGTAGAGAGACTGTTTCCAAGAAATTAGGCTCTTGCAACAAAAGAAGAAATTACATGGGACATCTATTACTCAAAGAGTGGAAAGGATAATGCACATAGGAATATGTTTAAAAGCACTAGTAGAAGATAGACTGGAAGAAAACAAGCAAAGGAAGAGCATACCTATGCAATAAGCAAAGAGTGATTGCATAAAGCATGCCTGGTTTGTGGAAGGACTTGCCTCAAATATATAGGTGAACTTTTTTGAAAGCCAAACACTCTTCATCTCGGCAAGAGATGTTGATCCTCCCTGATAAGAACACAATTACTGCTTACCCAAATTTGCAGAACAATACAGGGGAATCAAGGCTAAAATTCAATCACTTAGTAGTTTGTGAATGATGATAATCCAAATTAAAAAAATAAGGAGTAGTTCATACCTCAGAGAATTCACCTATAATCTCGTCTATGTCTAATTTGAATGGTTTGAGATCCATGGTGGAAGCACTAAAAAGATGAACAGTGTCTGTTTGCGGTGAAATTCATCACGGGAATCGAACTGTGAGTGCGGCGGAAATCATCGCTGCTTTGGACGGCGGATTTCGGAGCTAGTTTCCTGTCTGCTGGTCGGCTTCCGCCGGATGATCGGAAGACAATAGCGGCTAATTCTCTGCTTTGGCCGGCGGATTTCAGACTTCAGAGACCGTTTGGAGACAGCTTAGTTTAGCCCTTTTTTTGTTAAGAGAGCTTAATCACAAAATTATTTAAGGGCACAAGCCATTATAAAGTTTTGTTTGTTCTAGTAATTCAAATTATAAAATTAGAATTGGAAATATTTATTTTAATTATGTTGTTTCGTAGTACGAAGATATGTGCTTTTGGATTTAATACTATCGAAAATGAATTGGAATGAGAGAAATAAATTTTATCTAAAATCAATTTCATAGAATTCAACTCCTAATTTAATTATAATTCCGTCAATTTCATATACCAAACGAAATCGATGGAATTGAAATTTAATTGTGGGTTGAAATTTTATGAAATTGATTTGGATGGAAGTGAATTCTCCAATTTCAGTTCATATTTGGCACTATCAATTTTAAATTCATATTTTTGTGTGATACCAAATAGCGGAATTGGAATAATTATCCCACATTCCAATCTTATAATTTGATTTCCGTGTATCAAATAGAGCCGGGAAATGCTTGGTTCAGAAACTCAAACTTCACAAATTTACTATTTATGAACTTCAATAAAGAAAATTAAATATTCTAAAATAATTTTAAAATGAGAATTTTAACCATAAATAGTAAGTTTGTGGAGTTTGTGATCATTCTGTTTGTGAACGTAGCATTGCTCAATAGAGCCTATGTGAATTTTCATATAAATGAGGTAAGCATATATGGAGGACTTACTATTTTGATAAGTAACTTTTTTACATTGTTTTGCCAAAAACATGTTTATCGAGTTGGTAAACATTTGACTACGAGTATCTTCTACCCTGAAGTGATGTAAACATCGGGTCCACAATAACATTTGATTTTAGGAAGATCTCTTTTCCTTTATTTGCATTTTATGCAAAAATTATACACATATACGTATTATACGAGCATTATATACTTTGTATTTTTGAAGAAAAAAATACATGGTCAATGTCATACTCAAACCTTCGGCTTAATTACTGGTACTTCAATCCAAAATAACATTGAGTTTTTATAGGTTAATAATTAAAGTAATTAACAAACTAAAATTCCGTACAAGTTAATGTCGTTTCAACGAAATATAATTATGAATTATGGAATAATGTAAAATAAAAAAATCTATTTTATTTATGTGATTCATAAAGTGCAATGACAAATAGATTATTATACAAAAACATAATTGAGTTTTTAACATTTAATGGCATATAATGTAATCAAAATCAATTTAATTAATTAATACGGACTATTTGATCAAAAAATTGAATCTTTAAAGGAAGTTGATAAAAAATGAGTGAAAGAGAAGTGATCATATTCTAATTTTTGAAACTTATATTAATAAGGAATATTTATTAATCTACATGACAATAAAGCTGACATAAATCTACATGTCAATTTTAAAATGGAGGGCATCCATACCCATGGAAATTGTGAGACAAGTAAAAAAAGAAAAGGGATAGAGTTTTTTGGATGGAGTCCGTCAATAACTTTTATTTATGTTACTATTAATGAAATCTTTTAATTTTAATTAATCCATACCCATGGATTATTAAGGGCACCATATAAAAACCCTTCATTTTGTCTTAAGATATCTTTTGAAATAATTACTTCCTCCGTCTCAAAAAGAATTTCTTACTTTGATTAACGTACAAAATCCCGTGAATTTTAAAATGATTTTATTTGCAAATTGGTAAGGAAATAACACATAAAAAAATTATATTTAAAAACTACACCGAAAATTCTACAAAATAAGAAGTAACAAAAATATTTTATTTTATCAAATGATCAATGAAAATACACAAACAAATACTCCGTAAGAATTATTGAGAAACCCTAGTAGTAAACATGAAAGATTTTATGGGACGGAGGGAGTAACAAACACAACTATCTAAAAAAACTCATTTTAACGATTAATGCTTGGGTAAAAAGTTTTGAGAAAAGATAAGGGATGAAAAAATGACACAAAGAAGATGAAGGAAGGGGCCAAGGGCAAATATGCTATTTCATTCATTTTTCTCTTACTTTTCTCACTGTCCAAACAAAGGGCCTGAACTAAAAAGGAAAAATAAGACTCGAGCATCTCAATCTCATTCATTCACCACCAATTCTTGATATCCCTAAGCATATATGCCCTGAAAGAACACCTGGTTCTTGTGGTTTGTGGGTCTCTCTTCTTTCTTGAAGTTGGTTCTAGTGAGTTGGTTTTGTCAAAGAAGAGACTTGAAGGACTTCAAAAAGTTGGGATTTTCAGATCAGTTGTCACAGTATGCAGCTTCTCCCAGCAAAAAAGTTGCTTCTGGCTGGTGGCTGGCCATGGCGGCCACATTTGTAGTGGCCAGCCTTTTCTTTTTGAACTCCTCAGTCAAGATTCCATTTTTATTCCCAGCTTTTCAGGGGCTTAACAGCTTGGGCAGTAGAAACAGTAGCAGCGAAAGGTCACATCTTTACTGGCCATTTTCTTTCTCACCTGTTAGTTCTTGCTGTAGCGGTGCTGGTTCTGGTGATGGAAGTTTGATGGATTCTGAAGGAAGAAGAACAGGAGGTATTGTAGATACCCATTTTGGTAATTTCACTGAAAATCCCAAAAATGAAAGCTTTGACAGTAAAGAAGAGGAAAGTCCACGGAAGAATTACTCTCAAATTGGTAGGAGTGAGAGCTTTTCAAATGTTATTGATAAAGGAATTGTTTCCTTTGAAATTCGCAAAAATGAAAGTGTTTCTGGTGAAGGGCAAAATGGTACAAATGCTCAAAATGGGACGGTAGATTTGTTGAGAATGGAAATGAATTTCTACAAGAAGGAATGTGATATCTATGATGGTGAATGGGTAAGAGATGACACGAAGCCATATTATCTTTCTGGCTTATGCCCTTACATTGATAGGGATTTTGATTGCCACTTCAACAAGAGGCCAGATGATGGCTATATCAAATGGAAATGGCAACCTTATGCATGTGACATCCCAAGGTAAGGGAAAAGTTGTCTTAAAACAATTTCTGATTTTTTTTCCCAAAATATTTGTATTGCATGCTTGTTGCCAATGCAGTTTTGTGGGAAAGTAATGGATTATGTCCTAAAACTTCTGCTGCTACAAAAAACTGTTTACTTGAAATATAATGATATGGCTTTTCAAATTAATGTCTCTTATGGTTTGTTGGAACTGGAAATATGCTACTGAAAGAACTTGTTAGGAAAAATGAAACATTTGTTCAAACTCAATACAATTGTTCTTTATGTGTCTAAGCTCGTTTTTACTTATTTGGTCACATTCAATACACTATTGAAAACAATGATCATATTTCACTTTGTGGTAAAACCGAACACGTGAAAATATCCTTCCATAGCAATAGTTTTTCCTCCCCTAGCATTTTCTGACACCCAAAGATAACTTTCGTAGAATGATAAGTTAGTGTCATCCTTTTCATATCTAGCTTCAACTCAACTGATTTTCTGGAGAAGATGAGGGGCAAGTCACTGGTCATCGTAGGCGATTCATTAAATAGGAACATGTGGGAATCCCTTGTTTGCATGCTCCGTGCTGGCGTCCACGACAAGAATAGAGTTTATGAGATTTCAGGGAGGAGCAAGTTTAAAAAGAAGGGCTTTTATGCATTCAGATTTGAGGTAAAACATATACTTAAACTGGCTTGATCTTCTTTTCTTCGTATGGATAAGATGTTTTCTTCTTTGTTAATTTCTAGGATTACAACTGCTCTGTGGACTTTGTTGGTTCTCCATTTCTTGTCCGAGAATCCACTTTCAATGGTGTGAATGGTTCTTTTGAGACCCTTAGATTGGATTTAATGGACCAGACTACTCCAATGTACAATGATGCAGATATTATGATATTCAACACTGGTCATTGGTGGACTCATGAGAAAACCTCTAGAGGGTATTGTGTTTTTTTCTTTTACATCTCTCTCTCTCTCTGTGTGTGTGTGTGTGTGTGTAAAACTATATATCATGACTCTAGAACATGATCTCCGTCCATTGCCAATGGAGCCAAAAGAGCCATTATTGACAATGTTTTATTTCTAACAGTGTTGGGATTATATTGGTTCTGCAGGGAAGATTATTACCAGGAAGGCGATCACGTGCACACAAGACTGAAGGTTCTTGAAGCATACAAGAGAGCACTTCACACTTGGGCTAGATGGGTGGATAGTAATGTTGATCCAAACAGAACTCAGGTTATTTTCAGAGGATATTCCGCAACCCATTTCAGGTAATACTCATATTCTAAATACCATTTATTTCAATAATTTAAAGAAAACAATATCTAAAAATGGGGTTATAGTTATACCTTAAACTTTCTTTCATTTTAATTCATTTTTTTCATTTTTAGGCTTTCACCCTTATAAATAAAATACTTTTGGAAAAAAAACTTATTTTTGCAATAGTTCTTTCATTTTGAACCAATTCATTCAGCACAATCACCTAATGTCTGGTAAAAAAACTGGCAGATGAAGATAAACGGAAATAAGAGGTCTTAAAACTGATCTTTTTCCTTAGCTATATACTCCATCCGTCCCATAAAAAGGTTCCACCTTTGATTTGACATGGAAATTGAGAAAAGTGAAAGTGTGTGGTTGAAAGTGATGCAAAGAGGAGAGAATTTATAAGGCCACAAAATTGTTTCCAAAAGTGGAACCATTTTTTGGGACAGACGAAAAAGGAAATGCAAAACCTTTTCATGCGCCTCATTTCTATATAGTTTGAAAGTCATGCTGATTTGAATATATGTAGAGGAGGTCGGTGGAACTCTGGTGGGCAGTGCCACAACGAAACCGAGCCAATTTTTAACAAAAAGCAATTGGCAAGATACCCCTCAAAGATGAAAGCCCTCGAGCGTGTCATTCGTGATATGAAGACTCCAGTGGTCTATATGAACATCAGTAGGCTTACAGACTACAGAAAAGATGGTCACCCTTCAGTTTATAGGGCAGAAGGTCATAATGGAGTGCATGCTCAAGACTGCAGCCACTGGTGCCTGCCCGGAGTGCCCGATACTTGGAATGAGTTGCTATATGCATCTCTATTGAAGAGTGGGCGGGGCTCATGGGCGAACTGAATCCTGCCCAACCGATTCTTGTACGTTTCTCTATCATTTTATTTTCTTGTTTGTATATAAACTTATCTCCAGCTTGCATTTTAAAGCCTGTATATAGAATGATGTATCCTTTAGGTGCTCTTTTGCCTTCCGGATTTGGCTTTTCATGTGCTATACTTTTTAGTGCTCTAGTTTCTTAAAGTTTGTCAAGTTTCTATATTAAAAACATACGGAGTATATTATTATCTCATTTCCATATGTACATTTAGTAATGTATCTTCATATCGCTTGTATCATTTATCTAATCAAGAAAATTAATGTGATTGAAAAATGTCTTTAAATTTAATGTTTTAATTATAAAAGGTACATAGTTGCCTATCGTTATGGGACAGGAGTTCCTACATAAACATCTGGATATTAAACGAATGCCCATCTTATTATTCTCATATGTTGATCTGAAAGTAGAGCAAATCAAGTTTCTCTTCTTCTTGTTTGGATGTGAAGTTATACTCACGCCGAAATCTGAGAAGTCAAGTAGAAGCCTATTTTTTGTTCTGGCTCAAGAAGTAGCTTGATTGCACTGAATATACATGTATTTATAGTCAAGCAATATATCTGTCTTGTAATACAACTATATCACTAGAGCACAATTATAAAATAAATCAAACTTTTACTCTCTCTGACCCAAAATTATCATCCCGTGTGAAAATGGCACCAAGGTTAAAAGTAGAAAGAGAATTAACCTTATGCCTTATTTTTTGGATCTGGTAAGAGTGAAGTGAAATGTAGTAAATATGTAGGTTGTTGACGGTAAAATTTTATTTTTTATTTTTTTTAAAAAGTAAAAGGTGGTTTCCAAAAAAATGGAAATTTCATTTTTGGACAATTAAACAAAGAAAGTGGGAAGTGGTGCGACAAAGGGAGTAGTATATTATGCTCCGTACAATGTATCCTACTACATTTATAATAATATAATACTCCGAATGACAAAAAAAGATCTGCGAGGTAAGGTGTGCCTACATCACACCCTTGTTGTGGGACCTTTCCCCAGACGTTGTTGCCCCTTTTTTAATACACTTACAATAATATCCCATGAGCCATGCTACAAACCGACCAAGGTTGACACCATTAGTACCTCAATTGTGCGGAAAATAGCATATGGTGTCAACCTTGGGTTTCTAGCATATTTTGATGTTGTATTAATTCTACTTTGTACTCTTTTCCACTTCCAGGGTCGAACCGGACTGCAACGCATCACCTGGGGTGTAAAGGGCTGCAAGAAATGGCGGCATATGAAGCAACACTTTCACCTTCTTTAAGAGACTTCATTTCCAAATCCCAAATCTTGTTTAGCTCCATGTTCTCGTCTATGAAGGGTGGATTACTAGGGGGAGGCAATTCTTCCTCCTGCTTCACGAGCATACGCCGCACCTCAGACATTGATGGCCTTAGTGACGGGACTTCTTGTGTGCATAATAGCCCCACATGAACCACCCTGGAAATTTCTTGCCTTACATTCGCATTGCAGGAGGTATGAAGCATCAGGTTTGGGTCAATTAGCCTCTCTACAGTCCCCTCTTGGAAGTGCATCCATGCCTGAATCAATTAAGAGTCCAACCTTATTTTCCACATCATAAGTGAAATGATATGATATTTGAGAATCATCATTTCATTACTCCATCATAGGAGTGGTGTTCTTTTGACACCAAGGGCCTGTGTCATAATATGACACCGGGCCATTTTGGGGGCCCTACAGTGTTCTGTTTGACATGAAGTGGTCCTACCCCCTAACCCCCTAACCCCCTGGATTTGCCGTTATGCTACAGTAGGGGGGATTGTAGGACCCTCAAATGGCCTGTGTGTCATGTAATGACACCCATGAGATGTGTCAAAAAAACCTCACTTGTAAAGCACGGAGTAATTTAGATGCAAGGTGTTAGAGCATACTATATGCACCACACAGTCGAAGTGTTCTGCATTTTTGTTCTTATAGTTTTGCTTTCCCATGACAATTTCCAACAATAGCACTCCAAAGCTATAAACATCTATAGTTTCTGTTAGTCGTCCGTTTGATAAGTACTCCGGAGCCATGTATCCCCTGCAAAAACAAAACAAAAAAAAATAGTGAGAAAAATGAAGCATTGAATCGAATCTGAAACCTCATTTTTGAAATAGTATTTGTAGTGGCTAACAATGTTCCTGCAATAGCTGTACTTATGTGACTCTCATCTTTCTCAAAAGATCTAGCTAGTCCGAAATCTGCAATTTTTGCATCGAAGTCTGAGTCCAGCAGGATGTTGCTAGCCTTGATATCTCTATGAATGATGCGCGCCTTTGAGTTCTCATGGAGGTATGCCAACCCTTCTGCTACTCCTATAATTATGTTGAATCTTTTTTCCCAGTTTAGACATCTGCCTTTGTTCTTATCTGTTGTAGTTGACAAAAAACGTATATTCATGTCAAACTTTGTGACCCACCATACGTTGAAACTCACCAAAAATGACATTATGCAAAGTGGAGTAAGAACTCACCAAAAATGAACCTATCAAGACTCTGGTTTGGCAAAAGCTCGTAGACAAGAAGGCTTTCGGGGCCAGAACAGCTGCAACCCAACAACTTGACAAGATTTTTGTGCTCAATCCAGCTTATGATGTTAACTTCATTGTAGAAATCTGCGGCTCGATGTCTGTTATTAAAGAAGAGTCTTTTGACTGCAACCTCTCTACCATCTACCAAAACTCCCTTTGTTATGAAACCATCATGTTTAGAACTATGAAGATCTTAAGGAAATGATAGGCAAAAAAAACATTCTTGATTTGTGGGGTATAGGACCAATGCAAACGAACCTTGTACACTGTTCCATACCCCCCTTCCCCTAGCTTGTTGGCTTCATGAAATGACCCTGTGGCTTTCTTGAGAGTGGAATATTTGATGTTCAAGCTGATGTCATGAAGGGTCTTCACTAATTTCTTGGCATCATTTGAACCTGTGAAGTTGATGACCGATTATATAGAGTTTAAACACTTTGTGCAGTTTTGCCTTTCAGTTTTTGTATCTTTAGTAAGGAACTTTTTTCAGTTTTTTGTGAAAATCTTATTGAGCTAAAATACAGCTATTAGAAGTGCTCGGTAAATAAAAATAATTGTTTTGTCCCAGAAAACTACTCCAAGTTTATTTTTCATGGTTTTTAGAACACATGTTTAGAGCTTTTCGGAGCAGCTGGTTTTCATGCTTAGATTACAATACGGTTTTCACAAGAACCGATACAAATAGCTAACCCAAACATCAACACAGCTGGTTGCCAAACACGGCGCTGCTGATGTTTTACCTTCTCTTTTCTTCTGTGTTCTTTTCTGTTTCAAAGTGTGAAGGACAATGATAACTCCCATAACAACCACTATCACAGAACACAGTGTTGCCACTACAGAGGATATAGCATTCACTGCAAAAACAAATCACACACAAGAGTCACCATCAACAAACCTGTGTTAAGAAACAACATTGGGGTTCTTTTTACACCAAAGGCCAGTGTCATAATATGACACCAGTCCACTTGAGGGCCCTACAGTGTTCCATTCGACCTTAACATGGTTCCTAAACACCCCCAGCCCCCCATGTGGAAAACAATCCACTGTCTTTTGGGGTCGAATGGAGCATTGTAGCCTGTAGGACCTTTAACCACAAATATGAATTTTTTAGTTGAATTGGTTTCTTCACACTCATTTACCTCTTGATGATCTTTCAGAAGCTTCTGGAACAGGATTGAGAAAGTTGGTGTGGGAGTATCTCATGAAGCATCCGGCGTACAACGCACGACCCTCCGACCAAGGCAGACATTTCAACATGGATCTAGAAGCACTCCCCAAACAAGCTTTACAAGCACTGGCATTCAAAGTCTTCCAGCATTCTGCCAGCACATATGTTGCCTCCTCCACTCCACGCCTCCCAGAAACCGACGATTCGACGCGGGCATACCCGTCGTTATCCGGCGCGACCAAAACCGCCTTCAACACCGCCTTCTTCGTTGCCTCTTGGAACAAAAAACCCTTCCTTTTTTTCTTTCCACAAATGTGGGAGTCTTCCGGTCCGAGACTTTCTTGGAAGAAGTTATAGACCTCGGCCCGGATGAAGCACCCGTCAAGATAGATTCTTCCCCCATTGTGGGGGAAGCACTGAGGCAAAACGGTGCGCGCTTCGGCATAGCACAAGAGGCAGTCGACTGGGGAGAGATCACCGTGGCATTGTGCGAGCCCATAGAGAGAGTCGTCTTCAGCTCTGGTTTTGATCATGGAGGACGCGCCCCACCCTTTGGCTCTCATTTGGTCGCTGAGGTTTCCCATTGTCGCGACGAAAGATTGGATAGAGACTGTTGCGTTGCGCATCAGTTGGTCTCTGCAGATCATTTTGATGATTTGGGATCGCGGGAAAGCGTCGGATTGTGGAAGCAAAAGAGCCACCATTGAAACTAGTAGTAAAGGAACTAATGATGAAGTTTTAGTGAAAGGGATTGTTTGTATCTTCATCTTTTCAGCTTAGTTCTTCTTATTCTGATTCCCAACTTTTCAATTAACAACCAAAAAAATGAATATTTTAGATGAGTGTGTGTAAGAATTAATGCAGAATGGAAGAATAATAATGGTAGATAAAGGGAAGAAGAGTTGGGATTGACTAACTTGTGATATATATATCTATCCATCTATTTATAGTTTGTACGAGGAGGAAAGATGGTCTGAAATGTTTTTTTCTTATATATATATATATATATATATATATATATATATATATATATATATATATATATATATATATATATATATATATATATATAAGTTTGTACTAGGAGGGAAGATGGTCTGAAATTTTTTTTTTCTTTAATTTCCATTTGGATAATATAATGACATATAAGTGTGTTGGGAGGATGTTTTTTTAAAATTTGACATAAAAACGAGTTTTTCTGTTTTTTTCAATCTTACTGTAAAATAGAACCCTACTCATATTAATTTTTTTTTCATGTTTTTCAGACACTACTTTTTTTGTTAGTTTTATGTTTTCCAAACAAAATGGTTTTTCTTTTATTTTTTAAAGCAACTTTTTTTTTGTATTCAACCCTTAAACTAAGGGAAAAGGATTCCTTTTGACTTGGCCATTTTTAATATACTAAGTTCTCTTTTTTTTTTCTTTCACTTTTTCTTTTTGGAAAAAGTGCCTTAAATTATTAAATAACGAGTATGTTGACAAAGTTATTCCATCAAATTTTAAGTCTTTAATACTCTCTCATTTCTAAAAATGCTTCTTACGGAGTACATTTTTTCAGTTGTCTAAAAAAGTTCTCGTTTTATTTAAGAATAGAAATAAATTATTCAAATTATCTCTTGTCTTTGCATAAATTTCCACCATTATTTCTCATATTATATTTTAAGGGATGGGAGGAATATAATTATTGTTGGTGGACATGAATAGTTGCTTCATTGAGTTAAAAAGAGCTTTCTTAAGAGCACTGGAAATACTCTTAAAGCCCCGGGGTTTCAAAATTTCTTTCTCTGCTACGTCAGCTTTAACCTACTTCACAGATTCAGTGGAAATGGGTTTGAAGCCTCGGGGCTTCAAACCTTCATTTTTTACATTTTTAAATATACATCTTCTAAATTTAAATTAATAAATTTTATTTAATTTATTATTTAAATTAATCGCAATGAGACTAGTGCATTAAAAAAATTACATTCATTAAAAAAATATTACATTCATAAAAAAAATACATTCATTAAAAAAATTACATTCATAAAAAATACATTCATAAAAAAATTTACATTCATTAAAAAAAATATTACATAAAAAAACAACACTACAAAGAAATTACTAATTATTCGAGCGAGTAAAGATATGTTCGATCAAATCCGCCGTTAGTGCATTGTGAATCTCTCGGCTTCGAATTTCTTGGCGGTTTCTTTCTTTCTTTTCTTCGTTGATTTCTTCGTACATAGGCACCTCCTCGTCTGGGTTGTATTGACAAATCGCAGTCCCGTTGTTCTCTACGATCATATTATGAAGAATAATACATGCGTACATGATATACCTCATTTTCGTTTGAGAATAACATTTCGACGGTCGATTTAGAATGTGTCATTTACCCTTCAAGACCCCAAAGGCTCGTTCAATATCTTTTCTCGCCGCTTCTTGAGTTTATTTTGTAGGTCTAGCGTTTAAGACTCATTGGTTCGGAGAGGAATTTGACAATCGTAGAATAATCTGGATATATTCCATCGGCCAAATAATATCCACGCTTGTAAAGCATCCCTCTAAGCTCAAAAGACGAGTCGGGTGCGGTCTCATTAATCCAATCGTCAAAAACAGACGATTGATCGAGAACGTTGATGTCGTTGTTCGAGCCCGCGACACTGAAAAAAGTAGGGCTGTCAACGGATAACCGAAAATCCGATTACCGTCTGCATCCGAATCCGTTTAAAGAGGAAATATCTGCATCTATTTTAAACGGATATTATCCGTATCCGATTAAGGATATCCGATTACTAAACGAATTACGGATTTGGTAATTGTATATTCGATCCGTTTAAAATCCGATCCGAATGTGCATCCATTTAAATAACTGTTTATCCAAATATCTGATCCGTTATATATAGTTTTTTCTAATTTTTTATGTTTATATTTTGTTTCTCTATTGATATTTCAAAATATAAGAAATTTTCATATACAAAATAAATGTGTAGACACATAAAAAATATGTACAAACATAAAAATATGTGTATATGTGTGTCGTGTATATCTTTTTATCATATGAAGTTATCGTAGGATATCATAAATCATGAAAACAAAGAAAATAAATATCCCATACCAAATTATAGTTGATTTAATAAAAGTTTGACTTCAATCTAATTTAAAATTAAAGTATTGTTTAATTTGATTTTAAAAATTGGAAACGAATACGGATATATCCGATATCCGACCGATATCTGACGAATCCAGGTACGATTTTGATTTTCAGTATCCATCAAGATCCGTATCTGAATTCGATATCCGACAAAAATAAACGGTTACGAATTTGGTAATGGCACATCTGATCCGATTAATATCCGTTTACACCCCTAGAAAAAAGCGTGCCAAATCCACAAGTCATTTGAAGCAACAGCTTCGAGCATGATAGTAGGCTTGGGATGATCTTCCCGGGAGATTTGACCGTGCCACGCAGTGGGACAATATTTCCATTCCCAATGCGTGAAATCAATACTCCTAAGCATGCTAACAAAGCCGTGTTTAGCGGCATGTCTTGCCTGTAACTGCTGAATGTCGCTCACTGTAGGCTTGCGTAAATATCTTTTATGATAAATTTGAATAATAGCTTTAGAAAATTTATAAACACAGGACCTGATGCTCTGAGCCGACATCTTCAAGTATTCGTTGAACATATCAGATGCTGCCCTGTACGCCATCTGACGGAGCGCGGCAGTGCACTTCTGAACACTACTAAACTCGCGTCGGCCTCTTGCATCAAATCATTGGGTGAACCAAGGAACCTCGCGTTCAACATCGGCGAGTATGCGTAAAAAGAGAGGACGACTCATCCGAAAACGATTACTAAAATCCTCCGGTGTATAAACACACGGAGTATTAAAGTAGTCGTTTAGAAGTGAAGCGTGGGCGGCCACTCGATCCCGGTTTAAACATTGTCGTCGGGTCCATCGTCAGGAGGATTCGGCTTCTTCTTCTTCGCCATCTTCACACCATTGAATACAACTCATGGCCAAAAAACGAAAAATGAGAGCTCTTTTATCAACGTCGGATGAAGATGAACCCATTTTTAAAATATATTTTATAAATATTTATAATAAATAATATATATTTTAGAGAGAAGATAGTGAGATGTGTGAGAGAAATGTGTGAGAGAAAGATTTTTTTTAGGAGAATTTATAGGTTTTTTTTAAATTTTGAATTTTTTTAATTGGGGGGGGGGGGGGGGGGTAA